TCAGGGGGGCATTCCAGATGAATTTCCGACTAGGATTTCGAAAATCCTGACTTCTGAGTACACCTAGAACACAGCATAAGCCTCAGTTCACCAGTTCCCCTCAGCTGGTAATGCTGACATCACGGCCCTGAACTTCATACATATTTAAGTAAACACATATGTTGAGTCGTGCTTGGTTACCAGCTGTTTTGCATGTAACTGCCATATTGTCAAGCGTAAAAATGAACCATCTGCACAGTCCCCGGGTAGCACCCCATTTCGAAGATTACATCACATATTCAGGTCTCCATGGCAACTGTCAACAAACAAACAAGCGACCACTAACTTGCGTCTTGGAGTGTTGGTCTTGATTGTCCAAGGACTCGCCCATCATCATCATCATGGTGACTCTCATGTAAATCACACTTCTTCAAAATTTTCCTCCTCTCCATGACAAACGTTTTTTTTCTTTTTGGCGTTGAGCTGTCTGTCCTTAGCGCTCTCTCAACACTCATTTCTCACAGCGTGATCCAAAAAAGGTCTGAAACAAATACACAACTTTAACTACACAACTGACTAACTGCTTATGACAATGAATCATAAGTAGACGTAGTTTAAGACTTACCGGTATTCATACTAATGATGAGAAAAAGCAGATTTCCCCAAATTATTCTAGCAGTGATGGAAAACTCCAAGTAAAACAAAACCTCCATAGTTTTCAAAACTAGCGAAGTTTGGAGAAAATCCCAAATCCACATTTGTTTAGCTTTCACTATTTATTTGGAAAAAGAGAGAAAATAATCTCTTCAGGGGGATGTGTGAGGTCTTTGAGTTTTTATCAACAGACATGTAAATCCTTTGATTTTGAACTCACATTAGTGTGAACTCTGACGGATAACACGCCGTCTGATTAGAGAAACAATAAGGTGACTAAGATTTGGATCAACACACACTATCAGATACTGCAGACAAAGTACACACAGAAACACACACTTACATGAGTGTGAAAGTGAAGGTCATCTGGCTCTCATCTGCTCGTACTCGGTCATCATCATCATGGTCCTCGTGTCATGACCTGGCACAGAGTCCAGCTGGCTCGGCCTGAGACGAGTGTTTCCAAGCTGAGATCTTGTAGTTTTCCATCAAGTTATTTTTGTGGTTTTCTTTTCCCACTCTACTGTTTTTCTTTTTTCTCTTTTACCATCTACAAAACATCAACAGGATCAGACTGAGCCCCATCCTTGTAAGATCAGACCCACTCCCATCCTCATCTTCAACCACATGAGCGAAACACTTTGCAGCATTTAGAAAGTCACAGTGAAGAGGAAAAACTTCCAGTAACACTTTACTTGACGCCTATCTCTGTAATGCATTAGAAATATGTGTATAATGCATTATAATCATGTTACAGCACTGTTTAACTATAGTTATAAACACTCATTAATGACCATAATGCTTTATAGCAATAATCATAACACATTATAAAGCATTTTATCATGACTTACAAGGTCAGGTATTATAATGTGTTGTGTTGCTTGTTTGTAGTGAGACCTCAGGCCAGTCCATTACGGATTACAGCGGGGTGACACAGCTCAAGGAAGAACATTTATGATCATTTCTTTATCATTTCCTTGAAGTAATAATCACCATATTAATCATTTTTCACTGCAGACGCTGTAGTTCTTCTGCCGTAGCGTCTCAGTCAGATTGCATTTCTATTAAGGAATGATCATAAATGTTCTTCCTTGAGCTGCGTCACCCCGCTGTAGTCCTTAATGGACTGGCCTGAGGTCTCGCTACAAACAAGCGGCTGCTGGAAGAGAGTAGGTGAGTTGTGTTTAGTCTCTTTACTAAAGAAATGAGTCAAAGTTAAAAAGATGTTTGGTGTCTAGTACTATGTCTGTGACCCTGTATGTCCTGTTGATGAAGTTAGGTGCTGTTCTGAGCATTATTTGTGGCTATAGAGTGGCGTTTTGGTTGAGGTTTGTTTATGGCTCCTCAGACCGCTGTGTATTGCTATCCTGCGGTCGTTACTAAAGTTGGTATAACTAGAGAAGCAAGGGGGAGTCTAAATTGCTGTTACAGTGTGTTTCACCCTAAATTAATTTTATGCTGGAATATCCCTTTAAGATGCTGTCCTACGTCAGAGACGTGACTCCACCCCATCCGGTCCGTAACAAAGAGGGAAAGACAGGTGAGGAGATGGAGGACGGTTCAAAAGTTGGAACAGCTAAAGTAGACGGAGTTAATGTGGGAGGGGGTTAGAGACTTGTGGAGTAGTTATCGTCCATCGAGGTGAACTGCTCAATATGTCATGATATTGATTTAAAGCCATATCGCCCAGCCCTAGTCAGTACCCCTGAGAGTCTACACCTATAGCAGTCTGTAACATAAACCCTGTCAGCTCAACCCCTGGTTGACCTGTTACGTCAAACATAAAGAATCAAACGATGAAAACACCATCACTTGTTCTTGCTCTGCACCTTTTGTATGACCTCTCTTCTTCTCTCAGAGTTTCATGAACCACCCTGAAATGATGCACTGATTCAAGGATCCAACAGAAAGAAACAAAACTGTCTCGCCGGCTTGAATGGCCATGAAACACTGACCCTGATCTGAAAATTGGCCGGTGCTGAATGTTGAAAATTCTCCGTCGATCCTTGTCAGGCCAGAAGACAGACTCACAAAGCTGTCTTTCTGATTTCAGCTCAAACTCGAGATGTTTGCAGCGTGCTCACACCGATCTCTGAGTGAAACCAGCTGTTTTAAACCCCGGCAGGGCTTCGCTTCACTGTTGTGGCTTCCAGCGAGATGAGATCATATGTTTTATTAAAAGGCCAACACATGAGGGGATGCTGTTATGAATCGGACAATGGGATGCTTCAGCTCTCTGTATTGATGGAGTTAATACTGAAGAGCCGCTGCTGCTGTTCATTTGTTTTATTTCTAGTTGTAACGTCAACTCATGAAGTGTCCTGAGACTTTGAAGAAACTCTCTGAAACAACTGTGAACAATTGAAACGACCGCAAATATGTGACCGATGCAGAAAGTCTTTTTTTTTAAAGGCGCGCCTACGAAAAATCAGATTGTTTTGTACTTTTTGAAAAGGAATATTCAGTGTATCATTCCTCTGAGGCTCCTGTTTGTCAAACAGATAAATTGTTTAATTGCCAGTGTGTCTTATTTCTTCAGACTTCAACCCACCGAACAAGAGTCGGCAGCAGAGTGAGCTGTTTGTGGCAGAGAAGATGTGGCAACTTCTCGTGGGCGTAACCCACAGATTCAAATCTGCTGCTCATCCCACACACATGCATGATCCTTACAAATGTGGCACCATTTAAAAGGAGAATAAACAATGTGGGATTTATTGTCAGGAAGCAACAAAGAAATCATCTACCAACACAAATCTCCTAAGTTTGTTCATCTGCATAAATAAAGAGACAGGGATGTTCTTTTCTACGATAAGAGGGCAGCAGATCTTGGTTTTGGTTCCATTCCCATTTGTGCACAGGTCCAGTTCTCAAAGATCCAAAGTTATATAACTAAAATGATCCTTTCATTAAAAGAACATGTGCGAGGCTTTTTAAGGATTTATTACTGCAGGAACTTTGCAAACTCTGCACAAAATCTTCTCAGCATAAAAATCTTCCCGTGTGTGAGCGTGATTCGCTCCAACAGTGAATATTTGTCTCATGTAATCAGAGGGAGGTACAGCCAGATTCTTGTCTTCTATAGTTTCACCCTCCGCTGTGGCCTCCAAGTGTCTTTGGGCGATTCAGAGCAGAACACAGTATATCGTTTCTCTTATGTGCATGTGAACGACAAACAGGTGAGACAACACGACAAGGCGAGGTTAGGTTCATTTTCGGATTATTGAGCCATGAAGACAAATCTGAATTTTTACAGAAAACCTGGAAAAATATACAACCAATCCAGAGATCTCAGGATGGCATGAAGCTGATTTGCCACGTCTGAATGTAAACAGTTTAAAAAAGAAGTAAATGATTGTAAAGTGCAATGAAACACGACCCTTGTTTCTTGTTTCTTGTTTCTTGTGTCACTCTGACCTCTTAAATGCGTCACATCTTCCCCTTTTTTGTAAGAACCCAAAAACTTAAGGTCCCAGACAGAGTCAGCAGATGTTTGGAGCTCGTTTCACTCAAGAAGCAAAAGTAAAGATGACGTTTGACCTTTACCGGACATAGTTTTGTGGCACTTGCAGTTTTTTGAAGTTGATGTATAAGTTAAAGTGGAAGGTTCAAGAATAGAAAAACAGACTCGTGATCAGCCCTTTCAGTCACAAGGACATCAGAAATATTAATGAGGCATTGTTCGGCTCTGATTTGTTGAAAAAGTCGAACTTTTTTATGCCAAAGAGTGCTGTCTCTTCACTTTTTCTCAACATTGTGTTTTGATTTTTCCCTTCAGTTTTTTCTCAACATGAAAAACAAACAAAAACCTTTATTAATACATTCCTGGCCCTGAAACTTGAGAAACACAGTCAGACATTTTCCTGTCCTCCCTGTGAATTCCTGAGTGGAGACATTTTCTGTTTTTTTTTAAAGCAGCTGTTTTTTCCATTACAAAGTACCTGTAACCTTTTTTTTTCAGCCACAGCGAACCGTCATTTAAACCAGCGCTTATTCAGAGACACATTTTTTGCTTTTTGTTGAAGTGGTAAGAAACTTTTGATTCAGAATGTGTTTGTGTTGAGAAAAAGTAAAAGGAACTTTCATTGGGAGGAGCCGCGCTGATGTAATCCATTTATTAGATTCACTTTTTTGTGGTTGTTGTTTGGAGGACAGGAACATCATGTACCTTTTGATCCGCGCCGTTTGCTGCAGGTTAAACAAATAAAGAAGAGTTTTCAGTCCTGTTTTTGTCGCATCTTTAGAGTCTAATTCTATCAAAACCTGAATCATTAACTCTATCCCTGCACAGTTAATCCACACATACACAGACGTAATCACGGTGCATTTAAAGCAGGATATACTGAATGCCTGTTGATTGCTGCCATCTACTGACAAGGATTAAAAACTGCACTGAGTGACTCACAGCTCAGGAGTGTCTGACTCATGTTAGAGGAGGAAATTAGTTAAGTTGTTCCAGGTGGTAAAAACATGTAAGTGACTCAAAAAGTTGAGATGAACTCATATTTATTATATTATCATACGATGAAACTTGTTTAGTTTACTTTTAGTTCCACAAACTTGTAACTTTCTGCAAAATTAAAAAATATATATTGTTGATTTTTTTCACTGTTTCTCTGTCAACAAATTATTTGAAAGAGTTTTAATCCAGTTGTGAGGGTTAATGATGGTCTTGTTAGCATTTGGGCATCATAATAAGGCACCGATATGATTTTTTAGTCTATTTTATAAACATAAAAAAACTCCTCATAGGTGCTTTAATTAAAAATGGTAATTTTAGCATCTCTAAATGAAATCTTAATCATTTTTGAGACACATTCACCTTCACTGTATCTTATCTTGTAAAATCCTGACACCTTTAATTCTAAATTATACTAATAAACTTAACTGCATACTACGTTTATAGACACATATGACATGATCTTTCCCTTGAGTTTCAGCTTGAACTGAATAAACAACATGAAGTCAAGAAGTATATGCAGACTTAGTGCTTAGGACTTTAATATCAGACAACTATTAATTAATTATCCATTAACTTTTTATAATAATATTCCTCTCTGGTGCAGCCTAGAAAGGAGAACAGTTGAATCATTATCCCTGCTCACCTACAGTTATTTAAAACTGGATTTTTGTCCTCAAATACTTCAAAAAGTACTTCATTATATGGTTTATAAATGTATTAAACACATGTATTACAGTAATAATAGTTTTGCATAACACAAGAAAGTACAACAGGCATACTGCACATTGAATATTTTTGTCAGGACACACAGCATCTCTTATTTCCACCTCCATTATGGATATAAAGTTCCCTGTCTCCTACTTTTGAGTAGTTTCCCAGTTTTAGATTCCAGTTTGACCAGTTAGACCTGAACTGGTTTGCATTTATAATAATATTCCTCACTGGTGCAGCCTAGATAGGGAAACAGTTCAATCGTTATCCCTGCTCTTTCACAGATATTTTTACCTTTATATTCTTAAAAAACTGCTTTATAGATGGTAAATAAATGTATAACCACATGTATAATTGTTATCACAGTTTTGCATAACACAGCAAAGTACAACAGGCGTACTTCACATTAAATATTATTGTTAGGACACACAGCATCTCTTATTTCCACCTCCATCATGGATATAAAGTTCCCTGTCCTCTAATTTCGAGTATTTCCCAGTTTTAGATTCCAGTTTGACCAGTTAGACCTGAACTGGTTTGGATTTCGCTCCTCGAAGTTTAAACTTGTTCAGATCTGAGGAAGGAAACAGTCCAGCTGTGCAACAACAAAAACGGAAGAATAAAGTTTGTTTAGTTCGTGTTGATGTTGGGGTTAAAGGTTGAGACAGTTTGGACGTTTGCGGTTCAGTTTTGTTTCCGAAAGTTCTTTTCCAACTCCTCTCTGGTGTCTGATTTGTCCTTCTCGTATTACTCAGCTATAAGGTGGGACAATGATTCGTTGAGCAGCAGCGCGAGCCTCTCCCCCGTTGGCTGGATTGTACACGTCAGCAGTCAATAAGTTGAGCTCGAGATGAATGATAGTCCAATCATACTCTTCCTGGTATGAGCGTGTCAACGTACAGCACCTACTTCACGGTAAGTTCCAAAGATACATTTACAGTAAAGTATCGTCTTTAATCGCATCGAACGTGACTCATTCCATGTCGTTCTCTTCAGGTGTCGAAAAAAAAGCGGCGGAAAAACCCGTTTGGCATAAAAATGTCACGGTTTTGAAGTGGAGAGAAGACGGTTCACTCAAGAGAAACTGTCAAGAAAACGTTTGACATATTCAGAAGCACGTGACGCGACGACAAAGAGTTGGAGTTGGAGTTCGAGCGCACGAGGAAACTTAGTTGAAGAGGGGTTTTGACTATGAGGACGCTCGCGACAAGGTGAATGAAACCCGTGCTGCTCCTGAGTCCACTTTCACCTTAGTACCGCGACAATGAGGTTCCGGCTGCTCAGAAAGAACCTGCTCGTGTTCTTGGGTGTTTCCTTGGTGGTTTTGGGTCTCCTGTTCTCAACACGCGTGTTTTTATCCCCCGGGAACGACATGAGTGGGTCTAACATTGTCGTCCAGGCGAACCCAGGTGATAGGGTGAAGTTTAACTTTGGGTCGTTGACAGATCTGACTCAGTCTGTTTACAATGCCAACTACAGGCAGTGTGTTTACAATGCAGATAAGTTTCCAGGAGAGCCAGAACTGGTCCTGGTTGTACAGGTCCACAACAGGCCGGAGTATCTCAGGTTGTTTATCCAATCGATGGAAAAAGCCGCAGAAGTCCACAACTTCCTCATCATTTTTAGCCATGACTATTTTACAGAGGAAATCAACGCCATTGTGCAAGCTATTTCTTTCTGCAAAGTGCTGCAAATTTATTTCCCGTTCAGCACTCAGCTGTATCCCAACGAGTTTCCTGGGCAGGATCCACGAGACTGCCCTCGAGACATATCCAAGGACAATGCTCTGAAAATAGGATGCCTTAACGCAGAACACCCGGACTCCTATGGACACTACAGGGAGGCTTTCATCACTCAGACGAAACACCACTGGTGGTGGAAATTGCACTTTGTGTGGGAGCGAGTGCAAGCTCTGCAGGGATACAACGGCTTTGTGATTTTTCTGGAGGAGGACAACTACGTCTTACCGGATTTATTCCACTTCTATAAACTAATGGCAGAGTTCAAGAAGAGCAGCTGCCCAGACTGCGACATGCTCGCTTTGGGTAACCATGACAGCCTCAATAGTTTTACTAGACAGTCAAATAAGGTGTTGACAACTGGGTGGATGTCCACCAAGCACAACATAGGCATGGCTATATCGAAGGAGGTGTACTATAAACTGATGGGCTGCAACAACGAATTCTGCACCTACGACGACTACAACTGGGACTGGACGCTGCAGCACCTCTCCGGAACCTGCGTGTCGAAGCCCCTCAAGGTGCTCGTGGCGCAGGCTTCCAGGGTCCTCCACACCGGAGACTGTGGCCTACACAGTAAGGAGAACTGCAGACCGGAGTGGGCTTCTCAGAGGGTCGAGGAGAATCTCCAAATGGCCAAACACGGCCTCTTCCCTCAATCTCTGGTACTTGACGGTGCAGAAGCAGCCGAGCACAAGGCACATATGAAAAACGGAGGATGGGGAGATGTTCGAGACCACAGTCTATGCAATGATTATGCAAAGCGCCTTTAGGTTATAGCCTTTAAAAGAATTATGGGTATTCTGCTGATCTGCCATTCACTCAGAACTTTTCAGGGTTTCAGAGGCTGCAGTCAACTTTGAAACGGGACCAAATCAAGAGCAGAAACACAAGACTTCACTTCGTTTAGAAGTGTTTTGCTTTGAATCACCGGAGATGCCAAAGTTCTTCATGCGTGTTGTTGTAAATGTATGTATGTAATTTTTGTTTAAATTCCAAGAAACCAGGTTCTTCAGTGTCTTACATGCCAAAATATGAGATTATATTGATGCATGACAAAGGGAACTTAGAGGAAACTATGTCAGGGTAAACTCACCCTCACACAGCAGTGACTAAAATATGCACAAAAGGTTCTCTTGAATGAATACTGTACAGGAGTTCGACATAATATTGTGATTTAAAGGGTTTTGTTGGTTTTTATCAACCCCTCAGCTGCAAAATGTTTCTTTTGGCTTTTTTTTGGTGGTACTTTTTTAATGCTACAACTAAAAGCACAAATCATTGTGTGACGATTTTAGATTCGGAGCGATGCTGCCTTTGAAACTAAGCGTTCACTTTCAAAGGTGATATAATTTCACTCTTATCTTCCTGATGATATAAATCACAGAGTGTATATCATGATCTTGAATGTAACCCTTCTGTGAGGTTTGGTTAAACGCTCTGTCTCCTCCACTGTGTCTGAAGAGCTGGCGTGACCCTGAATTTTGTTGTTTTTGGCTGCGACTGTTTTATTTGCTTTCTGATTAAGCTACAGTGGTCCTTTGAACCTTGTTGTCCCTGGAAAACCGGATCAAAACTGTGATCGTGCAATCGAGTAATTGACAAAGGAGATTATGAATTTCATCAGCTGAAAAAGTTTCTCTTTTTTGTTTTTCATTTAATAATTTGTGAAACTTTATTGTGTTTATAACGTGAAACAATGCCAAAACTACCCCTGAGGTTTTGGTGCTATTGTTGCTGTAAAGCTGACCAGAAGTGCCTTTTTTATTGTTCCTTTCTGTCTAAATATAGTTTAAGATTTGAGCCTGTCTCTTTTGAAGGTGCTCTGATATCCATGTTCATTCACGTGTAAATGCCGGGGGACTCGCTTTTCCTGAAATCTCTTTATTTGTGTCCGTATCCAGGAAACTGAACGGATCTGTTGACGGAGCTTCCACTGTCTGTGTGTGTTTGTGTCATTCTTTGTGAGATTTTAACTTGTTGACAATGAATGTTTGTTTTTTTCTAATGTTTTTGTTTCTCTTGCAATCACTTCAATAGATGTTCAGTGTTTACATCATGTTTGGAAAAGCATCATGGGGAAAATTCAAAATAAAAGGGAGATTTTTTTATTATTGCTGCTCATGATTTATGAAAAACTGACTTTATTTTGGTGGCAACATGGAGGTTTGAGTTCGTCACACATAAAGTCTGCTAAACAAAGAAAATATGAACTCTTTCCACAGGATGGAGACAGTTATTTGTTTTTGTACTTTTGAAAACCATTATAAAGGGAAGAGTGGGGTAAGATGATCCATTTTTCATATTTCAGTTCACTACATCAATCCTAGTTTTGTCTCTAACTAGTGTATCTGCAGATATTTCAGGATGCTGTTCATCCCTGCAAACCAACAGAATGAGTGTAAACAGAACTGTCTTGATAATGTAGCATGCCAAAAAAAGTGGTCTCCTATGGTCAACTTACCCTGTGTATGGGGTAAGTTGACCACAGGAGTGGGGTAAGTTGAGCCGTATCCTGTGACAGATAGTCAGGTGTACCCTGAGAAATTATCCAGTTTCACTTTATTGGTCTTTTTTAAAAATTACTTATGTGCAAATAATATGCACTTCTCAAGCGTCTGTTCTGTAATCTACAGCCCCAGGTTTCACACTGGGTGAGTATGAATAAATTGAGAGACTTGTATAAACCTGTATTCGGGGTTATCAGGTGTCATTTAGTAACATTTTTGGTTGGTGGTGTGCCTCGTGTTTTTTTTTTTTTCAATGGAAAAATATGTACCATGACTCAAAAAAGGTTGAAAAACACAGTTTTAACTGATTCCGAACATTCACAGCTGTATTTTAGGAAAGACAAAGTCAAACATTTCAACAATCTGAACTGAAACTCTGATCCTCTCATCAGACTCCTTTACTTTCTCAACCTACCCCAGAACTACTATGATGACTTAGGCAGTGTTCGAAATGGATCCCTAACCCCCTATATAGGCCACTATATGGGAGTTAGCCCCATTTTGAGGGCTAACTCTCCCCTACACAAAGTCGACTGAACAAAAAAATATGAAATCTTTCCACAGGTTGTTGGCATTTATTTTTTTGTTCATTTCAATGAACTAAACAAATTTATCTCTTTCTTCAAACATACATAAATCTCTTCAAACTTTTAGACTATTATGTACAAACCAACAGTTGTTGTTGGTTACAGAACCTCTCAGTCAAACACATTTTCAGAATAAATGTCTACAAATACAGATATTTAACCTCTTTCTCTGGTCTTGTTTGTTTACTATTCTGACAGTTTTAATGTAGATGAGGGCCTTACTGTTTGAGATCTGCGTCACCTGACCGAAACCCTGCGCTCCTATTGGTCACTCACTTCTTACGTTTATTTCCGGAAGTAAGTCGTTGTCGTTGTGGTTCTCGTCAAGGGTTGTTAAACTACATTCTCCAGCGTCGAGGCGACAGGTACAGAGTTTTAGGTTTATGATAATATCTATAATACGTTTAAATCAAATTAAACGCTTGTATGAGGAGTCATTTTCGGTATAACTGTAAATAACCGTTTGTTTTTCTACCTTTGTAGCCGTAGCCGTTAGCTTCCTCCTGTCGTAGCTTACGTAATGGACTTTGTCAACAGCGGATGGAGAAAATTTTCACTTAAATTATAAAAATATATGAATTTAACGTTTTAAAATGAACATATATCTCAGCTTGGCGGCTCTCTGAACACATTAAGTTAACATTTCTAAAGTGATGACAAAGCTATGAGAGCTACACTGTCTGTAATGTTAACAGATGACACAGATGTTATCATAGAGCTGAATGTTCATAAAGATATAACAGAGACACACAGAGTCACTGATATCACTGCTTATACATTATAATAGAGGGAGAGATGCTGTTTAAATAATCCACTATCTTACTGTCGTCCTGTCTGTTTTTAATCCATTAGGTGTGTCTCTAACCACAGGATGGCACACTGGTTTCACAGAAACCCTCTGAAGGCTACAGCTCCTGTGTCCTTTAACTTCTATGGAGTGGCAGGAAGTCCAGCTGCCAACAAGATCTGCAAGTATGTCATCACAAACATACTAATACTACCAATAATAATTATAATGATTAAGTCTGAATGCATAAACCGCCTTTGAAGAACCTGAGCTCACTTTATATCTGTCATGTCCTGAGCAAGTGCAGTAAAAAATACACTGATTTAAAGGGATATTCCGGTGTATTATTAATTTAGGGTCAAACACACTGTAATACAGAGTTAGACAGCCCCTCCAGAGATGAATGTGGTCGACCGCTTGCTTCTCTAGTTATACCAAGTTTAGTCATGACCGCAGGATAGCAATACACAGCGGTCTGAGGAGAAGTAAGTCAAAGTTAAAAAGATGTTTGGTGTCTAGTACTATGGCTGGTACCCTATATGTCCTGTTGATGAAGTTAGGTGCTGTTCTGAACATTATTTGTGGCTATAGAGTGGCGTTTTGGTTGAGGTTTGTTTATGGCTCCTCAGACCGCTGTGTATTGAGGCTGAGGCTTTAGATCTATTTTTTTCTTGCATGAGATATGACACACACATCGCTAAACATCCTTGCTGTTATTATTGTTTATGTCTCTGATCATGACCAATCCTATTCTGTTATTAATGTCTGGAGATTGTTGTAAACATTGTAACAAACTTTTTTTTTTTGTATGACACATTCAGTGACCTGAGGACAACCAGGGCAAGGCTGCTGGAGATGTTCACTGACGTCACCTGCACCCCAGAAACGATGAAGAATGCCACAGATGCATACTTCTCTCTCCTTCAAGGTATATTCACAAATCAAAAATCTTCCCCGCCATATCCCGATGATTGTATTTGTCATTTTTAAAGGGAACTGGCATTATCTCCTTTAATTATTCTGAATAAACGGCTCCCAACTCTTGTAAATTAGAAATCCTTCATACTGGCTTTTGTGCCATAAAATATAAGAGGAAAAGTGACCGTATAAATGAAAATGATGAATGTCTTAAAGCTTGAAATCGAACAGAGTCCAAGTTTTAAAGCAGTTAAAGGTACAAGCTTGATGTTCTTGTGAGATAACAGACGCCATGATTGTCAGAGTCAAGATAAGTAAAGCAACAAGATTCGCTCCTGTTTTAGTTCAAAGATAATCTATCTCGTCATCCATTACTATTTTCTACTCTTGTTCAAAATAATGATCATTATTTATGATACGACAGGATTTGTCGCGTCCTTGGATGGAACAACACAGGAGAACAAGATGAGATTCATCCAGAACTTCAAGTGGACCGACACCTTACAGGGAAACACACCAAGGTGAAGAAACACTCCTGAGCTAATCGCAGAAGTTGAAGCTTTTGGATCAGTCTTTATTTATGCAGAGGTCACAGTTATGACGAGGACTACAGTGAATTGTAGACTAACTCTAAAATGATGTTTGATTCATATTTAATGTGTTGAAAGTAATCGTAACCTTCACCTGTTGACTTTAACTCCCCGCTCTCATCACAGTGCCCAGCAGGATGTGGTCTTTGAACTGGTCTCCATGGCCTTCAATGTAGCTGTTTGGTACACAAAGTTTGCCTCGAGACTAGCAAGAAAAGAAAAGTAAGTTATTCTCAGTCTGTAAGTGACAACAGTTATTATTACTTTGTGACCACAGAAAAATAAAACCTGTTTCTGTTTGCCTGTTTAACAGCATCAGTGAGAATGAAGCTAAAGATGTCCACCGGAGCCTTAAAGCCGCTGCTGGTATTTTCAAAACCCTCAAGGTGAGCCACACAGACACAACATTTCTTATAGTTGATGTACAGCTGCAAGTAAAAGACATAAAGTCTATGAAAAATGTCAAAGTTATGTCCTCAGACAGATTATAGCAACACCTAAAGGAAAACCAGATCCAGATCATTGAACAGATGTGATTTTTTTCCTCAGGAGGTCCACATCCCTCGTCTCATCACCCCGGCTGAAAAGGGTCGAGATTTGGAGCCCAGAGTGATCGATGCGTACATCATCCAGTGCCAAGCAGAGGCGCAAGAAGGTACAGTAGCTTTCAGTCTGAAGATGCCGTCGCCATGTCAGAGTTTCTCGTATGGATTCATGATGGTTGGAATCAGTGAGATCCATGGGGACCTGATGTTGCCAAAACATAAATCCCAGCCTGGTTAATTCAACACTTTTGGATCTGATACTGAAGTCCTCTTTGTTTCTTTTCAGTGACCATTGCCAGAGCCATCGAACTGAAGCACAACGCCACGCTCATCGCAGCGCTGTCCTTTGAGACGGCGAACTTCTATCAGAAAGCCGGTCAGTGTTTAACGAACTTAGTCAGCTGTGTGTCTTTAATTATCTGATGTTAGTTTGTTTAAACTGCTGTAGTTGGACCACGACCACACGTTACTCATACCAAACAGCTTCATATGAGTCCTATAGTTGGGTTTAACTGTGACGTGTATTCCTGTCTGCAGACCACACACTGAACACCTTGGAGCCAGAGTGCAGCAGCAAATGGAGGAAGTATCTCCAGCTGAAGCAGTACTTTTACATGGCTTATGTGAGTTCATGCGGTTTCACATCACAAAGATGAAAAAAGGTTTTTACAAATGTTCATGAATGATGAAAATCTGTTTTTTACTGACTCTGACTTCACCTGCAGGCGTACTGCTATCATGGACAGACGCTGCTGGCGAGTGACAAATGTGGTGAAGCTATACGATCCCTCCAGGAAGCAGAGAAGTGTAAGTATGTCAAAAGCTTGGATATGCTGCAGCAAGGCTTCTCAACCACAAACCCAATCAGTTTCATTTTTGTGTCTCAGTTTTCTGAGTCAGTCAACAAACTACTTCAAACTGAACCTAAACGTTCCCTACACCTCCCTAAAGAGCTGGTTTCTTCACCATCCAGACCAGACCGTGTTTATTAAGAGCATTTAGCCAGTGCAGTTCATTCAGTTCAACAAATTGTTTTTATCTTCATCATATTGATTTAAAGGTTTCTGTTTTTTCAGGTTACTCCCGCGCCGAGGCTCTTTGCAAAGAGTACCGTCAGACTAAAGGCCCGGGCACCACAGCGAAACCATCGGAGCAGCTGTTCTTTCTCAAACTGGGCGGCCTCATTAAAAACACTCTGGAGAAGTGCCAGAGAGAAAACGGCTTTATGTGAGTCACTTTAGAGCACACACACATAATTTATATTTTTTACACAAGGTCAAAAGAGCAAAAAAATCCTTTAAAATCCTCCCTCAGAAATCAGATTAATTTCTTTGTCACTCTCACGGCTGAGATTGACTCCAGAGGATTTCAAACAAACCTTAAAGAGTCCAGATCAACTGCTGAGATGTGGATTATTAAACTGGTTTGGTTGGTTTTTAGTTTATAAACTGGATTATGTTTAAATTTGTCATATTTCATCCCTGTCATATTTGTCTCTTAAGTCTGCTCTCTGCAAACTCATCCACGTCTGCGATGAGTCATTTGTGTCCGGGTTGACTAATCTGGTTGACTGTTCAGCGTAGCCTGATCCTCTTTGTCAGGGTTAATGAAGCCGGATACTTGCAGGTCTACAAGCTTCCTGTGTGCAGGGCCAGGGTAGAATAGAGTCTGGTGTTAAGATCAGAGTTCATTACATCAAACCTTTCTGTACTGGTACACGAACAAACATGACTCCTTTGTGGAAACACACCGTTAAAGACACACAGGGCAACTTTAACTCACCTCGGAGTAAAGGTTTCATTTAGAAAACTTCTTGTCTTTTTAAAGTCCAAACTCTTTGTTATTTATCTTCAGATACTTCCACAAGGTCCCCGCAGAGCCCCCCCAGCTCGAGTTGAAAGCGAGTTACGGCCTGGCTGAGCCGATCGCATTTGAGCTCCCGCCCCTCAGTGAGCAGTGCACCGCCGAGGTCTACGCCACTTTCGATCTGACCAAGGGGGCCAAATCTGACAAGGTACCATGGTTTGTTTCAGTCTGAAACTCAACTGTGTACAAAGTCTGGATTAAAACTCACATTGTTGTTGTTTTTTTTTATCTCAAGGCCAAACCGAAGGAGGAGGAGGTGAAGCCGGTGAAGGAGCCGGATCTGAAGCCTCAGAAGGACACGGGCTGTGTGGTCTCCTAAAACTCCTCCAGTATCTACTCTCAGCCTCATGCTTCAGCATCATCTATTGTAATGATGGCATCATTATACAGTCTCATGTAAACCACCATATGTTTTTGTAAAGTTAATCCATGCTGTTTTACATTTATGTTGCAATATTTGTATAGTATATGAGCATTACGACAGATCTCCTTAATCGAAGCCAAATCCAGCCACAGTATCTGAGCAGCTTCTCACTCAAAACCGTTTCAAGATGAAGAGATCTTATCGGTTATTAAGAGTAATTAGATATTAGCTGATTATTTAAAATAATAAAATAAAATCAGACCGTTTTAATTGGAGAGATTATTAATGATCATTATGGAGAGTAGATCCAGATTGGAAACTGAAGTATCTGTTATTTAACCTCTTCTGCACTTTAGTGCTCTTACCAGATTACAGCTGATTGAAATAACGTCCTCTTGTTATAAAGTCCTCAAGTATTCATCCAAACAAGTGTCTGAAATGATCAAAACAGGATTTTTTGCCTTGAATTTTTGCTATTTTAGAGAACAGAGTGAAAACAATGTAGGAAGTTGATTTTCCACCTTTGCTGTTGTATTAAATTTCTCCTCTCTTATAGGACAGGACTGACTAAGTACTGAGACAGCGTGTTTCTAACTAACAGCTGATTTAGAAAACATGATATGATTACTGTAGTTCTTTTTATACCTCTCTGATGTAGCTGTTTCTTTCAATTATACTCTTCATTTAAGAAACTTTATAAGTGCTGAATGATTTTCTGTTTACAGGGACTCTGTTTTATAAATATTTTCCTGACTTTAGTTAATTTATTTCTATCATTTTTCTGCAGTTTTTGATGTAGTTGAAAGTTGAGCACACTAAGATTGTAAACAGCTCTTTGTAACTCAAGTCACTTGAGGAGATAATACATACTGTATGTACTCTACATAATTGTTAACCCCCGTCTTCAGGAGAGTTAATGGGAATGAGCTTTATCACATCCTGGGATCAGAAGACATCGTCGCTATCGCTCAGATGAGTTTTGCAGCTGAATAGCAAAGACACAAGGTGTGGCTCACACTGTCGAAATTCTCTTCTCTGAAAAATAAAGTCATGATACAGCAGACCTATCGAGCGTGTGTGTGTGTCCCTAAACAAAGGGGATATTCCAGCGTAAATTGAAGTTATGGTCTAACACCGAGTAACACCATGTGCAGCGGAGTTTGGCAGCTCAAGGAAGAACATTTGTGATCATTACCTCATGGAAATACAATCGGAGTTCTTGTGTATCTTGTATGTGCACTGCAGACGTGGTAGTTCTTCTTTCTTAGCGTCTCGGTCTGATTGCATTATCATGATGTAATGATCATAAATGTTCCTCCTTGAGCTGCGAAACTCCGCTGCACTTGGTGATTGACTTGTCAGGGCTCCCCCACAAAACAAGCGGCTGGTGGAAGAGAGTAGGTAAGTTGTGTTTGGTCTCTTCGCTAAAGAAATTAGGCAAAGTTAAAAAGATGTTTGGTGGCTGGGACCCTATATGTCCTGTTGATGAAGTTAGGTGCTGTTCTGAGCATTATTTGTGGCTATAGAGTGGCGTTTTGGTTGAGGTTTGCAAGTGGAGATGTAGACCGCTGTGTTTTGCTATCGTTCAGTTTACTAATGTTGGTCTAACTAAAGAAAGAAAGCAGTCGGTAACATTCACCTCCCGAGGGGGTGTCTATAACTCGATGTGCTTCACCATTACTTAAATTTACGCCGGAATATCCCTTTAAATCCACTTGAGATCCACTTTAAATCCAAATGAGTGTCAGGTTATCAGTACAGTGTAAACTCCCACGCATTATTTTTCTCCTATATCCTTCAAGAACAACTATTTTTATGTGAGATCCTGTAAAAACATCGCTAGTGTTAGAGTAAAGAGTTCTTACAGCACCTGTCTCTCCCTGCTGTCATGGCAACGGTGCACATCACTGATTGGCCAGTAGATGGAGCATTCCTAATGCTTTCTGCCTCTCTATTGGCTCACGCCCTCCTTCGCCTACGTCATTGTATGTCGGGTTAGGGTTAGGGTTGGGTTATCGCTTCCCAGAGGCGTTATTGTTTTTGTGGGATAGTTGGGGAAGGTCATGCCTCCTTCGACTCTGATTGGCTGTGAAACGTCATCACACGATCAAGCCGAGCGCGGGCTGTCGGCTCTGTACATCGAACAGAACATTACAGAACATTATTGCAGTTCTGAATCTCCTAACCCTAAACCTAACCCGACAGATGATGACGTTTCACAACCATAAGGAATAACCAATCTGAGCCCAGCTTTTCTAGCCAATCACAGGCGAAGGTGGGTGAGACCTCCCAGAGACACCTGAGACATACTGCAGAAATCCAATTGTGTGTATACTTTAAGACAGCTGACAGTCAAAGAAATTTAAAGGTAAAGATAAATCAATCACAGAATTATTAATTTTACATTATATATGCGATATATGATGATTAAATAATAATGAGAGATATGTAAGAATTAAAGGTTGTGACTTATGGCTTTTAAAGTTAATGAAAGTGAGTGAATATATATTATCGGATGTGTTTGTTATAAATTTGGATAAAATTCAGACAAATTTGTGACTCCATACATAATGTGGTCTCTGTGAGGAGGTCAAACTCAGAGTCTCGAGGACTAAAATGTACTGACTGACTCATAAAAAACACGTCTCAGATATATTACGATTAGATTATAATGAAAAACGCAAAAATTAAAGGTCATGATTTATGGCTTTTGCAGTTCAAAGTAGTGTGTAAAATCATGTCTCAGATATATTACGATCTTTCTTGGCTCACTGCTCTGACAAAGCTTTTCTTCAGGATGTCCAAATTATCCAGATCATCGTCAAAGTCCGCCTTTATTGTGGACCCCTTTGGGACGGTATCCAGTTTGTGATTAAGCAGTAAAAACCTTTATTGCTGAAGCCACATGCTGAGGTTGCACATTTCGACTTTTCTGATTTCTCGGAGATGTCACAAACTCAAACCTCTGTCACCACAGACCTTTAGGCATTTATAGAAGTCTCTAATGTTGCTGGACACTGTAGCATCGTCAGTCTGCACCTGCAGAGTCTCATCTTGAAGCATGATCATGAGCTTTTCCTGTTTAATTCTTGGATTTGTTGTGCAAAGAGACTAAACGAGTCAAATATAAAAAGATGGTCGTGTTTTAAAAAAAGCTGCTGCAACCATCTGCACTTGCACCAACACCTCATAAATCAGCAAACCATTGGGGCAAAGTCCTGCAGTTGTAGTGAGTATAATCATGATCAGCAGCTTAAAGTTCATGTCTCGCCACATAAACAAAGAAGCAGCAGTCGGTGACGGTCAGACTGAGGATGGAGAGAGCGCTCTTATATTTGGGACTGGTGACACTCGCCACCTCATTTACAGTAAGTTATAAATCATATTTTACACTATGTGATACAGTAAACTCCTGTTTGAGACTCACTCTGGTTTGTTCCTTTTAGTTACCTCCAACCCACGAGGTTCACGGTAAGTCCGGCTAATGATCATGTGTGAAGTTACTTTAAAAATAGAGACAGTGAGGAGACTCTGAGCGGTGTCTGTGTTCTTGTTACAGAGGTGTATGAGAATGGAGAGGATGAGAACCCCTTTCAAAATCTGGGTGAGATTCAACTTTTCAAAATAAGAGCTGAATCTTTCTCGCGGGTGTTTCTTTTCTTGAAAATGTTGCTCTGTTGCAGGCTCAGATACAGATCTGTTTGAAGGAGATATTTTAAGAAAGGTACGTGTTTTTCTTTTCTATGCTCAGTCATTAAGTCGCTGCACATGTTTGCACTTTTGACTGACTTGCATAATCTTGGCGAGGAAACAGTTTCAGATAACAGCCCTGATGTTAAAGATTGTGCTTTTATTATTATTGTGCTGTGATTGAGTTTATTGTGTTTTTAAAAAGTTCGTCTCTCTGTTACAGAAAGGAAAGAATGCGCTTATCGACGAATCATACAGATGGAAAATGCCAATCCCTTACATACTGGGGGATGATTTGGGTGAGTCTAACCATTGATCTGAAACACCTTTAGATTTAGTGAGAAGTAATAATACAAATATCTGTTTTATTTTGCAAATGTTTCTTCCTCTCTTCAGATCTCAACGCTAAGGGATGTGTCCACCAGGCTTTTGAAATGTACCGACTCAAGTCTTGTGTCGATTTCAAGCCCTACGAGGGAGAGAAGACGTACATCAAGTTTGAGAAGAGAGGAGGGTACGATGACAGCTCTTACTCATGTTAGCTGGTTTTACAAAATCCACTAAAGGTCACAGACTTGGGGGTGAAAATGTCACTGATTGGACTGAGAGAGTGGGTGAGTGGTTGGCGGGTTGGTTGGCCAGAAAAGGAGCTGTTAGTGTGGATGTAGGTGCCTTGTCTTTTAGTGGAGGTTGTACCTTGAGGTACAGATGGGTATCATCAGCGTAACAATAACTTTTCCATGCCGGATCACAACTTCAGACTGCTTTTATCGTCACAGGTGTTTCTCCATGGTTGGCGACCAGCAGAACGGTCAAATTCTGTCCTTGGGTCCGGGCTGTGACCACAAAGCTGTGATCGAACATGAACTTCTGCACGCTGTAGGGTTTTACCACGAACAGTCCCGTACGGACAGGGACGACTATGTTGACATCTGGCTGGAAGAGGTCACTCCAGGTAACTGTCTGGTCCATGAACTGACCTTTGATAACCTCTGACGGAAACATTAAACATGATTATTCCCACAGGATACGAACACAACTTCAACAAATACAACGACGACTTCATTACTGATCAAAACACGGCGTACGACTATGAGTCCATCATGCATTACAGGCCCTTCTCCTTCAATAAGAACGAGTCTGCTCCCACGGTAACCACCAAAATCCCAGAGTTCTTCAACATCATTGGACAGTACCTGGACTTCAGCAAGATGGACACCCTCAGGCTCAACCGGATGTACAACTGCTGTATGTAGACGATGCAAACTTCAATTTATTTGAAGTATTTTGAACCAGAAAATGGGTTTAAGATTTTGAAATAACTCCTCCCTAGCTGGTCCGCTCACCCTGCTGGACCAGTGCGCCTTTGAGTACGCCAGCATCTGCGGTATGGTCCAGGTTTCCCCCGACGATGCTGATTGGGTCCATTCCAAGAGCAGCGTGGGCAACGAGGATCACACAGTGCTCGGACAATGCCGAGGTCAGAGTTCACATAAAAAAAAAAACATTGACCACGGTTAAGCTGTATGCTAAGATAGCTGATCTCCTTCTGTTTGACTCCACAGACGCCGGGTACTTCATGCACTTCAACACCAGCACTGGGAAGCCTCAAGAGACTGCTCTGCTGGAGTCTCGAACCCTCTACCCCAAAAGAAAGCTGCAGTGTCTGGAGTTCTTCTACAAGATGACTGGAAACTTGACCGACAGACTGGTGATCTGGGCCAAAGTCGATGACGGCACAGGCACAGTGCGTCGCATGAAGAAATTACACACCATACATGGTACTTATGAAGTTTACTTAGGCGGCCTAAACTACAGAAGATACCAGAAACCATTCATTAGTCACATTTGTATCTTTACAAGTTAGATTTTCAGACTGATTTCGATCGTTATACTGAGGTCAAACCTTGTTAACTTTGTAGTAAACAACCCCCCCGCTCTCTATTCCGACATTACAGCCAAAATACTAATATTCATCATCTTGTCCTTTTCATTCACCCAGCTGACACCGACCACTCGTGGAAGATCGCTCACGTTCAGATGGAGATCGGGGTTAAATTCAGGTACGCCTTCCAGGCTGTGCGAGGCAATCCCGCCGGATCATCAGGTGGCATTTACATCGACGACATCAGCCTCTCTGAAACCCGTTGCCCTAACGCTGTTTGGAGGATCCAGAATTTCTCCCAGATCATGGCGACAGCTGATAACAACACTGTTATCAACAGCCCTCGTTTCTACAGCCGAGAAGGGTACGGCTACGGCGTGCGGCTCATCCCTTTGTCAAGTTACTCCGATTACACAGGGAACTACGTAGGGCTGTATTTCCACTTGGCTAGTGGGGAAAATGATGCGGTGCTGAAGTGGCCGGCAGTCAACAGGCAGGCAACGCTGGTGGTGATGGACCAGAACCCGGATATTCTGCAGAGGATGTCTACTGCACGGAGTCTCACGACTGACATGAAGCCCTGTAAGTCCTGAACATCTATGATACCCTTACTCAAAGAAAGTAGGAGACATTTGGAGGACCTTGATGTGCTTTAGTCTTTCAATGCAGGCTGAGCCCAGGGTACTATAGTCAATAGGAGTCATGTTATTCCGTCCACTAGTTGTTCTGGGGATTAAAGGATGGACTGAGCATCACCAATATTCAAACATTCATAAAATCAAAAACAACAGACTCCCTCATGTATTGTTGGCTCTTTCTCTTTGTGTCCAGTATCAGATGGGAAGCTGTTATGGGACAGGCCCTCCAAGGTGGGGGTTTATGATGCTTCCTGTGATTGCCACAGAGGTCCATCATGGGGCTGGCGAAACTTTGTCAAGCACTTCGACCTCAACCGAAGGGATTACCTCAAGAACGATGACCTCTTCATCCTAACTGATTTTGACGGTAGGCGGCCATCTCTGTTGAGGACTAATTTACCTTGTTGTGGGGTTTCAGCCAATCAGAATCAAACACTTAACATCTGTGTTTATTACCAAGTTTTCTACTGGTGTTGTAAAATGTTCCAGGATGCAGACTTGAGTGTCCGTTTCTGTGTCCACAGATATAACATCACTCATTAAAACAGAGGTCCCCATTAATCCAAAGGTTTAAGACCGTTCAGGATGGAGGTAAGAGACTGAACACATTTAATTTTAGAAAATGACGTAAATAATATCATCATTTATGTTTTTTTTCTATTTACAATTTTTTTCTATTTACAATCTCCAGATGTTCTGAAGAAGATGGGATCAGGAGAAATATGAAACATGACAAAGAAAAGAGGATGACACTGCACTGCTTCGACTCAGTTTCGCAAGAGTTAAAATTCCTGCACTATTTTTTTCCAAACTCTTTCTGACGTAGATTTTGTCTTTGAGTTAAAGTCTGTCTTGTGAAAAAATGAAAATAAAAATATCAAAGATGGCTGCTGTTTCAGTGTCACAAAAGCTGCACACCACACACACGGACAAACACACACAAGTTCACAAGTTCGAGTCTTCTGTGGTCGTCTTTATTAACTTTTATTTACCTCCACAGAATCCAATTAGCTAATTTTATTACATCCACACACCACCCCGAGTTTTTAAGGTCCAACATAAAGGGGTCAACACAGAGTTGCCAAGCGTATGATAATTATCGTATTTGTACGATAATTTTGCTCTCTGTACGATGTACCATCGATAACCCAGAAAAAAGGCTAAATGTACGATAATTTGACAGTTTTGTGAACGCTTGGTGCAACGGAACTGTCTCAGTCTGCCAGACACCTTAATTTTCAGTTTTTTTATTCGCGAACCCTAAAGGCATGTTTAACCACGTGATGTTTCCATCCAATCGTGGTTTCAGTGACGTTTGTTTGCAAACAACAACCATGATTGGCTGTCAATCATGCTCAGGTGAAAAGTCAGTTGAGAAAAATGGTTAAAAGAAATCCTTTTCATCACCTCAGACCACAGGATAGGCAGGAAAACCTGCTGGAATAAGCTGTCCAACGCTGCGTTCGAGTTACCTGGGATGTCCGAATATAAAGCAAGCGCTAAAGTAACTTTTGTAGATGTAGCCATCTTGTTTCAGGCCTCAAATTTTGTTTTTTCCCAACTTGGTAACTGAAACGCTGGTAATTCGGGTGTGATGTCATTAATTGAAATACATTTGGTCAGAACGTCTTTCCAAGGACTTCCAAGAAGTCCGAGCTGAAAATGACGTCACTCCTGAGTTCCCAGCATTTCAGTTACCAAGTTGGAAATAAGCAAAATTGGAGGCCTGAAACAAGATGGCTACATCTACGAAAGTTATTTTTGCGCTTGCCTTGTTTGAATATAAGGTACGCTGGTAACTCGGGTGTGACATTGTTTTATTCTAAGTCAAGTCACAGCTCAAAACTGGCTCAGACCTCTTGACATCCACAAAAGAAACCGGTCTTGACACTTTTTAATCACAAATCAAATCACATTTAGCTGGACTTTCAAGATACAACTTAGTTTAAAGAGCTAAAATCATCAAAACACGTCGTCAAAAATTAAAGTAAGAAGAAATATGATGGTTTCTACAAAGTGGACGTTTTCTGTTTGTTCCTTCTAAAGATTCGAGCATGAAAACTGACCCTGACCCTGACCTGGACGACCCTCCCCTCCAGTTTGACAGCCAATGGGAGGCCTTTTAGCTGCCTCCAGGATGCTCTTTAGTTTTACTGTCCTCTCCACTCTGACCCAGCATCATGCAAATTTTCTTGGCTCACCACAACAAGGAGATCTTTTCGATTGAGTTCAATAAATAAAAGACACTGCTGCCAGCTGGTCAGAGGTCAAACCCACAAACAACATAATTACCCGCAGAGCTCATCAATCCTTCACTAAGTTCCCTCTGTACAGACCGGGCATTTAACAGCTCAGACCATTTCTGCGTGTCAGCAGAAACAGGAGTGAGGATGAGTGTGAAAAGCCTGTCACTCATTAAACTCTCTAATCAGGATCAAAGTTCCTCTGAGGCTGTTTTTTATGAGCATGTTCACTTATGCAAAGACACAACATTTGCTGCATGAATCACAACATGGGTTCGAGGGAGAGCAGGTGGAAAATTGCAGCATTAATTGGAGTCCTGGTGGTTTTAAAGGTGGGAAACCGTGAGTGAGTTTGTGTTCAGTCTGTTTCTGTCTAAACGGCTTACACTGAGTCCTGTCTCCTCTTCTGTTCCAGGTTCAAGCTGCTCCAACAGGTTCTGGTTCTGTTGTTCTGGTTTTCTGATCAAATGGATTTTAAAGGTTTGTCACTTTTCTGCTCTAATAGTAAATTCATCCTTCAGGTCATAACGCAGACGCTGGAGAGCTGAGGGATGACATCCTGGAGATCAACAGAGGTGAACTTTATTTCTTGTTGCTGGTACTTGCCCTCTGATCATACCCTTTGTGACAAATTTTGAATATTTTCAGGGTTGAACCTGTTTGAGGGAGACATCGCCGGTAATGTAAGTATACAGAGATGCTGCTTGCAGATGTTTGTCAAGAACTCAAAAACCTTTATTTCTCTTAAATCTGTTGATGTGTTTTACAGCCAAGCAGAAATGCAATCCTTGACCCGACGAAGAGATGGACCTTTCCCATCCCTTATATCTTAACGGACTCCTTAGGTACAAAGAGCGTAAAATTCACATTTCTAAAAAAAATAATAAAAAAACTTTGTAGGTTAAATATGACTGTTTTCAATCTCTGCAGAGCTCAACGCCAAAGGTGTAATCCTCCAGGCGTTTGAGGAGTACCGTTTGAGATCCTGCGTGGATTTTAAGCCCTATGAGGGTGAGACCAGCTACATCTCCTTCACCAAGCTGACCGGGTGAGTGAGCTGGTGTACGACACAAATGTAACTCCAATAAAGAGAGGCACAAAGAAGTGAAGAAAAGCCAAGACAGAGATCTGATTTGATATGAGACGACTCTTTAACTTTCTCATCTCACTGCTGCAGATGTTGGTCGTATGTCGGGGATGATAAAGTTGGCCAAAATATCTCCATCGGGGAAAGATGTGACACCAAAAGTATCGTGCAGCACGAGCTCCTCCACGCTCTGGGCTTTTACCACGAACAGTCTCGCTCTGACCGAGACGACTACGTCAAGATCATGTGGGATCAGATTGAAGAGGGTAAGTCCCTGTACACTGGGTTATAATTTAATGTTATATTTACTTAAAGACCCACTCCGATGAAAATCATGTTTTTCTTTTTTTCATATGTCATTTTTCTGATGCAACAGGACATATCATGAGAAAACTAAATGTGAAATTGCTTTTCTGAGTATTTCTCCATTTAAATCTCTGTGAATCTCTGGCAGACCCAAACAGCAGGTTCAGAAACAGTGAGATTTCCTATGTCACAAAACCAAGCTCCGCCCCCGGAGCCCTGCTATGCAGGCCAGATTCAGACAAGTAGAGTATTCATACTTATTCATACTTTCCAACTGTTTTCATTCAGTTTCGTAACGAGAGATAGTTTTCTCCAAAATAGAAAGTGTTGTTTGATGTAGAGTAGCCTAAACTATCCCACTGAGCATTGTTTGGTCTAAAGAGGTCTAAATGTAGCCTAGACGACTGGTCTAAAACCAGGCTACCACAGGTCTAAAAATGAAATTTTTTTAGACGTCCATATTTAGACCAGGTCTAAATCTGAGCTATATCTATACTATGCTGTATATTTCTCCATGGCTATCATAATTATTCTGGTTAAGCACTCAGAGATCAGTAATGCGACTCACAGTTGCTTTTTGAAATAAATAGTTATGGAATAATGAGTTAAAGTGCAACATCTAAATTTAGTCTCATTGCCGTCTATTGCTCAGTGGGTAATTAAGTTTATGATCTCACGTGTTGCCCCGCCTCAGTCCCTCCTCTCCTTAACTTGATTGTGTTTTTAAGACTTCCATAAACATCCTGATAATACTGTTATCTTTAGTTTTATGGCCACAATAATATGAGGTAAAAGTCTGATTTTTCACAGGAAAGGGGCATAATTTCAATAAGTATGAAGATGACATCGTCACCGACTTGAATACGGCGTATGATTACGAGTCCATCATGCACTACAGACCTCATTCATTCAACAAGAACGAGAGCATCCCCACCATCGTCACTACCATACCGTACTTCAATGATGTGATTGGCCAGCGGCTGGACTTCAGCGCCATTGACATCACCAGACTCAACCGGATGTACGACTGTGGTGAGTGAGACCTTTTTTCTGAGGAACCAAAGTTCACAAACACAGCTGTGGACTTTTCATCAGTTTGTTATTAACTTTCCTTTCCAGCCAATTCACACACCCTCCTGGACCAGTGCTCCTTTGAGCTTATCAACATCTGTGGGATGATTCAGAATGAGGAAGATGACGCAGACTGGGTCCAAACTCTGAGCACCCCAACTGATACGGACCAGACCTTGGCAGGGCGCTGTAAAGGTACAGAGAGGAAGTTTTTATGTGTAGTAAGAGGAAACAAACTTCTGGCCTTAAACTCATGGTCAAACATTCGCCCCTCTGTCTTTAGAGTCCGGCTACTTCATGAAGTTTGACACGTCCTCTGGTGCAGCTGGAAGCAGCGCCATACTGGAGTCCCGAATTCTCTACCCGAAGAGGGACGAGCAGTGCCTGCAGTTTTTCTACAAAATGACCGGACCACCTTCGGATAAACTTGTCATATGGATCAGGACTGATGATGGGACCGGGGCTGTTCAGAGTGTCAAAAAGATCCAAACGATTTCAGGTATTTTTGTTCTTCATTCAAACTGCAGTTTTATGCTTATTTCTTTACACTTAAAGTCCTGGTTGACGATCTGAGAAGCAGTTGAAAAAAACTGAGACGTTGAGGCAGATTTGAAAAAAGCGTCCCCCCTCCCGTCTTATGTTGCCATTTAAGATGTTTTTAACAAACTAAACAGCTTAGAAATCATGTGCAACTTCAGTTATGTTGAATCGAAAGAGCATTTCTGCCACTTTAACTGTTGTAAAATTGCTTGGTCAACTTTGTAATATGTACTTGGTCTCACTCACAGCGAGTCTCTTAGCCAAATTAGACAGCTGATAAACACGAGCACATCCACAAAGACTGTCACTTAGACAAGAAAAATATCTAGGCTGTCATACAAGAAATGAAAATCTCGATTGTAGTCTGAGCCTTGAAAACTCAAAAGTTAGCCCTTGCGCGCATATAGCTGTGAAACAACTGTGCTTCATGATTTTTTTCTCATAGTAAATCTGCCATTTCGATATGTCCAAGCATCCCGACTCATAGCCACGTGATTAAGGTCTGTAATAAACAAAACTATTTGTAAATCTGTCAAGATTTCAGCGAGTTAAGAGTATTTTTGACCATGCAGACTACTCACCTTCCATCTCGCTACCATACAATGTATCAGAATGGTATACTGAAGTAAGATGGCCGCCGTGTACAGACGCTGGTGACTCTGTCTCGATTCATCTGGCCTTTCTTATATATGTATATGGCTCAGATCCCCGAGGAGGGCCGGGAGAGTGGGAGGGGACGAGTCGGAACTATGGGAAAGGGGTGTGTAGAATACAGCGAGGTGATTGGAAGAAGAGAGGCGGAGCAGGAGATTGACCAATAGGAGCTGTCCAGGACAGATGGCTCCCATTGGTCAATGTTTTTGCAGCCCTGAATCTGCGAAGGTGAACGGATTTTCCCCATTCTTTTTTCTCTTCACTCTGTGGAGATCACACTATAGGACCATGATCACCATAGAAACGAGGTTCATAATAATTTCCAACCTCTCCAATCATCAACCATGCCTTTAAACGGACCTCAAAGTAAAATTTAAGTATTCTGCTTCTTATCTTTAAGCTGATGGAGATGATGCCTGGAAAATCGCCCATGTGACCCTCAAAGTGACTGAAAAGTTCAGATACTTCTTCCAGGGCATTAAAGGATCATCCAGCTCCACTGGCGCCATCCTCATCGACGACATCACTCTTTCTGAAACCGTTTGCCCTCACCTGGTTTGGCAAATCCACAACTTCACCGGCTTGATGGCCAGCACCCCTCCAGGCGATTCTATGGAAAGCGATTGCTTCTACAGTCCAGAGGGATACAGATTTGGTATCAGCGTTTATCCAAACGGAGATGATGCGGCTTACCCTGATTATGTCGCCATGTTCCTGCACCTCTGCAGTGGGGAAAATGACGGGGTGATGCAGTGGCCTGCTCAAAACAGACAGGTGACCTTTGTGGTCATGGACCAGGACCCGGATGTAAAACTGAGGATGTCTTCAACGAGGAGCTTCACAACAGGTGGGCAGAATGACGCCTTCAGCTGGATGACATGGTGACATGCTGCAGCTCAGTTTTTTTCTTCAGGTTTTCATGAGCTGGTGAAACTATCGATCAGATTTAATGAAATCACAGCATATCATTCACGCATTTATTTTTTTTTACTGTTTTTACAGATGATAGTGCATTCTGGGATAGACCAACCGCAGATTCAGGAGCCGTGTACGATCCCAACTGTGAGTGTTACCGCGGTGTGGAAGACGGTTGGAGCACATTCATTTCCCACAAGCAACTGCAGAAGAGGAGCTTCCTCAAGAATGACGACCTGATCATTACTGCAAACTTTGACGGTGAGTTTTTTTTTTCTCCAAACAGCTGATATTCTCGTCCATCATGATTCATATCTCCGGCATGTTTTTGTTTTTCCAGATTTGACCCACCTAATAAACACAGAAGTCAAACCACTTGCCCCGAGTAAGGATGATGTCCCGGCTGTTTAAAATGGAAATGAACTGATTGGAGGCGTGTCTGGAGCCATGGTGCTGCTGACCTTCGCCGTCTACACTGTCATCAGGAGAGCTCAGTGAGGTGTGCGCTCACTCACACGTGGGGCTGTACATATCACCAATCTGCATCAACGCTTGGCTCACAGACAGACAACCATTGGCACAAGTATAGCATCAGTCGTGCGTTTACTGTGTATTGAATCTTCTGATCTTTCTGATCCTTGATCATCCGACACAAAACAAAAAACGGAGCTGCTGTTTCTCCGTTCCTAAATCTGGAAAAACACACAAACGTCATTTTACCAACAATTCCTGCTTATATTATGTCTTTTTTTGTGGTTTATTGAAAAACCTTTAAATGTAACTATATTAATATTGTAATCTGCACACTGCACATAAAAAAATCCTGTTTTTTAAAATAACCTCCTGCTCTGATAATAAAGATTCTTCATTAAGGATTTCAGACTTGCATGATTATTAAAATACATCTGTAACTAAACTGGAGTCTGGTTCAGACTTAAACTCACGCAGTTTTATCAAAATTAACCCTCAAGACATATTTAATCCCAAGACTTAGGGTGTTAGTTTCTGCTCATGTTTGCTTTAAATATATTAATAAAAATATATGATCCAATTTATTTAAAACAGCAGATTCAACAAAGCTGCCTCTCAGTTGTTCACTGATATTATGAAGCAGCGCTCCTGTGCAGTTATCTTTAAGCATATTTGACTCTGACACACTATCCAGGAAAACTGATTCAGGCTAGGATCCAATCACACGGCTTAAAATTTGATACTGCTCTGATTTACACCTGTAATTGCTGATTTGAGGTTTTGGAAAAACAGACAATAACATGAGGAAAGTGTAGCGAGAGCAGATGTGTACCTGTTGAGTAGGGAACATATAAGGGGACGGACACACAGGAAGTATAGGTGTGTGTGGATGCAGAGATGCAAATGAAGTGAACTGCAGACTGACAGATGTCTCCTGTCTGAAAGTTCATACAGACTGCCTGAACACGGCAATTAAAGGATTTATCGTCTTTGTATCTGACTTCACCAGGTAAGTTTTATTTCACTTTAATCACCACCAAATACGTGCAAATCTTGTATCATTTAAGTTCAAACTGCACCTCATGTTGCATGTTTTTTCTGAGTTTGTTTTTGTGTGTGCCAACTTTAAGGTGGGGTAGTTAGGATCTGAGGAAGTGCCAGTATTTGGGAGCCATCTTGAACTCTACCCCTCCAAACAAGTTTTCCCCTCAGCTCCTCCTCTCCCCTTCCTCTCAGCTCCAGCAAGCCCCGCCCACAAACAGACGCTCCTGCTCGCTCGTATCGTTTCAATTAAATTTGGATATAATGCAGATAAATACTTCAGATCATTACAAATGGGGCCCAGTCAAGGTGAAAGTCAAAAGCATTGATGCTACTGTAGATGCCAACAGACTACCAGCAAACACAATGTTTGCAGGACTTCTACAACGAGGATAAAGTGACATAGTCCAGGACCCGAGGGAGGACAGTTTAGCGATGGCGCTACAACACGCTACAGCAGGTCGGTTTGACAAGAAACACTTCTGTTACAGACACTTGTCTTACTTTGTTAAAGCGGTTTACCTGTCCAGCAGAAAGGTTACAGGGTCACCAAGATCCCCAAGCGTCCCCCATCGTTTATGTTGACCCGGCTTTTTAGCTCTTGTCCGGTCTACCTCCGTTTTAAGCGCCCGTTATTCCTCCAGAGTCTCCGGTATTTACTTTGTTTTCTTGCTTGTGTCGGCAGTCGTGGCCAAAGGAGGATTCAGACAATTTTCCGAACTTTCTGGTTGGTTTCTACTGTCCGATATTGTAGCACGCTAACTTTGTTTGGGCTCCTGAACGACACGGGGGAGCAGCGTCTGCCTCACAACCAATCAGGTCGGGGAGGTTGAGAATGGCTTTGTTTACAGTCAGAAAGAGCGGACCACTCTAAAAATTTTAAAATGTTAACTACACAGACTAAACAAAACACAGTGATATCGTTATATTACCAAACGTCATCAATAACTAATAGCTATTGACTGATATTAAAGCTTTTTTGTAAATACACCACAAAAACAGATGCTTAACGGATTCCTGCCGACCCTGCCTTTAAGTTTTGCTGTCCTCTCCACTCTGACTTTGCACAATGCAAATTTTCTTTGCTCACCACAACAGGGAGACAGTTTTGATACAGTCAATGTGGATTATTGCGAAACTTTAAGAAAAGACACTGCTGCCGGCTGGTCAGAGGTCAGTCAACATAATTACCCACAGAACTCATCAATCCTTCACTAAGTTCCTTCTGTATTCAACGGCAGAAACAGGAGTGAGGATGAGTGTGAAAAGCCTGTTACTCATTAAACTCTATAATTCAGATCAAAGTTCCCCTGCACCTCTTTTTATGAGCATGCTCACTTACGCGAAGAGACGACATTAACTGCTCAGATCACAACATGGGTTCGAGGGAGAGCAGGTGGAAAATTGCAGCATTAATTGGAGTCCTGGTGGTTTTAAAGGTGGGAAACTGTGAGTGAGTTTGTGTTCAGTCTGTTTCTGTCTAAACGGCTTACACTGAGTCCTGTCTCCTCTTCTGTTCCAGGTTCAAGCTGCTCCAACAGGTTCTGGTTCGTAGTTCTGATTTTCTGATCAAATAGAATTTAAAGGTTTGTCGCTTTTCTGCTCTAACAGTAAATTCTTCCTTCAGGTCGTAACGCAGACGCTAGAAAGCTGAGGCATGGGATACTGGAGATCAACAAAGGTGAACTTTATTTCTTGTTGCTGATACATGCCCTCTGATCATACCCTTTGTGACTAACTTTTATATGAACATTTTCAGGGTTGAACCTGTTTGAGGGAGACATCGCCGGTAATGTAAGTATACAGAGATGCTGCTTGCAGATGTTTAAACTTAAAAACCTTTATTTCTCTTAAATCTGTCGATGTGTTTTACAGCCAAGCAGAAATGGAATCCTTGACCCGACGAAGAGATGGACCTTTCCCATCCCTTATATCTTAACGGACTCCTTAGGTACAAAGAGCGTAAAATTCACATTTCTTAAAAACAAATAACCTCGTAGATTAAATATGACTGTTTTCAATCACTGTAGAGCTCAACGCCAAAGGTGTGATCCTCCAGGCGTTTGAGGAGTTCCGTTTGAGATCCTGCGTGGACTTTAAGCCTTATGAGGGTGAGACCAGCTACATCTCCTTCATCAAGGAGGACGGGTGAGTGAGCTGGTTTATGACACCAGTGTGATGGTGTGATTTCATACAAGACGACTCTTCAACTTTCTCATCTCACTGCTGCAGATGTTGGTCGGATGTCGGGGATAAAAAAATTGGCCAGAATATCTCCATCGGGCTAGGATGTGACTCCAAAAGTACCGTGGAGCACGAACTTCTCCACGCTCTGGGTTTTCTCCATGAACAGTCTCGCTCTGACCGAGACGACTACGTCAAGATCATGTGGGATCAGATTGAAGAGAGTAAGTTGCTGGATATTTCTATTTTTAAGAAAAGTTTATAATTTCAATTCATATTCAATTTAATCCACGTTATATTCACTTAGCAGGATTCAGGAGAATAGCCGAATGCTAGCAAACTAGCTGTAGCACCCCTTTGAGACACGATCGAGCACTTTTTAAAAATACTTAAATATTTTCCAACTGTTCTCATCCAGTTTTGTAAGGAGAGATAGTTTTTCCCAAAATAAAAGCGTACTTTGATGTAGAGCAGCCTAAACTAATGAAGTTCGAGACGTTGGCTGTTGCCCCGCCTCAGTCCTCCCTCTCCTTAACTTCATTGTGTTTTTAAGACTTCCATAAATATCCCGATAATACTGTTATCTTTTAATTTTATGGTGACAATAATATGATGTCAAAATCTGATTTGACACAGAGGAGGAGCATAATTTCAATAAGTATGAAGATGACTTAATCACGGACTATAACACGCCATATGATTACGAGTCCATCATGCACTACGGACCTTATTCATTCAACAAGAACGCCAGCATCCCCACCATCGTCACCATCATACCCGACTTCAGCGAGGTGATTGGCCAGGAGCTGGACTTCAGCGCCCTCGACATCACCAGACTCAACCGGATGTACGACTGTGGTGAGTGAGACCTTTTTTCTGAGGAACCAAAGTTCACAAACACAGCTTCAGACGTTTCAGTAGTTTGTTATTAACTTTCCTTTCCAGCAAATTCACACACCCTCCTGGACCAGTGCTCCTTTGAGCTTATCAACATCTGTGGGATGATCCAGAATGAGGACGATGACGCAGACTGGGTCCAAACTCTGAGCACCCCAACTGATACGGACCAGACCTTGGCAGGGCGCTGTAAAGGTACAGAGAGGATGTTTTTATGTGTAGTAAGAGGAAACACACCTCTGACCTTAAACTCATGGTCAAACATTCGCCCCTCTGTCTTTAGAGTCCGGCTACTTCATGAAGTTTGACACGTCCTCTGGTGCAGCTGGAAGCAGCGCCATACTGGAGTCCCGAATTCTCTACCCGAAGAGGGACGAGCAGTGCCTGCAGTTTTTCTACAAAATGACCGGCCCACCTTCGGATAAACTTGTCATATGGATCAGGACTGATGATGGGACCGGGGCTGTTCAGAGTGTCAAAAAGATCCAAACGATTTCAGGTATTTTTGTTCTCCATTCAAACTGCAGTTTTATGCTTATTTCTTTACACTTAAAGTCCTGGTTGACGATCTGAGAAGCAGTTGAAAAAAACTGAGCCGTTGAGGCAGATTTGAAAAAAGCGTCCCACCCCCCACACACAAACCTCTCCCCTCTGTGCTCCATGATAACTTCCCCCCAAACCTGTATCGCCCTCTCCATGATACACCCCCTCTGGCAGAGCAAGAAGCCGACCGGCAGAAGATCCTACGCTAGCTTCAAATAGGATTCACCATGTTGGATTGCTAATGACTAGTGGCAGTACACGCCAGCTCTGCTAGCGAGCGCCATCTGCAGCTGCCTGTTGACATTACAGAGACGAATAAGAGTTATTTATGTAACATGTGCCACGATAAAAGGCGATAAAAATTACCTGTTCAACAAGAACGAAGGATGACCCGATGTTTATTCGAGTTAAATTCCTCGCTTGGTCACATTTCCTCTTCGTCTCCGCCCTTTCTTCTGTCAACTTGCGTTGGCTTAGCACTTTTGGCGGAGGGGCGAGTAGAAGTGTTTTTTTTTTTTTTTGCAACCTTCTCCATCACAGCGCCTGTAGCTAAGCTGCTACGCTACTTTTAGCCGCTCAGAGCTCCGAGGACTGTCGGGGGAGTGGGAGGGGATGAGTCAGAACTACAGGAGAGGGGTGTGTCGAATACAGCGAAGTAATTGGATGGTGAGGCGGAGCAGGAGATTGACCAATAGGAGCTGTCCAGGACGGATTGCTCCCATTGGTCAATATTTTTGCAGCCCTGCACCTCCTTGGGTGAATGTATTTTTCCTATTCTTTTTTCTCTTCACTCTGTGGAGATCACACTATAGGACCATGATCGCCATAGGAACAAGGTTCATAATAATGACCAATCTCTCCAATCGTCAACCATCCCTTTAAACGGACCTTAAAGTAAAATTTAAGTATTCTGTTTCTTATCTTTAAGCTGATGGAGATGATGCCTGGAAAATCGCCCATGTGACCCTCAAAGTGACTGAAAAGTTCAGATACTTCTTCCAAGGCATTAAAGGATCATCCAACTCCACCGGTGCCATCCTCATCGACGACATCACCCTTACTGAAACCGTTTGCCCTCACCTTGTTTGGCAAATCCACAACTTCATCGGCTTGATGGCCAGCACCCGTCCAGGCGATTCTATGGAAAGCGATTGCTTCTACAGTCCAGAGGGATACAGATTTGGTATCAGCGTTTATCCAAACGGGCATGGTGTGGATTTCCCTGATTATGTCGACATGTCCATGCACCTCTGCAGTGGGGAAAATGACGGGGTGATGCAGTGGCCTGCTCAAAACAGACAGGTGACCTTTGTGGTCATGGACCAGGACCCGGATGTAAAACTGAGGATGTCTTCAACGAGGAGCTTCACAACAGGTGGGCACAATGACGCCTCCAGCTGGATGACATGGTGACATGCTGCAGCTCAGTTTTTTTCTTCAGGTTTTCATGAGCTGGTGAAACTATCGATCAGATTTAATGTTTGTTGGAATAAGGGGAGAAATCACAGCAAATCATTCATGCATTTATTGATTTACTGTTTTCACAGATGATAGTGAATTTTGGAATAGACCAACCGCCGATTCAGGAGCAGAGTACGATCCCAGCTGTGAGTGTTACCGCAGTTTTGACTTAGGCTGGGGCACATTAATTCCTCACAAGCAACTGCAGAAGAGGAGCTTCATCAAGAATGACAACCTGATCATTACTGCAAACTTCGACGGTAAGAGTTTATTTTTTTCAGCTCTTAGATCAGACTCATCATTCTCCAAACAGCTGATATTCCCACGCACCATAATTTACATCTCTGCCACGTTGTTTTTCCAGATTTGACTCACCTAATAAACACTGAAGTCAAACCACTTGCCCCGAGTAAGGATGATGTCCCAGCTGTTTAAAATGGAAATGAATTGATTGGAGGCGTGTCTGGAGCCATGGTGCTGCTGACCTTCGCCGTCTACACTGTCATCAGGAGAGCTCAGTGAGGTGTGCGCTCACTCGCACGTGGGGCTGTACATATCACAAATCTGCATCAACTCTTGGCTCACAGACAGACAACCATTCCCTCAAGAATCACATCAGTCATGTGTTTACTGTGTATTATATGATTAAAACCAGCACGGTGAATCATAGGTGTGTCACGCCATCATGTTCTTCTATTTTATTTCATTAGATATCATCCAGAGTATTGCACTGATGCAGTTACACACAAAGTACAGGTTCTTGTTTCGTTCCTTTATACAACAGCATCAAACAAAGCCAAACTAATAAAAAAGACAGAAAAGTATAAGTATACAGACAGGAGTCATAAATCATGCAGTTAGAGTCAGTATGATACAGTAACAGCTTATTATTGTGTTTTACTATGTTGGTATTTACTTAAAAAATATGCGTCTGCTCCCTAAAAGAAGAAAAGAGGATGCATTTAAAGGTGTGCACCAACCAAATTTACATTTTAACCTCCTGAAACGATATTTGATGAGTCATTCATGTGTGCGGTGGTCAGGTCACTCTGATAATCTCTCTTCAGTAGTTTACCAACTGTAGTTTGTCATCTTCATCTTTGTGATCCTCTGACACAAAACAAAAAACTGAGCTGATGTTTCTGTCCCCAAATCTGGAAAAACACAAAAGTGTTATTTCACCAACAATTCCTGCTTATATTGTCTTTTTTTCCATGTTTTTTTCTTTGGCCATGATAAGATGACACGCTCTATATTTACAATATTCATATTGTAATCTGCACACTGCACATTAAAAAAAATCCTGTTTTTTAAAATAACCTCCTGCTCTGATAATAAAGATTCTTCATTAAGGATTTCAGACTTGCATGATTATTTAATTACATCTGTAACTAAACTGGAGTCTGGTTCAGACTAGTGTTGCTTTCGTCAACGAACGAACGTTATGACGAAATATCGTCTTCAATGAGCCTTTATTACGTGACGAAAACGAGATGAAACGTAAACGGTGGTCTTGTGACGACAACTATAACAAAATATATGACGCAATAATGCCGACGACGAAACGAAATTGTTCAGTCGCGTTGTACTCGTTTTCTGTTTCCTCGGCTGTGACGTCACTTCCTCAATCCCCTAAAATTCGCGGTCTTTTTAGATGCGGTGGGCAAAGACGTTTTTGGGTGAGTTGGAGTCACGGCCGGGTTGTCAATAAGAAACGATATCTGGACACATTTGAGTTACAAACAAGTGGAAAACAAAACGGAATGTGTCGTGGAAAAGAAAAAGGGAGAGATGCAAAATGGCCGGGAAAAACACCGCGAATCTAAAAAGACAAGATCTTCCATGCTGAATTCGAGGTTAGTTAAGACACTGATGTAACTTCACCTATATCTTACACCATTCATCCGAGTGTGTGTGTTGTGTGTGTGTGTCTACGGCGCGCGTGAGTGTGCATGTAGCCTGTCCCTCGCCTATCGTGTGTGTGCGCGTGCATGTGTGTAGCCTGGTGTCTTGTGTGTGTGTGTAGCGTGTGTCTAGCTCAGCGTGTGTGTAGTGCGCGTGTGTGTGTCTAGCTTGTGTGTGAGCAGTCTGCTCAGAGTATATTCCATGTGTGGAATGAATGTGTTCTTGAGTCTATAAGGTAACAATAATATAATAATAAGAACCATGATTGATTTGTGAAATGGGTTTGATGAAAAGAAAATTTGGTTAAATCTGTTTGATACTATACTAGGTATCACACTATATTAATTGGGTTAAACAGATTTAAAATACTAAATAGGATGAACATTATGGACTAAAACTAGACTAAAATAGTCATGGGTTATTCCAACTAAAACTAGACTAAAGTAGTCATGGGTTTTTCTGACTAAAACTAGACTAAAATGCTCAGAGTTTTAGTTGACTAAAATTTGACTAAACAAAAATGAGTTTAAATGTGACTTAGACTAATAAAAACTGAAATGACAGTTTGACACAAAGACTACACTAAAACTAAAATTAAAATAGGCTGCCAAAACAAAGCTAGTTCAGACTTTAACTCAGGCAGTTTTATCAAGATTAACCTTAAAGACATATTTGATCCCAAGACTTAGGGTGTTAGTTTTTGCTCATGTTTGCTTTCAGTACATAAGTTTGCACTGTCATCAGGGCCGCAAGAAATCACAACACTTTGTGCAGCAAGGTGACAACGAACGGGGCGACTTATAGACCCCAACACAGATACAGTCATAGAGAGCAGCAGAACGAAGAACCACCTCCTCTCCACTTTAGTGATTAATTCTTGCTTTAATAAAAATATATGATCCAGTTTATTTAAAACAGCAGATTTAACAAAGCTGCCTCTCAGTTGTTCACTGATATTATGAAGCAACGCTCCTGTGCAGTTATCTTTAAGCATATTTGACTCTGACACACTATCCAGGAAAACTGATTCAGGCTAGGATCCAATCACACGGCTTAAAATTTGATACTGCTCTGATTTACACCTGTGATTGCTAATTTGAGGTTTTGGAAAACCAGACAATAACATGAGGAAAGTGTAGCGAGAGCAGATGTGTACTTGTTGAGTAGGGAACATATAAGGGGCAGACACAGAGGAAGTATAGGTGTGTGTGGATGCAAAGTTGCAAATAAAGTGACCTGCAGACTGACAGATGTCTCCTGTCTGGAAGTTTATAACAGCTAACAGCTAACCTAACTGATATTTTGGAGACTACAGTGACATCAATCATCTTGAATCAAACCGGACATTAACTCCAAAATTTCCGGTTTGGATTCAGATTCAGGTTTTGTTCTCTCAGTGTCAACAGACAGACGTGGACTCGGACTGACCTCAGTTTCCGTATGTGGCTGTAGTAAAGTTCTTCATGCTTTCACTTTTTCCCTTCGACTTTTTCTGAAAATCAAAGCAAACAGGGTCACGGCGCATGTTTCAGTCAAATTAAGGAGAAATTCTGCTCCAACGTTTCAGGTAAACTCACCATTATGATCTTTATCAGTTCCTCTCGAACCTTTTCGAAACAATAGAAACAGAAACTTGCTGGATTAAACAGCTTTAAATGTCATTAACAGAGAGGAAATTAATAAGTTTATCATCAGTTTTGAACATTTCACTGTTGATCAAAGAACTGTAGGTTATTTTCAGTCATATGTATCAGTTTAGGTGTCAAACGTACCTTCTGCTCTGCAAAACACCCTGTAACCAAAAGGAAAAAGCCCTGCGAAAAAAAGAGACATTTTTTAACCAGTTAATTTCAGTGAAGCGTATTTATTTACCATTCAAAAAAAAAAGTGTTCATTTACTAATCTATAGACATTATTTGGTAGAGGGTCTGAAAAACAATCCTTTTAGTGCAGGATATTGTTGCAAACCCCAAAAGTTGTCTACTCTCTCTTGTTTTGGAGTAAGACAAAAAGGACATTTTGCATTTTGATCGTCAAAGTTAAGAAAATATATCACTAAATATGTTTTAGTGGACTTACCTAATATATTTAATATTTCAACATTTACTGCTTGTAGATTATTAAGAATTTGAACCCACCAGGGAGATTTAACCGTATTTTATTGTTATATAAACAGAAAACTATCTTGGTCGTCTCTATATCTGGGGTGGCCCTTAATCAAGTTAATGAAGACAATATATCAGTAAAAGTTTTGAGGAGATATCACTGCAGTGTACTAAAGTAGAGGTGCAAAGGTCAAAGTTGGCATCAGTATCTGTTCTTACTTGTATCTAAGAGTAAGAAGCTGGACTAGCTGCCCTTTTACATGCATGAACACTATAAGTAATATATTTTTTTAAGGATTCATCTGTTCAGTGCGGCTTGAGTCGCAGAGGTATGTTTCAGATATAATTATTATTATTCTATATTTTAAGATCTTCATTCCCTGTCTTTTTCTTTTTTTCTTTATCGTGCTCTTTCGCTGGAATTCGTGTCTATAAGGAAGAAAAAAGCACCATTAAAATTAAATACATAGAATGTTTTAATTGAACATTTGCTTGTAGTAAAAAATGGCCACAATGATGTAACTGAGCCTTTGTATTAGATATTAAATTTTTTCTTCCAGGTTCATTACCATTGTAACAGCCAGAGTATAGCCACACAGCGGCACCTCCATTGTTTTGTCACTTGGTATCACCCTTGCTACTCCCCTACTCTTTTTCCCTTGACTTAAGTAATGTGGACGCTGGTGAAGGCTGCAAGCCACAAACATCTTTGTTCTCTGTTTATAGTTTTGTTGAGAGTTACAGTTTATGCCGTGAGACCTGGCTTGTATGGTCCGAAGGTGTGTATAAATGTACAGTGTGGAAATCCCTGGACTTCCCCTCCTGCCTTGCAACTTAATTTTACACCGGAGTTAAGCTAACAGCATCTGTGGCTAAACTTCCCTTTCACTCCACGTTACACCATGTGGGGTTAAGATGTGAGTGGCCCATGATGGTGGCGCAGTCATAAACTGATTGTGTCAAAGTGGATTTACATAAAGGGTTATATTCAAAGTACCTGAAAGGAATTGAGGATGGTGAAGCTGTAGTTGGCAACCTCAAACAATGGGTCATCATCGTCCAATATGAACATTGAAAAGCCGATAACCCATGTAACTCCAAATACGGGCGTTAGAAAAACCACTACTTTGAGGATACTCTTGATAGTCTCTTTGTCGTCGGTCTTACTGCCCTCAGAGGCCGAGGACTTCACCAGAGTGACGATGACAACCACCATGGAAAAGATGTTTGTCAAAATCACAGTACCCACAGGGATAACGAAAGCATATATGGAGCCCTCCAAGATCCCATCATAAACTAGCCAGCAAGTGTCTAATTTGACGTAGTCCGTGCCGGTGTATTTGCAATAGACGTAGCTGGAGCCGACTATGAGTATTGGACAAATGTACCCGACAATGCTGGAGAGGAACATGAACACTCTTTTCCTCAGTGGGCTGAAGACAAAGATGAGCCGGTGGACAAGCATGACGCTCATGCACAACATCCAGCTGAACATGGCTAAGAAAAACAGGTGTTTGCATACAGTCAAAGCGAGGCACATGGTTTCGCTGAGATCCTTCGGAGAGGCGGAGGCTACAAAGCAGCAGTCGGCAAGTAAGAGGAACACAGCAATGTTTACCAAGGCTGTGTGACGGTACAGGGAAAGGTTGGTCTTGACTACAGCGGACCACACTACAGACTCAATGACGAGGAAGATGATTAAAGAGGAGATGGACACACCCAGGCCTACATTGGTAATGATATCTAGGACTTCATTAGATACATCACCCTTTGCCATGAGGACTGAGAAGGCAGTCAAGTGAGTGCATACACAGAGTATCCGGTTATCTTTAGTCGTTTTAGCCTTGCACCCTGCTTTAGACCATACATTTCCTGTCGTGTCCCAGAAGACGCAGATACCTTTACTCAGATTCTGCAGCTGTCTCGGAAAGTTCAGTCCAATTTCGACAGATTCGTTGCTGTTTACAAGTGTGGCTGACAGTATGAGGCCGGTTCGCTCGGTATTATCAAAGTTGTTTCTCAGTCTGTCCATGAGATTTTTCACTGCTAAAGTCTTCAGTAGTCCATTGTTGTTTTTCAGATTGACATTGATGTCGGAAACGGACACATTACAGTCACTGTTTTTGCAGAATTTGAGGTCTAAATTTTGAGTACTGAATCCAGTACTCGTGTTGATTTTAATGTGCTTCACCAGAGACTCCACAGACAGAAGGTAATCTGCTGACATCGTGTAAGAAACCGATTCATTGACCCCACTCCATGTTATGTCCAACATGCTGCTCGCTGAGGACATAAAATCCTGAAATAGAGGGGAAAAAAGATGGAGGTCAAGGGCTTTAGTTTAAGTAAATCAAAAGAGTTTTCTAGTTACTCTGACGACATCCAGATCTACATCTCCAACCACCTGGTCTACACTCTCCACCTGCCTTATTAAAATAAATCATGGATATAAACCAACTTCCTTTAACTGAACTCCAGTAAATCTCCAGAACCTCTGCCTCAATTTTGATAACCCCACCCACCCAACCTTGGAGTAATCCTTGACACCATCTTCACATCCCAACAGCATGTTAATCACATTACCTGGACTGCATTCTTCTACCTCAGAGATATTGCCCAGTACATCCAAAACTCTGCCGTTCGCCTCCTCACCCACATCTGTTCATGTGACCACATCGTTCCAGTCCTCCAAAACCTCCAGTGGCTCCCTGTTCACCAACCCATTCATTTAAAAATCCCCCATAATCAGGCCCCATTCTACCTCACTGACCTGCTCCACCCCTATAGTCTATCCCGCACCTTCCAATTCTCAGACCAAGGACCAACACATCTGAGACTGAACAAATAGATGACGGATGCTTACATCTAAGACCTCCTCATGCAGGACGATGTTTTCTGATGCTTTGGCCATTGTTTCTAGAATGTTGATGGAGGCGCTGACATCAGCCGTGGTGTAATCTAAGTTTGAGTTAGACGGAAAGGAGTTGTTTTTAAGGTGTTCGAATATATTCTTGGCCCCCTCCCTCGTCGCCCCGAGTCCCTTTAGGAAATTCTGGAAAGAAACGAGGAAACCACAATGAAGTTATAGACAAATACAGCTTCTTTAGTCTTCCATATTTGAGGCTTATTTCTGTAGTCATGCCTGACTCACCTCTGCAGCGTTCAAGTTCTTGTCTAACTCGGCGTTGATGCAGTAGGAGAACACTGGCTCCCAGGTTGTGCCTTTACATGTGCGTGACTTATAGCCAGTTCGGCCCTCCAGACATGTTCGGTTAATGACCGTGTCATCAGTCGGGGTTTTCGGCCAGTACTCGCCATCAAGCACATCCTCAAGGCAATATGTGGTACCATCTGACAAGAAACAGAGTTTAGTTGATTCAACAGTTATAGGATGTGTTAACAATTTGACAAAGTAATGATTCGGAACAGTTACCGTAAATCACTGGGATGTCCACCTTGGCAGTTTTTTCTTGGTCCTTTGTGTTTTTAAAAGTGACAGTAGCAAAATGGGGTGTGGTGGTTTTCGTGCAACTGACAGAAATTTCGAAAGTATAAAGCTGGTGATCTTTATCCTCTGTAAAAAGAGAGAGGTTAATGTTTTCAAATTCAAGGAAAACTGGTCCCTACGTACTTCTTGGTCAGGTACTTGTCTCCTGAACAGTAGCCCTGAGTTTGTATTATTTGTTGTTGCTCTGGTGAATCTGCAAAAATCAGATTATCATGAAAAAGTTCCTTTCTTCCAGTAACCCGTGTCTCTTATCTTCCTCTTCACATAGCCCAGAGATCCCCAATAGGGTTCAGTTTCTCATAGTTTTGGCGTTGTGGGCAGGATCCAGGTCCTGCTAGATAATCAAACCTGTATCTTCATAAAGCTTCCCAGCAGATGAAGCATGAAGGTCTCCAAAATCTCCTGGTAGGCTTAAAGGGATATTCAGGTGTAAAATTAAGCTAGGGTCAAACACACTGTAACGCTGAGTTAGACACCCCGTCGGGAGATGAATGTTGCTGACTGCTTGCTTCTCTAGTTATACCAACTTTAGTAATGACAGCAGACAGCAATACAGAGAGACACATGCTCAACCAAAACGCCACTCTATAGCCACAAATAGTGCACAGAACAGCACCTAACTTCATCAACAGGACATATAGGGTCACAGACATAGTACTAGACACCAAACATCTTTTTAGCTTTGCCTGATTTCTTTTGCAAAGAGACTAAACTCAACTCACCTACTCCCCTTCAGCAGCTGCTTGTTTGTACAGAGACCTCCGGGCGACTCTATTGACTTCAGCGGTCTGCATTTTGCACTGCAGACCCGGTAGTTCTTCTGCCTTGGCGTCTCGGTCTAGGCAAAGTTAAAAAGATGTTTTGTGTCTAGTACTATGTCTGGGACCCTATATGCACTGTTGATGAAGTTAGGTGCTGTTCTGAGCATTATTTGTGGCTATAGAGTGGAGTTTTGGTTGAGCGCGTGGCTCTCTGTATTGCTGTTGTGTGGTCGTTACCAAAGTTGGTATAACGAGAGAAGCAAGCAGTTGGCAACATTCATCTCTCGACGGGGTGTCTAACTCGGTGTTAGACAAGGTTATGTTTGACCTTGATTTCCAAATGAGATGCAAAGTTGACTCTCATCTGAAAACAGGACTTTGAACCGCTGAACAATAGTCTAGTTCTTTTTCTTCTTAGTCCAGGTGAGACTTCTATGTCCCTGTCTCTGGTTCAGGATTAGCTTTACATGACACTTGTGGTCCATTTCCTGGACCAGCCTTCTATCAGTTGATGCTCTGACTCTAGCCACGGTCCAGTCCTTGTCAAGCCCCCCTAAGTTCTTGAATCTGCTTTGTTTGACAGTCCTCTCAAAGCTGCGCTCATCTGTTGCTTGGTCACCTTTTCTTACCACAGTTTCCTGCAACGACCTTCTGTGGGTTACCCTCAGAGGTGGTCCTCGAATTTGCTCTTTTCAGGACTGAAATCCCTGACAAGAACCGGGACTGTTCCACAATATTCTGAAGTTTTGAGATGCTGTCAGCCAAAGTCCAAAGTTTAAAAAACACAAGTTTGAAAACATGCGTCTGTGATAATGTAAAGTTTTTCATGATATTCTCAAATTTTTGGAACCATTTGTATACTATAAGCACTTTCTGTTGTCTTATGACAGCTCAAAGTCCTTTTGCATGACATCACATCCATCTATTTACACTGTGTTCATACAGCAAACAGAAAGCATAAAAGGAAGCAGTTACATGAGCCGTGATTTGTCTCACCTGTCTTAGACTGAAAGTCACATTTGGTTTTGTCCCGGTAGGCGCAACGAACTTCAAAGAGCTCTTTGCTCTTTAAAATCATAGCAGTGATTTGAACGGTTTCAGAGCTCTTCTCTTTCGAACAGTCCACAGACAGAGGATTGATCTTAAGAATGATGTCATCAGGAAGTAGCGCCACATGAAGTTGGCTCCTGGCTGTGTGTCTGACTGACCCAGTGGTGAATCCACACTCGTATGTACCTGCAGAGAGCAGATCTCTCACAGGTTACTGAGTTTAGAAAAAGAGCCAAGTGAACAGCTGCTCACTTCCTGAGGGTATCTGAGAGGTTTCCCTGTAAAAACTGTGCGCAGCATGCTTACCTGTGCTTCCTACCTACCCGGCTACTGTGATAGCCATTGTTCCAGTCTATACGCAACATTTTTGTCCTCATTCTGGGGACAGCTTTAGCCGGGAACAGGGCATCCAATACGGGGACTGTCCCCAGAATTTGTGGACGTCTGGTCACCTTAATATACTGAGACAAAATAAAAGGCCTCTCTCTACGTGCTAAACTGGTAGTTGCAATGATTTAGAGGATGCTGCTTACATGCATCTTACACACCAACGTTTCCATCAATGCATTATTTCATTGAGAAACCTCTTAATGGTGGGTTAGGTAGGATTCCGTTAAAGAAGCATCTTTTTTTGTGGTATATATGCAAAACAGCTTCTAATATCAGTCAATAGCTATTAGTTATTGATGACATTTGGGAATAAAACGATATTGCTGTGTTTTGTTATATCTGTGTAATCGACATTTAAAAATTTTAGAGCGGTCCGCTCTTTCTGACTGTAAACAAAGCCATTCTCCGCCTCCCCCCAACCTGACTGGTTGTGAGGCAAATGCTGCTTCTTAGTGCTGATTGGTTGTGAGGCAGACGCTGTTCCCCCCGTGTCATTCATGAGCCCAAACAAAGTTAGCGAGATACAATATTGGACAGTAGAACCAACCCGAAAGTATGGAAAATTGTCTGAATCCTCCTTTGGCCACGACTGCCGACACAAGCAAGAAAAGGAAGTATATACCGGAGACTCTGGCGGAATAACGGGCGCTTAAAACAGAAGAACACCGGACAAGAGCTAAAAAGTTGGGTCAACATAAAATGATGGGGGATGCCTCGGGATCTTACGGACCCTGTAACGTTTCTGCTGGACAGGTAAACCGCTTGAACAAAGTAAGCCAAGTGTCTGGTTTGGGAGCATCTGTTTGTTGGCGGGACTTCCTGGAGCAGAGAGGGAGGGGAGAGGAGGAGTTGAGGGGAAAACTGGTTGGGAGGGGTAGTGTTTACATTCAAGATTTCTCCCCAAAACAAGCACTTCCTCAGATCCTGCCCACCACACCTTCAATCTAACCACTTACCTGCCCAGATGCCTGTCACTTCCTTGAGTGTAACTGTAACACAAGACTTCAGGTCGTCTGTCCAACAGCTGGAATCTAGTTTCACCACATCACCGTTGTTGAGCCCAAAGCGCTCATGCTCTCTGCTCATGTTCCAGCCTGAATTATCGGTCTCCTCCTCGAGTGTGCATTTCAGAACTGCAGTGGACTCATAACACACTGGAGCCTCTGGGGCATCTATAGTTACGATTCCTACATACAAAAAGGAAATATGAGCAACAAATTAATCCAACAAAGACTTGGAGTAGCAGCACCAGATCAGATCAGCAGTTCTGCAGGCGATACAGTCCTATCAGATCCTTCATTTTATAGAATTCCCCTCCCCTCTCCACAAACATCTTGACCAACTTTGACCATCTATCTGGACCCCTCAAGGCAAAATCCCCCTAAAGAAGATATTGATTTTGGAAAAGAGCAAAGTCTGGATCTAAAGCTGGTGACAGGTTTATTTCCTCAAATCCTGAGACATCCCCATCATCAGTTCAATAATCATAGCTCATACCCTGACTGCTTAACATTGAATATTCCTGTTTCTACACAGTGTCATTTAGTGATTCAAATACATGATAATAAATCCCAACACTTCTCACTGACCTTCTGTGTCAACCAAAAGCACAGCACCAAGTTGGTTTTCTAGAGAAGTCACAATTGTTTGAAGTTTAGAAGTGAGAAATTTGACATTTACGACCACCTCAAAGTCAGCCACGCTGTCGCTTAACCTGCAGGGTTTAAAGAAAGGGTTGTTAGAGGATTATTTTGACAACATTGAAGTTTCTTTCTGTTTTAAGAGACCCCTAACCCTAAATGCATGGATGAGACCTCCTTAATCTGTGGGTTCGAGGAAAGACCTGATTTAATTTACTGTCTTAACTGAGCAAAGCAGGATTGCATAACTGTGGTCTGGTGCCTGGGTCATAAATGATGACCAGCAAACAACTATGGTTCATGTGGCCTCAGTTGCTTGGTGGTGCCCATTTGCCCTCAGGAGGATCAGATCCTCCCTAACAGAACATACAACACAGCAACCACAGGCTCTCTTTATCTCATGTACTGACAACTGCATTTCCTTACTGGCAGACTCCCTATGAATGCAAATTTGCAACTTTGCAGATGATCCAGAACACAGCAGTGTGTTTAGTCTTGAACCAACACTCTGCTCTCCACCGGCATCCAGCTGCTTCTCACATTAAATTCAAAACCCGACTTCTGGTTCACAAAAAAACAACAAAAACAGTCCCTGTGGACCCAGAGTCCTTCATCTAGGGGCCTATTCTACAAAGCAGGTTCAACCTAGCGAGGTAGCCTTGGAGCTACGACTGACCAGCGGTAGCCAGCGGTCTCGCTAAATGGTCTGCGCAAAAAATCTTTGATGCCATTATCACCCTGAAATAGCACTGTTCAACATGCGCTTTTAACATGCACCAGACATGTCTAATTCATTTCCAAGATGAATTCATTCATTTTTCATTCCTATCATGGTTACATTTTTTGTGTGATATGTCGGCCATATGAGCATATTTCTCATCCGGAAAAGTAAGTGGGTCCGTACGGTCCCTGAAAACTCTCGCACGCCGGAGTGCTTCTTGGACAATGTGAGCACCGAGGTCTGTGGGATCCTCCAAGAACGGACAAGCCATTTTTCGAGAGAGCTCATTGGTCAGTGGGCGGGGTTTTTATACTCAGTGAGTTCAATATGGAACCTAACCTGCATCGCAGCAGGTTAGCCGTTCAGCGTACGTTGCTATGGAGACTCACCTCGCTCAGAAGTGAACCCGCGTCGTAGAACAGGAAACCCCGAACTTACCCTCGAAGTTACCTCGCTAAGCAGTAATCCTGCTTCGTAGAACAGGCCCTAGGTCCCTCCGTCCACTATGCTCTGCCTTTGAAAGTCTTTTCTTACAAATATCTCATTGTAAGCACAATTTTAACATGTATCATTAGTTAGTGGTTTGTAAAGTAAATTGACCGCCTCAGACCTGAGCAATCAAATAATTTTACCTCTGACCGGTTACATTCAGGTACTCAAAGGCATTCAGTGCTTCAAATTCAGTTTGGAGCTGAGGAAAGGAACAAAACAGATTTCCTCAGCTCAGTGAAACTCTGTGATAAATATGTTTTTGTAAAGATCTGAGTCAGGCTCTTCTGTCTATACTTGTTAGAAAAGCATTATGTACCTTTGTAGTTTTTGACGGATCCCAGGTAGATGCACTCAGTATAACAGATCCATTGATCACAACTGTGTGGAATACAAACATTATTCATTTTAACTGAATTTCAACAAGCTTTTTGTTATATAAGCAACTTTTTAATTATCAAAACTGAAAGCTATAAAAAAGGTTAAATGTCAGGAACGTTACCTTTGGCCTTGGGCACACACAGCGGGGTGGTGAAAGTCACATTGTGGTCGCAAGAGGTGTCGCGGCAACAGTTGAAAGTGTCGCACACTTCGTTACTCCAAGTGTACGTGTCAGAGCAGTTGCAGAATGTATCAGATCCAAAAATTAAGCACTCTGGAGAGCAAAGCACAGTTATCAATATATTTGCTGTGTCTGTAGTTGAGGAACTAAAGCACTCAGAGTCTGAATGAAGGCTTTGATGATTTCTGATTGTATATTGCGAGATTATTGAAGACTGGACGCAGGTGAACCAAACACTGTTCAAGTCAGAAGTCAGATGTAAGGTGATTTGGGGTATTTTCAGAGGTCTGAGCAAATATTCAGATTATAAAGTTAATGTGCATTGGAGTAATCCCCAAATGGAACTTCAGGAGGCGCTGAATTGCTCGTTCAAAAAGTCACACGAGAATTCAACGAGACCAAGTCGAGATTTGCCCAAATAGTGATGTCACCGGACAGTGAATCCGCAATAAGGGGCATTTTTGTAATTTTTTTTCAAAGAAACACAACTTTTTTGGATTGCAGCAGCGAAGGAGGCTTCTAGAATGCAGAGTGATAACCAAAGTAGAAGTAACCAAACCTGCTACCAGCTCGTTGTACATCAGCGTGACTGTGTGGTCTCCGTTGTTGTCGGTCACTTGAAGGTCACTGGTTTTATTCAGAGCCGACAACACGGTATCGGCCTCCAGCGTGATGTTACTCTCCACCATCAACTCAGCAATGTAGATATCTGCGATAATGTTTACAAAGAATTTCAGGGGCAAAAATACTAATTTACAAGTGTTTGTACACGCAGAAAAATGGTTAAGTGTGTAATATAATTCACAAAAATATCAGAAACCTTTTCTTAAGATTGAAAAAGTTCAAGACCTGCTTAAAGCAATGCTAAAGGATTAGATCGAAAGAGATATAACGTATGGTATTTTTTAAAATTTGCTGTTTAAGTAGGCTGTGGTGCTGAATATCTTTTCAATAATGTTTAGATTTAATACAAGAGAAATACATATCTAACATAGCCAACACTCACCTACAGCCAGAACCTGCAAAAACAATAAAAGAAAGAAATCAGAATAAGTCCATTTTTATAACAGTAAGTTTATGAGAAGTTGTATGTATTTCTAAAGCAGTCTATTTAGATCAGAACAGTGATGACTTTGTTAGAATAACAGTCAAAAAAGGGCTTTTCAGCACTCTTAACCAAGCAGTATACTTACCGTAGTGAAGGCGTACACGGTTCCAGTCAGAAATATTAAGTCCCTGACACGCATGGTTACTCTGTTGGGAAAACGAAGGTGATATTACAACATTTTAGACTGAAGTATTTCAGTGTCCAAGGCTTTGTCTGCTGTTTAAACTCCCCACAGAGATATTGGTGGTTTACAGAAATGTGTCTCTGCTCTTTGTTGGTGATTCTGGGACCTGCAGTTTGCAGTTAAGAGCAGATATTAACTAACACATTTAGGTCTGAATAACTTCACTAAACAGGTTTTTGACCCATTGATGCAAAAAATGTGTGATTAGTCTGTGTATCTTACATTAGAGCTTTTACTTGTTTGGTTATTCTGGTACTAGCCCATCTAATTTGCTCTATATAAGGGGCTGATTCATAAAAGGATTGCATACTCAACATGTGCAAACAAGCGAATAAGATATCAAGTAATTCACAAAGCACAAAGTGTTTATTGCTCCACAAACTTCCTCACAGAGAAGACTGCATGTGTTCTTTGCATATTTAAATTATGGGTTATTCCTTCATGTGGAGCAAAATGTGCATCTTTCTATGCAAATGAGCCTCGCTTGTAAATGTAGCTGGTGCCAACAGCCACGTGAAGTTACTATGTTATGATAATCTGAGGGTTAAATCTGTCTGGCGCGGTCTGTCTGTCTGTGGTTTTACTCACTGTTCGACCACAAACCGAAACATAACTTCTGATTACACTTCATATTACACATTAAAAACTGTGCATGTCTGTATGGGGGTGACATGCACTAAATTCTGCAGGGATCCAGTAATCAATCCTGCTATAAATGCATCTAGGATGCTATAGAATGCAACAAATGAGGCTTTACCAAATGAGATGCACCGAACCCTATTTTTAGCTATAATCCTATTTCTTTCTTTATAGCTGGCTGTGAATTTACCTCAAGGGGTATTTCTACTCTTGTACAGCCTGTTATTCAAAAGTTTTTATGACCTTTTTATCAGCAGCTTTTCATTTTATCCCCCAGGCCTGTTGGAATAACTTTGGATTTGGTTTTTGAGGTCAAACATCCTGTTGGTTGTTTACCCTGTATTTATTAACTGTCCCTTGTTCACTCCACAGTGTATACCTGTTGTGGTCGGAGGCCTTTACATGCGGTCAAGTTCAACCACATCTCATTTACTTGTTCAGTTAGGGCAGAAATTTCCTTTTGTCGTTGTTACATGAGGTTTTTAACACCGGACTGTAAGAACACAGATCATGAGAGGCTTTTACATGTTTAAGTTTAACACCGTACGCTCCATGAAAATGAAAATAATCATGTTTGGAATAGATATATTAGAGCAAACAGCCTTTAGCTTGTTTAAAGGTGTGGATCATGCGCCTTAGTAGTGAGGGTTTTCCAGCAAGAGACGATTATTGTCGTATTAAATTTCGATTTTGAACCATAGTCAGTGGCGTATCTACTTACCCGGATTCTTTGCTCCCAGTCGATTATGTGAGTCAAAAAATTTCCATGTAATCCACTTTGATTTCAGGAGAGGACCTGACAATATAGGAATCAAAAGGTTGGTTGGTACGTACACAGTAAGTCTGGAAAATGTGTTAAAACAAGTCCCCACAATCATCAAGCGTCACAAATATCTTTAAAGTGGATGAAGAAGCTGTCTTCTACAAAAATTGAAAAGGCCGGAGTTCTTACCTTGCTGCACTTAGCACACAACAGCCTGCCTGCACACTGTCCATCAGGGACACATCAGGGTTTGACTGGGCGAGGTCATGTGGAGGTACAGAGCTGAGCAGGATACGTGAGGCTGTGTTGGTGTGTGTTGTTGACGACCGAGGAGGGGAGTGGGGGTGTTACAAGACTCACTACTGTTCTGAATTTGCGCAGAAAGGTCGTTTGCATGGATAGCGTGTCGCCGTGCCAGCTGGGCTGACGGCATACACAAAAAGCTTCCCGAGCTTTTCATGGAGATTTGTCTACCAAATCAAGCAATCTCCTTCAGGAGGTCATAGAGCTGATGTCGGTGCCACAGAAAAAGCAGACTTTGTGTTCGCTTTCCCTCGAACACTGTCTACGTTTTAAGCCCCTGAGAAGTCTGGTTTAAACAAAAAAGGCTTATTAGCTCTCCTCATTAATTACTATGAGGTCTATAAATTAAAAAACGGCCATGAATCTGAAAGAAGGTTAGGCTTTTTATTAGAGTAGGAATCAGTAAATTTCATTGGTGTTCGACAAAAGCACAACTTTAAAATGTATATTTTACATTTTGATATTGAATCATTTTTATATCATTTATATTATTTATTAGCACTTTACTCAATGATAAGGAAGAGGATTAGGGCCACTTCAAAAGATTTCGGTCATCTATATTTTAAATTCTAACTTTTTTAGAAATTCTGACTGTGATCTCAGAATTTGGACTTTAATCTCAGGATTTTGATTTTAATCTCAGAATCTGGATTTTGATCTTAGAATTCCATCTTTGATCTCAGAATTTTGTTTTTAATTTTAGAATTCGGACTTTGATTTCAGAATTTTGATTCTAATCCAAGAATTCAGACTATGATCTAAGAATTCTGATTTTAATCTCGGAATTCTAAATTTGATTTCAGAGTTTTGATTCTAATTCAAGAACTCAGACTTGATCTCAGAACTCTGATTTTAATTTCCGGATTATGACTTTGATCTCTGAATTCCATTTTTTAAATGGCCCTTTTCCTCTTCAGTACAATAATATTGTCGTTTTTAACAGTTATTTCAATAATAACATGTCAACTAAAATTGAGGACTGCTCCAAAAACACCTGTTTGCTCACAGGTGAACAGGTTTGTTAGAAGCAGGTGAGAGTCATGATCAGGTATGAAAGGAGCATCCCTGAAAGGTTCAACCGCTCATAAGCAAGAATGGGGTCAGGTCACCACTTTGTCAAAAACTACGTGAGCGAATAATCAGTTTAAGAACAAGGTTTCTCAACGTACAACTTTAGGAATTTAGTGATTTGATCATCTACAGTCCTGTTAGGTCTAAAACCTGCAACATTTACCTGATAACATAAAGAAGAGAAAGACAATGGTATATACTCGAGGAGAATGGACCGAGATAGCTTCAGGTACCATCTCGAAACCACTCTGAAAGGTATTTCCGCCCAGTCTCTTTTATTTAGGGTTGTCCCTGGTCACACAATGTTTCTAAAGGGGGGAAATGTGCAGCAACGTAAGCACTCTCATAAAGCATAATAATGAACAACTTGTGAATATGTGAAGGTCAAGGCGGCATCTAACGAGCTCCTTCTGATAAGCGTGTCCTCCCCTTATTTCCTTCCCACGATTCATAGTGGAGGATACATCACACACACCTGCTGATAGGAGAAACGAGTTCACAGAGAAGTTAAGAAACATTCATGTGCTGTGTAATTAAGCTATTGGAGAGAGAAGTTAGAAAACACTCTTATATGATAAAAATACTCTTATATGATGTATAAAAAGAGGTCAAAGGAGTTTATACTTGTAGTATAAACTCTTACATAAGAATATGAGGAATAATGATAACTTCTATATATATATTTATGCACATTATTCTAACAAGTCCATAAAATCATCATAAGATTAAGAGAAGGCCCAAAACCAATATGAAATGATTGTGACCTTTGACCCTTCATGCAGCACTGCATTAAAATCCCTCATCATTCTGTAGAGGATTTTACCATGTAGGGACTTCAGAAAACCATCATCAGTGAAGATGTTCAAACTCCACCGTGCAAAAACAAAGACAGATATCAACAACAGCCAGAAACACTGCCAGCTTCTCTGGACCCGAGCTCATCTGAGATGGACTGATCCAAAGTGGAAAAGTCTTATTGATGATCGATGATCAATTGTAACATCTGTTTAAGGGTTTTAGAGGTCAGGATCCAAAGTGAAAGTCTGTGAGTTTTTAATACTTCTTTCTTTTTCCCAAAAAGACTCATCTCTGAATCCATATTTCCTTTAAATATATTTGTTCTTGACAGCAGTAATGTCTCTCCATTTGAAATGACTCTATGTGATAGTCTCCTCAATGCCAGTCTATCATTTTGATGCCGCTCCTTAAGTAAATAAGTCGTGTGTGAGACAGCCAAGCCTTGTCTTGGGAATTTGTTTTGCAAAGTAAACAAGCGCCATTTTACATGAAGTTTGTGGACATTTTGTTGTCTGAAAAAGACAACAACAATGTCATTGATGCATTTAAATGTTAAATAAGTTGTTGTAGAGTTTTATCTGGTGTGTGGGCCTGTGCCAGTCTTTTCCTCATTTGGTTACCGTTTGTTGCACATCATTTCCACCTCCCTAAAATAGTTAATGAATGACAAAATCATAAAGTTTAGACCGCAGTAATGCAGTACTAAAGGTCAATGCGCTATGTGTCCCATATCTCCTGTATGTATGAAACTATTGTTCCCTGTGACAGTAAAACACATGACTGGACACACCATGCTAACCTGAGGACACTGTTTACATCTGAGACACAGGTCTGTGACCTTTTTAACACGCTTTCTTAGTCAGTAAATTCGTTTTTATTTTAATTTAAAGGTCTTTATTAATGTAAATAAACCTCTTATTTACTTTTAAAAAGCTGTCTGTCTACAGTAATTGGTAATAAATTCCCTACAGGTGTTACAAGCTCATGATAAATAAATAAATACATTTCTCTTTATTAAGTTTAATAAAGTCTGATTAATGTTCATAAATAAATCATTTCTAACAGGTATTTAAACATGTTTCCAATGAGAGCTTGTAGATATCTTCCTTTTCTAATATATTTATTCTGTTTATTTTCCCTAATGGCACACTTATTAACTGTTTTTATGTCCTAATTTCCATAAATACTGACAGGTTATTATCTTACAGCCCCTTCTATTAAAAGATGATGCCATATATAAAGAAGAGTCAGTTTGGTCAGTGAATTTACAAGTTTGCTTTACACTGACGCCATCTAGTGGTCAAATTAATAAACTGTTTCTTTCACCTCTCTAAAAGTGTAAAGGCTGTTAGTAAATCATTAATGACTCTAGATAATATTTTTTTCCCCTGAGATTTTAAAGGTGACAGTTTTCTGTTCTTTCCTCCATCTTTAAAACAAAAACAACATTAAAATAGCATCTTAAAAACAGTTTTTTTCCTCTCTGAGTAGACACAGGTGAGAGAGGAGTATCCATCCAAACCGGTAAATGCACATATTTATTATCACTGTGTTTGTGAGTTTTTCCCAGTTACCTTTCTCTGTCAGGTTTTTCTTAACTGGCTCATCCATCTGCACATACAGTGGGGGACAGTGGGGTAAGTTGAGCCACCCCCTGTTGCTTGGAAATGGTAAAAGAAATTGATCATGTGACCAAATATTTAGGAGATGGGCATCAATTCATGGAGTCTGTGAAGGTTAGAAGCACATGGGTGAAGGGGTTAGACATTTATAAAAAAAAAAAAAAACAATTTCACTCTATAAAGTGAATTTAGTCTGTGATAAGTTTGATTAGATCATTTAAGATTTCATATATCAATTGTGGTATCTATGAGGCATAAAAGTCCACCATTTTAGCTCAGAGGACTAATTAAAGTCATCTTTGTAGTTCTGGGGTAACTGAGAAAGTAAAGGAGTCTGATGAGAGGATCAGAGTTTCAGTTAAAATGTTGACTTCTTTTAAAAAATAAAGATCTGTGAATGTTCTGAATCACTTAAAGACATTCTCATGTTAAAATTACTTTTTACAAAACAGTTTTTTAACTGTTATATGCAATCATAATAATAATAAAAAGAGTTATTGTATTAGTTGAATAGTGTATAATAGATAAAAAATACAGGAATGTGAAAAAGTGACTGTTATTTAGGGAGAGAGAAGGTGAGGGAGGGCTGGGGTAGAGAGTGGGGGGGTACTGGGATACGGCTTAACTTACCCCGCTCCTATGGTCAACTTACCCCACACACAGGGTAAGTTGACCATAGGAGACCACTTTTTTGTCATGTTATATTATCAAGACAGTTCTGTTTACACTCATTCTGTTGGTTTGCAGGGATAAACAACATCTTGAAATATCTGCAGATACACTAGTTAGAGACAAAACTAGGATTGACTTGATGTAGTGATCTGAAATATGAAAAATGGATCATCTTACCCCACCCCCTCCTATATGAATCTTTTCAGGCCGGGACCCCTCGTAAGCACAGGTATTATTGTGCAGGTATTTTGATGTAGGTCTGAGCTGGAGCAATTTGACATTTGATGGCGTGACATCATGTTTAAATTGAGTTTTACTCAGTTTTTGACACACATTAAAGTCAACATCTCAAGGATACCTCTGGCAAAACTGGTGATAATATAAGCAACAGTTGGTCCGGCCACCAGGGGGCACTATCACTGGGGTTACAAATGACCACATGGATGTGTTTAGTATGAATGACCTGGTTCATCTTGTGTTGAATGAACATTTTTCTATTTTTTATTTTTTAAATAGCCACAGGCCTCTCTGATGTTACAGGTGCGAATAGTAAGGGTGTCATTATCGATACGTGAAAACCCCTAAAGAAACTCCTGCAGCAGCTGTCCGTCTGTCTGTCTGTCTGTCTGTCTGTCTGTCTGTTTGGTCCAATGAGCGCAGACCTCCCTCAGGAACCATGTCCGGTTAGTCAGTTAAGCAAATTAAAAACAGCGCGCGCTCATTGGCTCGTGTCAGAGCTCCGCCTGGAAGCTGGTCGAGCGCGTGACAGCCGAGGAAACCCGAGAGCTCCCACTCACTCACAGTACTGACCTGACGACCGGGGAGCTGCGCGTGCTGTTTCAGCGGGGGGGTTTATCTGGGAAGTTGACGTGATGGAGACCAGACAACAAGGTGAGTTTGAGTCTGTTCGTGATTAAAAAAAGAGAGACTTATTTAACATTAAAACTGCAGGTAAAGGCGCGCGCTCTCTCTCTGCTCCGGTTGGTTGTTGATCTGATAATGAGCTGAACCTGACTGACCACACACGTCACAGCCGTGAGGCTCGAGGACAGGAAAACTTAATTAATCAGAAACATATGTAGTCGAAGTCATTTCAGGTACATAATAAGATGTATCACAGGTGTGTGCCTTCTTGAGCAGAGTGTCGAACTTTATTATTATTATTATTATTATTATTTTTGTTGTTGTTATTAATATAACCTTAATAGGCAGCACATACAGTTTCAATACATAATCATATTAATCATACAGAGTACAAAGAATATAAGTAGTATCCCTTTAATAGATGAAACCACAAATTATGGCCAGAAAATTTATTTTTTTTGGAGCTGAAATGTTTATTTTACCTACTACTGAAAAATCAAAATGTCCTTAAAATTTAACAAATATATTTATTCATCTTGTTTGATACATTAGATGTTATTGGAAACTGATAAACTACAAGAGGAAATTTTTATCATTTATTGGACTGAATTCAGGTGATTTTTAGGAATTTGTCGATCGGATTGATTTGATAGAAGTATATAAAAGTATGTATCAAATATGATATAAAAGGCAGTAAAAGGATAATTAAATTTTCAAAATTAGTTAAAAGAATTTACAAGATTAGTCAAACATTTGCACTCCTGACGCCTGGATGTAGTGGAATTTATCACAGATCTAAAAACATTCAGAGACTTTGGAGTTTCAGGTCTGATTGAAAGATGTTCCAGTTAATCTAAAAGCTTTCTTCCCCATTTCTGTTCTCACCTTAGGAACAGTAAAATGATAAAAAAAAGTCCTGGGAGCGGAGACTGAAAGCCCTACTATTCAAGATTAAAAGGGATGAAAATAAGAGTCAATTGAAGAATTTTTGGGTGTTTTTCCTCAAACCTGCTGTTTTTTTGAAATTGAACCAGTGTGCAGATGTGGAGCCTCGTGCACGTGGCAGGTGTAGCCTACTGTAGGTTTGAGTTATTGTTTATTTAAGACATCAGCAGAGCCGCAGACTGAGCTGCAGGATACAGTTTCCTGAATGGTGCAGAAATCCTCCTCCACTATTGTTTTGAAAAGAGGCTTTACGTAGGAGTAAGTCTTTTCATTGAGAGATACGTGGGCCTCGCTGTGTTCCCTCCTGGTTAAAGTTTTACCTTTAAACCTTCAAATCCACCCTACACGCTGTTGTGTATGCCACAGGGTTCAACTCAGTGAGTCTATTTCCCCTCTTAGGTTGTTCACAGACTCCCACATCAGTGCACCGAGCTGCATGAAGGTGTTTTTTGTTCATACCGGTGGTTAATGACATTCCTCTGCATTCCAGGTCTGAATGTTTACCTTTGCTTAACTGAGGGTCAGCTGCTCTTTTTCCATGCAACTGGAAAAGCATGATAATCGACACTAATGTTTGGAAAACGTGCTCTGAAAGGTTTCTAATCTGTTTAATTTGACGTTCAAAAAACACATTTAACTTTGAGTTGAACTTTAAAACTAAAAAAAGAAAAAAGTTCAAACACAGGATGAATCTGCGTTTGCTGTTTGGGAGTATTGCGGGAGACTCGGCCTGAAGAAAAACTTCAATTGATTTTTCGGCCATATGACTATCCCCGGGCCTCTGATTTAGCATAGCCACATGACCAGTAGGCCAAATGGGAGTCTTGTGACCTGAGGTATTCAACCATGGGCCAAATAGTAAGAGGAGAGACATAGAGAAGGAAGAGTAAAGAACAGTGTGAAGATGCAACTGGACAAAAACTTTACTGTGTATTGAACATACTCTTCCTCCTCTAGAGAATGTCATAATGGGATTTCATCTTGGGTTTGCACAATAACTTTAGATGTTGTGGCCTAATTGTGTTAAAGAACTGCAAAAGATCAAATGCTGCTTTTCAGCACTGTTTATGAATGGGAAAATCTGGTAAATCCTGTTTTAACAGCTTAAAGGGATATTCCAGCGTAAAATTAAATTAGGGTCAAAAACATCATAACACCAAGTTAGACACCCCCTCAAGAGATGAATGTTGCCGACCACTTGCTTCTCTAGTTATACCAATTTTAGTAAAGACCGCAGGATAGTAATACACAACGGTCTGAGGAGCCATAAACAAACCTCAACCAAAACGCCACTCTATAGCCACAAATAATGCTCAGAACAGCACCTAACTTCATCAACAGGACATATAGGGTCACAGACATAGTACTAGACACCAAACATCTTTTTAGCTTTGCCTGATTTCTTTAGCAAAGAGACTAAACACAATCCATCAATCAACAGTTGTCATCCCAAGACGCTTTCCAAAGAAAAAGAGCAGGCCTAGACCACACTCATTGTTTAGATGAATTATCAAGACCTAACCTAAGATGGGATTTGGCCGATCTCATCTAACATGAGTGACAGTGGCAAAGAAAAACTTCCTTTTAACAGGCAGAAACCTTGGGTAGGACCAGACTCATGCTAGACAGCCACCAGGCTGCTGCTGACTCACCTACTCACCTACTCTCTTCCAGTAGCCGCTGACCTCGGGCCAGTCCATTACGGACTACAGCGGGGTGACACAGCTCAAGGAAGAACATTTATGATCATTACTTTATCATTTCCTCTAAGTAATAATCATCATATTAATGATTTTCCTCTGCAGACGCGGTAGTTCTTCTGCTTTAGCGTCTCGGTCTGATTGCATGTCCATGACGAAATGATCAAGAAATGTTCTTCCTTGAGCTGCGAAACTCCGCTGCACTCTGTGATCAACTCGTCAGGGCTCCCGCACAAACAAGCGGCTGCTGGAAGAGAGTAGGTGAGTTGTGTTTAGTCTCTTTGCGAAAGAAATTAGTCAAAGTTAAAAGATGTTTTGTGGCTAGTGCTATGTCTGGGACCCTATATGTCCTGTTCATGAAGTTAGGTGCTGTTCTGAGCATTATTTGTGGCTATAGAGTGGCGTTTTGGTTGAGTGCCTGGCTCTCTGTATTGCTATCCTGCGGTCGTTACTAAAGTTGGTATAACTAGAGAAGCAAGCAGTCGGCAACATTCATCTCTGGAGGTGGGGTCTAACTCGGTGATACGGTATATTTGACCCTAACTTAATTTTACGCCGGAATATCCCTTTAAAGAATTCATGACCGCGCCACAAAGAGTTAAAACCTCTGACTTCTTGTTCCCGATCACAAAACATGCCTCAGCTACTGTCCAAACTGGGCTGGACTCTCAAGTGTGTGTGAGTGTTTGTGTGTAAATAACCAGTTTTCTTGTCTCCTCCTCTTGCCCTGCTGCCTTGCTCCGCTGCAGAATTGTACTCTAGTGTTCTGAGTGAAGCAGTGGTGGACTGGGGCAGCATGGGTCCCGGAGAGGAATGGGTTAACTCATCCACACAAGAGGGGGAGCAGGGTAAGACTCGACTCTCCCAGAGATGAAAAAACAGAAACCTAAATCTGCACAATTAGAGGAAGTGACGCCATCTTGGTTTTGGGGAAGCCTGGATACTTTAGATTAACTGTTTGCGATGGAGGGAAGTCATTTCGTTATATGGTCCAATAAGATATATTAATAAACTTTAACTTTGTTCAGGTTTAAATGAAGGTTTGTTTTCCCGGGTCGGCAAAGAGTCGCTAAAAAGTGAATCCGACGGCGAAGACTCGGTGTCGGTGGCCCAAAATGGGAAATATGAGGAAGAAATCCGTGAAAGTTCCCCGGTGGATGATCCCTGTGATTACACCTCAAAGTCCCAGTCTGACAGCTGGGTCATGTCCACCACATGGGACATGCAGCTGGACCGGAGAGGTGAAGATAGATCTAGACTAGACTAGACTGGTAGAGAAGTAGACCCGCTGCCACCGTAGTTGAACATGAACTCCTCTTAATCTGTAGTCACCCCTGGTTTAGAGCTCCTGCTGAGGACACGCAAGTCATCTGTTTGGTGTTTGATCAGGTGATCTCAGGTGATAGCAATTAAGAGACGCTAAATCCACCAGGTCGATTGGGGTATCGTTAGACGTATTTCTTTAGAATTCAGATTACTTCAAGGTCAAACGGTACTTAAGCAGAACGGGCTTTAGAGTGACGTGTGATGGCGAGAGTAAATATCGAAAAGTTCAGGATGATCTGTAGATGCTGGAGGACATTAAGGATGTAAAATCAGACGTGACTGTGATTTGTGCACTCGTGAACACAGAGATGTTTTAAAAGCATTTTAAAATAAAGCTATAAAGATGTTAAATGCACATGTTAGAATTAGGGGCGGGCGATGAAAAGATAATGACATATATTGAAAATTAATTCCCCTCAATATCGATATGAAACATGGTCAATATGCTTTTCGGACTCTGGCGAAAATCACCGCCATTGCTGATCAGAGCCATTCCGGATGCGGTGGAAATCCCAGCTTATTGTATTGCAAAAGACATGCTACCAATAAGCACTCTTAAATTTCATTTTTTACATCGTGATATATCATATAGTGACAAACTTTTTCCCATATCGCCCAGCCCTAGTTAGAATATGAATTTAGCAGACAGAGGTCGACCTCCTCCTGAGCAGTTTTGACACAGACAGTCACACCTCCACTCTAGTTTTTTTCTCAGGACCGTATAGTCTCAGATTTTATTGAACTGATTTCATGCAGTGACTCGTGACTGAGATGATTAACAGACACGTTGTCAGAGGATGGGAAAAATGCCGCTGCGCCGTATCAGTTCACATGTCCTGGTCCCTGTAGGACTCGGGATGAGTTTCTTGTTTTGGGTGTAATATTCCAGCTGCCCCCCCCCCTGTTTGCACTGAGTCATTATAGGAGTCTACCTGTTTGTTCCCTGCTGTGTGCCTGACTGGAAGCTGCCTTCCTGCTGCATGTTGTGATTTCATGGCTTTGCTGTGGTTTTGTCTAGGACTGTAAAATAAAGGTAGTTTCACCGTTTTCTTACATGTGGAGTTCTTACTAACCTCTCTCTTTCCTTTATTACGAACGCTTTAAGACAGAGGACGTCTCAGAGCAGGTACAGTATGACAATATTTCCTGTTTCTTTTTCAGTCTCAATTAATCAATCAGTCTCTCTACCCCAACCCAACCCCTCATTCCCTCCCCAGAATCTGAGCACAACAGAAACACGTATTAAAATGCATTAACTTGAAAAGGGCTCGATTTGACAGAAACAGGAATGTGAGCACTGTGGAAACGCCACTTGAAAAATAGGAAACGCTGGAGGTTTAGGTTAAACTCTAAAATCAAGGTAACATAAAATGAAATTTAAGAAATAATAAATGAAATTAAATAAAAACAGCAGTGACAGATACTAAAATAAGAGCACCAAAGTAGCTCAATAAAAGATGATCCTGCATTAAAACTAGAAGAGATAAAACACTTAAACAAAGTTAGTGATATAAAATGTAGTTTAAAAGTTAAAATTTAATTAAAAGCAAGACTAAAAAGGTGTGTTTTGAGTTTGCCCTGATGTATCTCAGTGATGTGCGTCACAGCTCTGTGTTTTGTTTGGAAGTCTTGAACAATATTACACTCATGAAATTGAACTTTTTAAATCTGTTGTTTCAGAGTTTTTCCCTCCATGTTTTGGTTCCTGTGACGTCTGACCACAAAGTCATGTATTTTTGTAAAAAAAACGGTTTTATCTGTGTACCTGAATTTAATCCATCAGTTTAATTCTTTTGTATTTTTCATGCATGTGTAAATTGTTGCCCAGGTGATGAAGCGTCTTTCTTACACTCACGCTCAGATCATTCAGTAGATCTCAACAGCGTCTTATTTGTTTGTGTGTGTGTGCAGAGTGCAGTTTGTAGTGATCGTCTGCAGTGTTAAAGCAAGATAATCCATGTCAGTAAATCCAGATTACAGCTCCGCAGCTCTGCAGACACAGATTACATAACTGTGATACAGACCAACAGATACATGTGGAGTCAGATGGATAAAATGTCAGGGGTACATTTGCTAATTTTTTAAAAAGTTTTAACAGACATTGTGTGTTAATTGTGTTTGTGTTTGTGTGTTAATTGCATTCAGGTTTTATGGACTCGGAGCCCCTGAGGGAGGCCGATGAAGATCTGGTGTCTGAAGTCAACTTGAACAACTCGGTCATGACCGAGGAGGAGAGAGAGGAGATTCAGCAGGAGCTAACCAAAGTACGCTCCACACATGTTTTTTTAATAATCAGAGTCAGATGAAGTCTCGATCGGAGCTCGATAACAGCTTTTTTTTCTCTCTCTCTCTGTTTTCTGTCCAGCTGGAGGAGGAGATCAGCACCCTGAAGCAGGTTTTGTCGTCCAAAGAGAAGCAGCACGCCGAGCTCAAACAGAAACTGGGTCTCAACCCGCTGAGCGAGCTCAAGAACAACTTCAGCAGAGGCTGGCATGACATGCAGACGTCCACAGCGTGAGTGTTTCAGGCGTGACAGCCAGAGAGCAGGAGGAGGAGGAGGAAGTGTGTGAACGACAGAGTTAATGTGCTGTCCTGTTTGCTGTCAACATCGGCGCCCTTTAGAAGTACACGAACGCACACACACGGAGAGAAGGGAGAGTCAGAGATATCAGAAACACAATTAAAAAGACATAATCCTGCGCTCCGAGCTGCTCCGCCTGTTTGCTATCTTTGTCGTGTTCAGGTTTAAACCTCATTAAAACAAAACGAACGGCTACGTTAGCTTAAGGCTGTAATTGACCTTGGCGTGACGAGGATGATACGGCTTTATTTTGGGAGTCCTGTCCACGCCAATCAAATCCAACCTCCTTAAACAATCACTTTTAACTATAATGATAAAAACTTTATTTGTACAGCACTTTTAACAACAGAAGTTTACAAAGTGCTTTGACATATACTGTATTTTTCGCACTATAAGGCACAGCTGATTATGAGGCGCACCACATTATAAAGTGAACCAGATTATAAAGCACATTAAGCCGAACAAAACAGTCGGATAAATCAAACTTTATTTAACTCATTCAATAACTCTGCGAGGCTACGGTAGCTGCAGTGCTCCGACAAGCCAAAAGGATTTGAAGTGCGCCTTATAGTGCGAAAATTACGGTAATCATAGAGCACATGGAAAAAGAAAGATAAAAACAAAAAGCTCAGTTAAAACAGAATTAAAGGCCATTTTCACAAGTCATAAGGAACCCAGACAACACAAGAACCATGCAACATAAAATGAGACCATAAGGACCAAAATAAAAACATAAAATAGTTTAAAAAAAAGGAAAATGCAATTAAAAAGGGGGTTCATAAGCAGAAACAGGATAGTAAAAACAAAAGGCAACATCAGCAATGATAATAAAATAATAAATAATATTAATAATAATAGTAATGATAAAATAGAGCAACAGAACTGAGCGAGAGATAAAACAATAAAAGGCCTAAAAGGTTAGTTAAGAAAAGAGTACAAGTTTAACAAATGCTAAAAAGACAGTAAAGCCAAAATAAGATAAGAGATGACAGATTAAAGACGGCATCACATAAAAGAAATCTGACTTTAAAGAAGCGACTGTCTCTGTTCGCCTTATCTCCTCTTCTCCTTTTCTGTCACTTCTTTTAAAATCTAAAACCCCTGATTTTGGGAGTTTTTTTTAAGAATATAAAGAAAGAGAGAGAGAGAGAACCTCATTTCCTCTGTAGACCATAAACCACGAGCTCCTCCTCAGACAGAGAGGAGCAAGAGGATCGTCTCTGGTGGCCGCCGTTCTGATCCAATTACACCTCGACCTCCAGATCACTTTACACACACACACACACACACACACACACACACACACACACACGGTCGTCCTCATCTATAATGAACCAAGAATGAGAGGAACTGAGTAGAAGCTGCAGACAGTGACACAGATATAAAACACACAGACTCAAATTAGTGATGTGGAGTCATAATCGGACCAGAGGGTCGTTGTTTTAGACCCTCCAGAAAAACGCGATTATGCGATCGCATGAATTCCCACATAAATCACCAATCTGTCGCTGATTATGTGGGAATCGAATATTTCCCAAAAGGCTGCATATTTCCCCGAAAAACAGCGCATAATTCCCGCAATAATCTCAAATTTCCGCGGAAAAATGCCGGTCCCGCTTAATTTCACAATTTCCGCATTAAAATGAGAAAACTATAACCAAAGCCATGCTTAAGTTGATAAGAAATGAGACAGAACCAGCACTTACTGTGATGTGTCTTGCATCTATTATGCCTGTTTATCTTTAAATTGCTCCTGTTTATTCGGTAGTAACAGGACTTTACAACTTTCCGCAATTTTCCCGCATAAAATGGCATAAAAACTCTGCATATTTAGTCGTGGAATCAAGGATCTTTGCCCGTATTTTTCTGGAGGGTCATTGTTTCAGTGTTTTTATTGTCCTTTCTGTCTTTGTGTCTCAGCTATAAGAAGACGTCAGAGACTTTGTCCACAGCGGGACAGAAAACCTCGGCAGCCTTCACCACGCTGGGCAGCGCCATCACCAGGAAGTTTGGAGACATGAGGTACACAGATGAGTCGTGTCTTTTACTCTCTGAAGGGAATAAAAACCGCTCTCTGACTCTCCTTCCTCGAAGACATCTCTCTGAATATCTCCTCTCTTCCGTCTCCGTCTCTCTCATGGTCAGATTTTTGACTCTCGCTCTCTCCAGCTCAGGGGAAGTTGGGATTACATAAGCCCGCATTAAGCTGCTTTCTGCGGGAGCTGCAGGGCCCGAGGCAGATCTTTCTCTCTCGCTCTCTGTGGAAATGATTGAATCCAGCACAAAGTGTGCAGACCTGCATGTAAATAAATAGTGCACTGTGTGTACCAGGACAAAAGAGAGGGAGAGTGTGTGTGTTTATGGGTGAGAGACGGTGCATGTTGCAGAAAGCATGTAAACAAGAAAGACCCAAAAGTGGGATTTTAAAGGATCTGTAACTTTTCTAACCTTTTCCCTTCAGAAAATATGTCCAAAATGAGGTTGTCTTCTGGATGCGCTGCAGATTTATGTGTTTGTCGAGTGTTTAGTGCACAAAAGGAAACATTGCATTGTCTTTGGTCGTTGCAGCATGGTCAGTCTAGAGTTTCTGTTCCCTCGGAGGTACGTTCCTCTGCTTTATGGTTCACGGTGTGCAGAGGTTTTGGTTTGTGTGCAGACGGACAGCATGCATGTTTTGTTTTTTTTTTTGCTGTGGATTTGTTTGGTGTTAGTGTGTGCATGAAAATTTACCAGATATACCAAAACTTTAACCTCCAAAATATCTGGTGTAAGATGTACCAAAGAATCCATCGCCAAGATTTAGACCGGTCTCATCATTTAAACATCATTATGTTGTATTTTAAAACAGTTTTAAGTCCATGAACAATTTAAAAGAGTGTCTGGATTTAAGAATCAGTGAATATCATGAAATATGTTCAATAACCTCCCACTAAAATCGTATTTATAGTCATTATTTAGTCACAATGAGCAGCTTCATGCATGTCTGATGAGGGACACCTCATGTTTCAGCCTTTTCAGACTCCTGATACGTTTAACAACGATGAGATAATAAGAAAAAACTTTACATTCTCATAGCATGATGACTTAATTCTGGAAATATTATGACTTAACTATAACTTTATTTTTGTTCTTTGACTTTTAAAAGTAACGGTACAGTTTGATTTTTCTCACAACTTCACTCCGATGAGAAAATGACTTTTTTTACAACTTTACTCCGATGAGAAAATGACACAGAAATAAAATTATACCTCTTGAGAAACGATCTCTGCAGTTTATTCTAGTTTTTTTTAATTCCAGATTTTGAAGGAAAAGCTTCAGGGCCTCTGTATAAACAGGTGTTTTTTTAATTCCTCGAACAGGATCTGAAAATCTCTTAATCTTAATCTTAATCTTAGACCTGATTCCAGTCATCTAAACAAAAACCTTTTTCAGAAAAACTCTTTTCTGTTTGAGACGAGGGAAGTTTAGAAACGCTGACTCATTTCCTCGTTCTGAGAGTGTTTCCCATTTTTGTTGAACTCACTTTAGTTTTTGTGCTTTCTTCTCATCAGCTGGATACTTAATTTTTATCTTCATTACCTCCTACTATAAAGTTCCTCTGAATGTCAGTGTAGATTAAAGTCCTGTCTCTCTCTCTTTGTGTGTTTGTGTGAAATGAAGTGTTTGCTTTCATTGTACTTCCCCTAGAGAAACCTCATTATCACTACCTCTGTTGAACATGTTACTTCCCCTTTAATTCACTGAAACATGTTTTTGTTTTTAACTTTTAAAAAGTGATTTTAAAATGTTTCAATCCTTCTTCATGCTCTCCAAAGGTCCAACTCTATCGGGTAAGAGAATCATAGAAATGTTCAGACTGTAAGAGATCAGCTGAGAGCTCGAACCTGTCGGTCCAGTACACACACACACACACACACACACACACACACACACACACACACACACACACACACACACACACACACACACACACACGCTCGCTCAGCTGCTGGTCTCAGATTAGGATCTTATCTAATTGATTTTTTGCGTCTGGAGATAGAAGACGTCTCAAAGCATCATGGGAACAAGGTGTCATGAACTCTTAAGAAACAGCTAACACAGACTCAGACAGATGTTTTATTTTTCTACAGTTTTACATCTTTCTCTCTGTCGTCCTCTCACAGACAGCTCTTTCTTTTGTGTGTCTTCTTTGTGCTAACCATGACCTCCTCTCTCACCACGCTCTCTCGGGGGAACAGCTACTCTATCAGACACTCTATGAGCATGCCCGCCATGAGGTAACCTCTCTCTGCTCTCTCTCTTTGCCTTTCACTGTTTGTGTCTGTGATGATTAAAGTGTCGGTTTTCCTCCTCTCTTCCTTGGACTTAATGACTAATTTTCCAAACAGCTGACATGATCAATCTTTTACTCTGACACAATACCGCAGATGTTTTCACACTGTGCCCTCCACGTCTACTTCCTCAAATGCACTTTTGTAAACCAAATTAATCCTATTTTTATTCATGCACTGATGAAAACGACTCGAATCAATCATTTATTTACTCTATATTAACAGTGTGAAATTTTGCCTGTCTGACCAGAGCAGCAGAAGACATGTTGTGAACAGATAGAAGTTATTATGGGATGTTTACACAATGTCAGATGCTTTAGTGACCGTTTCATGTAATTGGATGTATTGATAGTAGAAACAGTCTGACTTCAAACACAACAATCGCACCTGTAGCTCACCAGCTGTGTGGTCCACCTGAATTTCCCTGACTTTTACCTGCTGTGTCCTCACATTGAAGAGGGAAAAGGAAAATGTTCCTGTTCGCACATACAGCCCACTCTGAAAATTTCTGTAATTTTTGGAGTTTAGGACACGTGTGAATGCAGCAACTTTATCCCAAAACAGATACAAGTTGTAAATTCTGGTGCACAACTGGTGCTACAGAAGGTGGCAACATGTTTCAGCATGTTTAAGCTTGTTTTCATATTAAAAACGTATAAAAAATTAAAAACGTTTTTTTAAACGGATTAAAAAATAGTCAGCAACAGGATTGAAAGGATTGAACCGTGAAAATACCGTCATTTTTACAGCTTTGTGCTGTTTTTTCTGTGCAATTTAGAAGTTTTATCTTTTTTTCATCATTTCTTCATTTGTCAAGGTTTTGTTTACGATCTTGCTTCCTAGGAACAAATCCACAGTGTGCAAACGCTTAGGCGAGTTTTAGTTGAATTGAAGTGTTGACATGACAGAGAAAATCGATCCACAGCTACATTATCCAGGGATGTTATTCCGAATATGAGAAGTTTGATTTGGTGTGATTCAGTCGGACTATAATCATGTCTATAGTTGTTCAGAGATAACGAATCTTTCTTTCTTCTCCTCACAGAAACTCTCCGAGCTTCAAGTCTTTTGAGGAGAAAGTGGAGAGCACAGTTTCCACCATCAAGGTAAAATCTGTGACGTCAGGTGGTTTGTTTAAAGTGCATAAAAATCATCTGTCCCATTTTTCTAAACTTGTTTCCAAACACAAGTATGAGGTTATGAAACAGACTGAAAAAACAAATGTAAACAAGACCATGAGCGAGGAAACTGAGGATTCCTGCGCAGTTATCTTGACTGCGCTGTCTGATAAAAGTGATTAATGTATGTAGCTCCTGCCACAGGGTCAGGGTTAGACAAAGCTGGTTTGACAGAGACTTTGTTTACGTTTTTCACAGCAAAGATCGCACAGACTGATTCTGAACTGACTGTTGAAAGAAAAGGATTAGATTTTTTCTTCACAAACACTTTTTGCACGGGTTCAGGACGAGATTAGCAAAGAAATGTAGCTCTTCTTCTTTGCAGTCAACATCCGTCTGAATTATGTGGGCCCAGTGTGTCAGAAGAAGCTACTTTAGCCTGTAGAGAAGAAAGGACAGCTTTGTCCACAGGGGGTGCCAAAACTGACACAAACAAAAAGTAGCTCACAGGAGCTTTAAAGCACAATATTGTGTCAAGTGTGGCAAATATAGCGGCTCCTTGTTTTACATTCATTTCCATACATTTTTTAGATTTGAAAATCCTCGATTAACACATATTTACTATGTTTAGTCCCATATATATACAAATGTAAACATAAGTGGTTGTAAGTTTACAGAGAGGTGTGGTAGTAGAACTCGGTACGTAGTCTAAATGAAATCTGTGTTTCTGATTGGCTATCCCTGATACTAATGTGAATGAAATTAAAGCTCCTTTTAGGTAGCGTTGGGCTGGGTTCAAAGCAATATTTGCTTATCTCGTCCTCTACATGCTAACAAAGAAAACCTTGTCCTGCTGATTTTTTGCTGTTAAATTTAGGATTTTTGTGAATATTTGAATTGGAAAATGTAAAAAAAGTTAATGTCTTCACTGACACCTACCCCCTCGCAGGAGTTTCAGGCATTAAAATTACAGAATTAAGTTGTTAGTCTTGTCTCTGATGGTCTTTTTTCCTTTTCTGCATTATGAAAAAGCATAGATATGAATTTCAGTCTGTTTGATAAATGTCAAAAAACCTCTTACTGGAGCTTTAATTTTATTTATCATTTCAATACTATCAGATTATCTATTTTGCAACACAAATACAGACAGTAGAGAGAAATCTTAAATCTCATTAAATAAATTTTGTCTGTTTTTCGCAGACGAAGGTTGGCGGTACAGAGACCGGAGGCAGCTTTGAGGACGTCCTCTCCTCCGCAGCGAACGCCAGCTCTCAAGAAACGCCCGCCAGCCCCGAAACAGACAGCGCCGAGAAGACGTGTTAGAGCTGCAGCTACAGCAGGAGGCAGAATCTAAAGCAGGAACTCTGATCGCCGCTGTAAATGAGCACACGTCCGCACACACACACACACACACACACACTACTGAAATGATACTGAGTTTCTTTTACTGGATCACTGAGATCAGGATGTCCTCTCTCTGCAGCTACAAACACTTTAAGGTCACCCACGCAGTTTTTACAAATGTTACCTGTTAGGAGGGGAGACGCACTCCCGTTTATGTCAAAAAATAACGAAGAGTTTAGCTTTAATTTCTCAGACACAGACTATGATCTTTTGCTGTCAAACTGATGTTAAAACATCGAGTTGTTACGGTTTTAAAACTTCACATCATAATATTCTACAATGTTTAAACCAAAACTAACCCAGGTTTTCTTTGCTGAGGACAAACTACTTTTAAAGCTCCTATGAGGAGTTTTTCGACATGTATGATATAGACCAAAATTTATCTTGATGCCTTTTAATGATGTATGAAATCAAACAAGATCATCAGCGACAAGATTTAACATTTTTATATCTTTATTTTTATTGTCCAAGCCCAGCAGCTGAGGAAACAGTCCTGTTTTTCTCCTCTTAAGATATTCAGAATAAACATAACAATTGACTCTCATGTGGACAAGACAAGCAAAGACTGCTTTGTCCACAGGGGGCGCCAAAGTTGACACAAACCAAAAGCTCCTCACTGGAGCTTTAACTGAAGTATCTAAAGAAGTGCTTTTAACTCGAGCTGAAATTACGGGTTTACCTGTAAACTTTTGAAATCAGACTTTTTATCATATTTTATTAAGACACACTATGCAAGTTTAGACCTTTGGGATTTCTGGGCGAGGTCCTCGTGAATGCTGGATCACACTCACAGTGACACTGAGGGTGGTGTATTAACATGACAAGATAATTAAACCTACATAAAGGAAGAAAACACTGTTTTTACTGGAGGTGTAAATGGGGTTCAGTGGAGTTAATTTCTCACATTTGTCGCTGAAGCGGTCCACCCTCAGAATCACTGACATAAAAAGAAATCAAAATAACTTCATCATGTTTGTGTCGCCTCCTCTAAAAACTTGTCATTTAACTGGTAAAAGTATACTTTGGTGTATTTGTGTGTTTCATGTGAATACTGTAGTACAACTTCATACTGCAGCTGAGGAAACAATCCTTCAATGTGACCCTGAAATCCCGGCTCAGGTCGGATTAATGACTTCGTTTTGCTGAACTAACGCTGAGCAGAAAGGACGGGATTAGTTTTTATTTCATCTCTGTGAAAAAAAAAAAAGGTTAGTGCCACTCTGTGCTTAAAAAAAAGTATATTTGCATGTTGTCTTTGTAACTTTGAAAAGCACCAAAGCACCGTTTTCAAACTTTAGTTGTATTCATGTTTGACTTTCTACTTTTCTGTCTTTGTCTGTATCAAAGTTTTTATTTTCTTGGCTGTGCTCGGAGTAAAAAGTCCCGCATCATTTCATTTATTCTGTCGTCTATTCACAAATATGTATTTATTGAGATTTAACTCTAGATTAGACTAAACTTTTTACCAAACATCCAGAACTGTAACTGTTACATTAAAATATAAAAAAGTCTGTGTTTAAAATCTTTATTTGAATAATGAATCACATACAGTAATAAATAACTGTATTTATGACTGATGTGGATATTAAAGATTGTTTTAATCAAACCGAACATGACAGACGGCTGATTCTACACAAAAACACTCAGAACAACAAAAACAGTGTTTGTGTTAACTTGAAATACAACTAAAACCGACTGCTGTGGTCGTGTTTTTCAGTTATGTGGGGGATTTAAATCTCCATGTTCTTGTCTATGGTTTAAAGGGATATTCCGGCGTAAAATTAAGTGATGGTCAAACACGCTATAGCACAGAGTTAGACACCCCCTCCAGAGATGAATGTTGCCGACCGTTCAAAGTATTCCAACATAATGTTGTAATACTTTCAAAGTTTGTCTTATTTTATTCTACTTATTTTTGGGTGGATAAGAGAGACAAAAAGTCCGGGGAGTGGGGATGACATGCAGTTTTGAACTTTTAAAAGTGTCCTCTCAGATGCTTCTTCAAAAGAGAAACTGGACGGGGACACTGAGGTAGATCGAGACTAAAATAACCGAATTAAATACAGAATCTTCGTTCTCACTTCTCAATAAAGAAGCAGGGTCCTCAAAAGTGGTTCAAGTACACGTTTCAGTTCCTTGATTTCGGAGGTGTGTGGTCAGGAGGAGTTGTGTATTGTTGTATTTTCCTGTGAGGACCCTGATGAAGAAGATGATGAAGTCTTGGCGTCCTGTGTTTTACTGATGCTACGTCCTCGTTCTTCATTCAAGGAGCTGAGAAGCTGGAGCACGTCAGGATGGTGGAAACGACCTGGTAGAGAGAAAATGAAGTAAATGTCGGTTAGAGAAGTGGGTGATCAGACAATCCCTGATAGTGACAGAAACCTGGACTGTGGACCTACCGTTAGTGGAGTCAAAAAACTCCTGTAGTCTTCCTGAAGTTCCTTCCAGCTCCTCGTACTCATGGGCCTGCAGGATCATCTCCAGCAGATCAAACTGTTTCACCAATCTGGCCTCTGGGCTGCTCTGTGTCTCATATTCCTACAGGTCAGAAAAAAGTGTGTCAGTATTAACATTTCCTCAGCAATCATTCATAAGCTCCAAACTAAAGAGTCTCACCTCCCACAGTCCATAAATTTCCTGTTTGAGTCCTTCAGGCAGGAGACCTGAGAGATGTCTCATTGCTTCCTGAGAGAGAGGTAAGAGGAAGTATTAAAGTAGATATGAAGACCAACATAGGAGCAGTACAACATGTTTAATGTCAGATTCTGCTGTGAGCGACACTAACCTCCTCTCGCCGATGTTTCTCTTCTTTGCTTATGTTGTCAGCTGGAGCAATATCTCCCACAATGCACTCTGCCATGTCGTGAACCAGAGCCAGCTTTATACATCTAAAGAGAAAACGCATGCACACAGAAACATGAATACGCTGATGAGTGATATTGAACAGCATTTATTTGTAGAGTTAAAGAGAAGATTAAACCAAAATTAGCCGACTTTATGAGTCAAAGATACTGGACATGGACATGTTACTTCTATCATGAGCTTTTTCTGGATGGATTTGTACCTGTCCTTGTCCACTGTGGGGTCTGTTATGGTCAGAGACATCATGGCCATGCGGTACATGTGGTCCGACACGCTCTCTGGTTTCTGCACATTCCTGTACACCCAGCCGGTCCGTGGAACCCTCTGAAGGAAACACCGACACATAAACAACAACATGTCAGTGAGAAAAACATCCTTGAATGGATTTAGTCTCATGACTTGATAAAAGAGTTCAGAGAGAAAGTTCTTGGTTTTTAATAACAACCTCACAGCACATGATAGATTTTCATTTTCATACTTTATTTCATTTGGTTAATATTTTAAAAATTCAATACAAATAAGGAAACATCTCAAATGTGAATGAAAAGGAGAAGAAAGAAAAAAAAATTATAGAGTCTGCCCCACTTTCATAATATATTAACTAAACACATTATTAAAAAGAGCTGCAGGCCAACATGCCGTTTCACAGTTCATTATTTCTTATTTTCAAAAAAACACAAAAAACGAACAGAAAAGACCACAATAATTCCCTTTTTTATACAAAACAAACATTCCAAGACTTAGATTAACATATTTCCCTGTATTAACTCAACATAGATTCATGCTGTATAATTAGGAAAAAACAGGACTTTAGAAAATGTCATTTACTAATCACTAAAATTAATGTCAATATTCATAATTACTGAAATTATTTGGTAGTTGGAGTCCCAAAAGGGTAAACATTTCCACTGCCATTAAAAGAAGAAAAGAAAAACAAATTTCATTATAAAAGGTAACGTACAGTACCTTACCCAAATGTACTTTAATGTTTATGTATTAACTTTACTGTATAATTACACTCAGCTACACAAAGCTTAGAAAAACACGAAAAAAGATATAGGGTTAATCAGTTTTAATTTATAATAATAGTATAATAGTTGTTTAATGTTATTTGTGATATAAAAAAATAAAATAAAATAAAAATAAACCACTTGCTTTTTCATTTATTTATTTTCCTTAACGGAAGTGCGTTGTTGAAGGGTATTAGTAATTCCTGTTGTTTAATAAACAAAAGTTTCCTCTTTTTCCCCCTTCTATGATTAGGTTGAAGGTTTATTTTTCTTTCATTGAACCTTTAAGATGTTTGTACTTTGTGACAGTATTAGTAGTGACTATTAAGTTTAACCTTTTGCAACCAAAGAGTGTAAAATAATCACAACAACAACAACAACAACTCAACCAGAAGACTAAAAAAGCAGGTAAATTTAACACACACTGTCCCGGAGCTGCTGGCTTTGACTAAAACTTGAATTTGTTGGCGGGAAACTATGAAACAAAAGAGTAACACGTTAGTTTGACAAAAGTCTTACTTTAAGCTGTCCGATGAGTTTCATAAACTGCAGCATATTGCTCATACCGGCTGCTTTCTCCATGGTGGCCGCCATTACTGACCTCCAACCCGGGTGTGAATCAACGGTGTCTGTTGATATAGTACCTCTTCAAACCGCTGGGTGGCAGCAGAGAGTCAATGAGTAGTTGGTGGATTTTATGGTGTAATTAAATATCATTAACAAAAAAGCAGTCAAAGCTGTCAAAGACTATCTATCAGTTCAAAAGTCAATTTGGGGACAGGTAATGTCGGTATTTGCAAATTAAAGTGAGTTCTTTAGTGATGAGGAAAAATGGATGAGGGGTGAGTACTTCCTCTTGGACTGTAGAGGGCAGTGTTTCGCTCATGACGACATTATGAGAAGAAGAAGAGTTTGTCCGGAAGTCAGAGACGCGGGAGAATTGAACACAAACAAACATTTCTCCGTGTGAACTTTTAATATTTTAAAGTCAAGATGTTAAATAAGGCTCCCAAGCTGAAAAGTACGGTTAAATCCAAGATGAGGAGCAACATAAGCGTGAGACCAGCGTCTGAAGCGATGGTAAGAAGTTACTAAAATGAACTCTTTAGTTTGTCGCTAAAGTAACAGAACTAACCGTTTTTATAAGCCGATCAATAATCGACCATTTTCTTGTTTTCAGATCGAACTTCTGACTCTGATGTTTGTGAACAGTCTGGCGGAGGAGGCGAAGACCAAAGCGTTTGAAGAAAAGTCAGAAACGATCCGAGCTCAGCATGTTAAAGCTGTTTGTAAGGTCAGTTTACACAGTCTCATGTCGAACAATCGATTAATCAAAGAAGATATATTCCTCAATTACTAATCTAATGATAAACTAACTGTTCTTTTAGTTAATATAATGTCAGAAACTACCAAACAACAATATTATACAGTTCCCAAAACACGTTCTCTTTTAAATGACAGTATTTTTCACCTCAAACTTAAAACCTTTAGACTTTTATCAAATTCACTTCTTTTGCTGAAAGCAGACACTTAAACTGCTTTACCGCCACCTTACAAGTGTTTTGTAGGGGGACGGTAGGTTTTATTATGATGTGAAGCACTCCCAGTGATAAAAAAGCTTTACAACAACTTATTAAAATGTAAAATAAGAACCCTTAATAGATATATAAAAGATATGTCCCTGTGATAATTAGTTATTTTCATCAGTGGTTCAGTGTTTTTGTGTGTTTTTGCCTGCCCATGCCAAAGACAGTTTTTTGGTATCTGGAGGTATTGGGCCCGCACTACTTTAATAATAATAATAATAATAATTTTATGGACTCTGTTATTAGCATGATGCCTGACTGAGACAGTCAGAACCATCATTTGGGTCTTCCTCAGATCTTATAAAATCATAAATGTTTCTTCATCGATCTTGGACAGATTTTTGATTCACATCAGCGAGTAAAACAGTTTTCCAGTTTCTCATATAACTTAATTTTACCTCCTATTTACTAACCACTAACCCTAACCCTAAACTGATGCTTGAGTTTTACTAAATCCCTAATCACTGGTAAAAACAAATTGTCACTTTTGGATGTCCCACTGCTCACAGATATGTTTTATTTTTTCTTTATAGAAAGTCCTGAAAAAAGCAAGGGGATGAAGACAGTGACATGTGTCATCCTGATTTCCTTTTTACTATCAGAATTTTTACTTTTGTGATTTTTCAATGTCTCTTTTGTGCTGCATCGTATCTATTTTCCTGTAAAGTTTTTTATTGTTATTAAACCCTCGTGAATCCTATTTTGGCTTTTACTTTATAAATGTCATTTTAAAAGGACCCTATATGTCCTGTTGATGAAGTTAGGTGCTGTTCTGAGCATTATTTGTGGCTATAGAGTGGCGTTTTGGTTGAGGTTTGTTTATGGCTCCCCAGATCGCTCTGTATTACTATCCTGTGGTCGTTACTAAAGTTGGTATAACTAGAGAAGCAAGCGGTTGGCAACATCTATCTCTTGAGGGGGGTGTCTAACTCGGTGTTATGGTGTGTTTGACCCTAAATTAATTTCACGTCGGAATATCCCTTTTAAGATCTTTGTGAGTTTGCTGAGATGTTGTCCTGCTCACTGCTTGTCACTACAGAGTTCCTCCCCTCTTTAGAGGAGGGAGAGTGAAAATGTCAAAGAAATCCTCTACATTCACTTATCATAAAATATCATAAAGTAATAAAAATCAGATACTTGTTCTTGATTGACAGTGTTGATGCCAAATCTTGTTTCTGTTTGTAATAAATTGACAGCCAAAGCCCAACCTCATGACCTTCAAACACTTGGAAATCTCTTAATGGTTTATATGGTCTCATATCATTATAAGCAGGGAAAGTATCTCATGTAAAGGTGTGTCAGTCAGTCCAACAGCTGCTTATGTAATTGCAATAAAGACAAGATGTTCAAAAAAAAAAAAAACAAACAAAAGGAAATAACATTTTCTCAAGTCGTAAAATGTTCATATAACGTCCCACTTTTTATGAAAAGGAAATTATCAGATGTAAATCTTGCAGTTCAGCTGGTATTACTCGAAAGTTAAGACATTTTTCAACAAAAAATTTAATAAAATAATGAAATATTAAACTGATGTTAGTGTGGAAATAGTGACTTTCTATGGTTAGCTTTAAGTCTCAATCAGAGGCTCATTTTTCGGTGTCTGTGGTGTTAAAGGGGTCATGTTACCCTCTGGTAATATGAGTCATAGTCACGTACAGAGAAACTCCTGGTACGTGCTGTTCTCGGCCTCTGATCTACACTTAATGTGGATGGTCTATGGAGAAACGGTGCGAGGGCGAACCAGGAGGCAGGATTTGTTTTCGTGGGATGGTAGGGGAAGGCCCCGCTCTCCTTTGCCTCTGATTGGCTGGAACCCTAACCCAACGGACGATGTCATTTAACAGCCATAAGGAATAACCAATCAGAGCCCAGCACTTCTACCCAAACAGAGGCCATCCTACGAAAAAATATCCCATCCAGGAGTTCTACAGTTAGTTCTACAGAACCTGAACCATGTTCCTCCACTGACAGCAGCTTCAGTTCCTGTCGGACCTCAGCTTTCCCAACCAGCAATAAATGCACCTTTCCGTCCACACCTGTCTGCGCTTCTTCTGAGGACGTTCAGGTGAGTTTTTATACAGGGACGTAAACTAACCTGGAGCAGCTAACATGACAGCTAGCATGCTAACTACACTAGCTAAAGCAGCTGTCAACGTTAGCAAGGTGAACGTTAGCTTAGCATTAAACAGCCTGTTAGTTATCTTGTTTAAGGTTTTTATCGTGTACAATAAGAAACAGACGATTATTACTGTATTTCTGTGGATATGAACTAAAGCTGCTAATGCTGGCGGCTAACGTTAGCTTAGCAGTAGTTAGGCTGTATAGCAATGACAGGTAAGTGTTTTTAATACAAACTGGTGAACAGAATAACAAAATAAGATCAGGATCAGAAAATGCATCTCAGCCTTTTTAATACGTTAGTTGGACACATTTTCACCTGATTCTGGCTGCACAACTTGTATTGTTATCCTCTGTTTGTGGGTCAGTGACAAATAAGGGTGTGCATCATGAGTAATTCACAAATGTTTTGATAAATTGTTTTAAAAGTTTGCATTAGGGTTTGAAAAGATGTATATTTTGTATTTCTGTTGGTTTCATATAATTTCTAATAGCATTTAAACCTTTTTTTACAAAGCGAATGATGTATTTCCCTTGAAAATGTCAAGTGGTGTGACAACAACAAAAGGGGAAACATTTAATACTTATTTCCACCTAAAGTGTATGCAAGTGTACTTCTAAAAAAGGTACTTAATTTTAATATAGCAGTTGAAAATTGTTTTTTTTTTTTACTTTAAATTGGATGCATTTTTGCAATATAGATCAGGAGAAATGCTGAAAACTGCTGGCGTATTCTAAATAACATTTGACGAATCATGTAGAAACTGTTGAGATATATGTTAGTGCATTGCAGTAGAGGAGTACATTACATTCTCCATGCATTTTCTCAAATATTATATTTTTTTAAATGAAAAACACTGGTTACAGTCCAAACTGTTCCACGAAGGCCGTGTGGCTGCAGGTTTTTCTTCCAACCAATCAAGAACAGCAGTCTGACCAATCAGCTGTCTGCAGACTGAGATCAGCCGGTGAAATGAATCAAGTCTGGTGTGCTGCTGCTTGATTGGAAGAAAAACCTACAGCCACACAACCCTTTATGGAACAGTTTGGACATGCCTGGGTTACACCAATTGACACAAACCAGTTACACCACCTGAACATTAGGTGGGTGCATATATGAAAAAAACAGCCTAACCCTAAAAAAAAATCCAACAAAAGGTTTCAACTGTTTTTTACAGTATTAGGTGTCCTTAATAACAAAAGTTTACCAAAGTTTGACCACTAGAAAGGCGTCATTTTCACGATGGCGTCCATGATGGGTAGGAGACACTCTAGGAAATGTACGTAAATTAGTGCGTATTTAATTAGATATTACCTCATGTACATATTCAAACACAACATTTGACAAAACTTGTAATACAAAAAATATTTGTCTTAATCTAAGTGATAAACTTGGGAAGTTTCATGGTGATATCTGTTTGTTAAAAATTCTACCCTATTCACCTGGAGTGTCTCCTACTCATTATGAACGCCATCGTGAAAATGACGCCTTTCTAGGGGTCAAACTTTGGTAAACTTTTAATTTGTTATTAAGGACAAATAGTACTATAAAAAACAGCTGAGAAACCTTTTTTTCATAAATGCACCCGCCTAAACACCAGATAAGTAAATTTGAGAGTTGTAGTTACAGTTTTCTAAAAGATAAATCTAATTCTTGTCGTCTTCATCAGCTGTAATTCTTTGTTTTTCTCTCTAGTATGGCCGGCCGTGGTGGAGAAGTGGACTGCCCAGTTAATGCCCTCACTCCACCCAAGTTCATTGAGGAAGTCGGAGATACTTGCGCTCCAGACCCTTCCAGTTCTCCCCCCACCCCTGAGTGCGCCATCTGTCTGCAGAGCTGCATCCACCCCGTCCGTCTCCCCTGCTGCCATGTCTTCTGTTTCCTCTGCGTGAAAGGCGCCTCCTGGCACAGCAAACGCTGCGCTCTATGCCGGCAAGAAATCCCTGAGGACTTCTTGGAGCGACCCGTCCTCCTCTCACCTGAGGAACTGAAAGCAGCAGCTGCAGGGGGGAGCCAAGGTGTCGGGACAGGTGGTGGATCTCGCGGAGACTTTGCGTGGTACTATGAGGGGCGTAACGGCTGGTGGCAGTATGATGAGAGGACCAGCCGTGAACTGGAGGAGGCCTTCTCGAAGGGCAGGAAGAGCACCGAGATGCTGATCGCGGGGTTTCTGTACGTGGCTGACCTGGAGAACATGGTGCAATACAGGCGGAACGAACACGGGCGGAGACGCAAGATTAAACGGGACGTCTTGGATATACCCAAGAAGGGAGTCGCTGGACTGAGATTAGACCCTGAACCCGCCCCTAACTCTGCTTTACCAGGCGACACCTCAGTTGCAACAGAGCGTGTCAGTTCAGCAGACGGATCAGACACAGCAGGACCGTCACAGCCCACATCTTTGGGGATCCTGGTGTCTCTCCCTCCTGTTCGACCTCCAACCCTCCTGGGGCGCCATCCTACCAGCCCTCTTCCTCCCTCACCTCCATCCCTGGAAGAGTCCTTCTCCCAGCTTCTTCTGAGCCAGCCAGGCGGGTCGGAGGTCGACGGAGACGACGACACGTATGAGTACGCATCCGGCAGCAGCGACAGCGAGGAGGAGAGGCAGAGTGAGAGGGCGGAGTCGACGCCTCAGAGACGACTGAGGCAAAGATCTCTAAGGGACAGCCAGCCCACCAGGATGCCTCCGAGAGGCGGAGACTCCAGCTCTGCGCTCAACCTCCGCTCTCGCAGTCCTGATGGACAGTGCACGGTGACAGAAGTGTGACCACAGACTGGACACTGATGTCTCCTCAACCAGTTTGGCAAAAAAGTTCAAGACGAGTACGCGTCTGTAAACGTCCCATGAAGCAGAAGAAACATGATCATGTGCCAAATATGAACTTAAAAGCTTTTCTCTGTGTTCATAGTTTGATCTCTCCGTCCAGTTTCTTGTAACCTCGGCTCTGTCGAAGGTCACAGAAAGCAGAAGTGAATGAAACAACGAGAAAGTGGAAACAGTGAAGCCATGACGGGGGACTCTCCATGTCTGGGGACTTGTGCTTGTTTTTGATGCAATACACGCAAACACTGGTAGTTATACAGTGACCTCAGAAACAGGTGATACAGTAATAAAGACGAAGACAGTCTGGTTTTCTTATATTGAAGAACATCCTCTGTGATCGTTTGTTTTCTGACCTCCATCTGAACACGTCTGATACCTTTTTTTTCTTCTCTTTCTTTAGACTGAAGGTGAAAAAAATGAAGCCTAAATAAAGCACCTTATTCTCTTGTTCCTGAGGGTTAATCCAGATTAAATCTCCTTATTTTGATGCTTCACTTTGAGTTTGAATCCTGTTTCGAGTGGACTCTGTGTGTGAACATGTTAAAGTCTGACCCTCTGCTCTACTGTGATTGTCTCGTTGAAACGATGGTGTGTGTGTTTGTGTTGTAAGGTGCTGAAAAGCTACTGGCAGAACCACTGGAAAGTTTAAGGCTATATATGTAGAGAGGCACATTTGGGTTTCTATTTCTTGCTGCTGAATTCTCGATCGGGCTTCAATCAGAGGCACCGGCTTCTTTGACACGGACTTGGACGAGCTCCAGATTTCCTTACATGATCATGGTTTTAATCTTTTCCTCTGAAATGGATTTTATTTTAACTTTCAACATTTCACTGTTGGTGTCTCACTCTGACATACCTGTGTGTGTTTGTGTGTTAATGTGTGTGTTGTAAGTGTTGTGCTGTTTTGTCGAATCATTAAAAGTGTCTGTCTTTAATGTGAAACCACATCATGACTGATTTCTTTTTCAGGAGTTTAACAGATAAACAGAAGTGGTGGTGATCCACAGAGCTGTTTGTAATGTCCAATTTTAGGTTGGTGTACCCTAAAAGTCCACAGGGTGGAGCTATTGCACAAATATTTTCTGTCCATTAACAACCCATTGTTAGGAACCTGGTCATGGGGGTCAGACTGCTGTTCAAAAAACTACAGGTGAGACTGAAAACTCGACTCAAAGCGAGAGTAAATGTGTGAGCGTGAGCTGAGTTAAGGGAAAGTGTGACGTATTCCAGTTAAGGAAGGGGAAAAAAGTACTTTTCTAAAAACTGTTAATTCAAGACTTAAATATATATAACATGTAAAAATATATGATTCTTGAGAGATTTTGAAAGTTGAATTTATCCTGAAAAAAGGAGCAAACGATTTCACACAAAAGACACTTTTTGACAAATTTACAGCTAAAAAAAGAGAATAACAGGTGGACTGTTACTATTACAGACTTAAACGGATTAACTGGTTTGTAATATTTTCATTTCCATTTTTATCAGCTTAAAAGAAAAGAACTAAATCTGCTGCTTCTCCACAGACTCCATGAATACAAAAATTGCTGCTTTATTTGTAAAATAAAGTTTAAAACCAAAGTTTAATTTAAGATGAAATAAGTCTTATTGTCCTTTTTATATCTCACACAACAAGCTCAACGATCCTCACGATCATGTCGAAATATGTGACACAAAAAGAAAAACATGTTAATATTAAAATAAATTTTAAAATCACAGTTTATGAGCCGATAAATGTTGAGACTAAAAATGTGGGAGAAAGCTCAAAGTCTCTTTGTCTTCGTTCATTAGCTCATGGAGGGCGTCTCTTGAATTTAATAATCAGATGTCATAAAAACATAACATTTAAACTTCACATGTTTTAATTGTTCTAATCTCTTGTTTTACTTGTTTTGTACAGACTGTTTGTGCTGCTGATAACCTCCTACAGTTATTGGTGTTTATTAAAATCTGAGTTTATATCTGTTTGTTTTTATTTTTTAGGTTTTTACTCAGACGAAGATGAATCCGGACTCCATCTTTGGCCTGCAGAAGAAACCCACAGGGTCTGTGTGAGCAGAGTGAGTGTGACTTGAATTTCAATTCGAACCTTTATTTTTTTCTTTGACAGAGCTTTGTTGACAGTTTTCCCTCATTTCCCAGAGATTACCTCCCACAAACAACCAGATCAGAGCTTTGAAACGAATCAATCTACAAAGTCATGACATTTTTATTGATCGAGGGTGTGAGTACACTCAGATCTTAAAGATTAAGATAAGATAAGATGTTACTTTAATAGTCCCACAGGGGGAAATCCCAAATTTACAGCAGCGTACAGACATATGAAGAGAAATTGAAAGGCAAAGAAACTTAAAGTTAAGAAAAAAGAAGGAAATTTGTACATGAGTCATATTTACATGTGTACAGAATGTAAAATAATAATGATAAATGATATGGTTTATTGCACGCTGAGGTTTCTGTTGTGGAGTCTGACAGCTGACAGACTCCACAACATACATTTTTATATATTGTTTGGTAAATCTTTACACCACCTTCTGTGTTTAACCAGAGTATAAAACTGAAACGGTCTTGGATTGACTTTTTTTATGTTTATCTGATTCGAGTTTCAACAGACACTAAATCAACTCGATGTGCTGAGATGATGTGGAGTTATTTCTGCCTGTTAAAGACTGAATAACTGCAGTTTAAGGCTTTAATTGGCTTTAATACCGTCCGCTCTTTCTCATGCCACTCGGTAAAGTGACTTCAAATGAGATCTTAAAGTTCTGGCTCCACTTCAGGGATGCCGGCCGTGCTTTATTTAGTCTATGTTTACACTGTCAGATTTCACACATAGAAACGTGTGTGACGTTTTCTGAATAGAGCTCAGCAACAGGACTTCATAGAGGTACATCAATAATGAGGTATTTATTATGTAGGGCATCACCTCAGCTGGTATGCAATGAGGCACTGACAGATTTATACGACATGGAAACAGACTGTATTTAGATGGAACATGTACAGAGATGAGGGGACATGAGACAGGTGGTGCCGATGTGAAGGACAACATGCGAGGAAGAAAAGAAAACATGATGTTCACAGAGGAGTGATTACATTATCACAGGCTCGCCTCTTTGCATGTCTGCTACAGTCAGTGTCTCTGCTGCTGGTCTGAGCATGCAGACATACATACGCCTAGATGTCTGACACACACACAGACATTCAGACAGACAGGAGACGACATTTCTGCATGTTTTCAGACACATGGCTGCCCTTCGGCTCCCTCATACATGCGTGGTGCTATCATATCCTGCTTCACACCACAGAAAATACACACAGGCTCCAATCCGGCTACAAATAGTCTCACCATACCCACATCTTTCGGCACCCAGAGGCCCGCAGCATTGTTGTTGTTGTGTGGATTATCTTTGACCTTGTTTTTGTTGCATGGTAGTCAAATGTAAACTTAATTTATAGGAGAATATTCCAGCTTTAAAGTACAGGTGTGAAATGAATAGTCCACTTTACCCAGCAGCTGTATCACTACATTCATGAAACAATACATCATGAGTGTTTCTAATCATAATGCTTAGATTCACAGACGGGGTATCTCAGTCCTGCAGGAGCCAGGAATGACTTCACTGCTACTGTAACCATCATCGACCTAACACCATCAGAGCCTATCAGGTGACACGCCTCGCTAAGCCCCGGTGCTACTGAACCATTTATAACAGCGAGCATCACGTCATTACAACCACGATTTCCAAAACCATAGTTTGTATTAAAGGTACGCTCCATTTCTAATTACAGAGCCGTATGATCACACCGGCTAATTTTGGCTTTCCTGCGGAAATAGGAGGAGTGAAACTGGAGAGAGATTTTGTTTTTTTTAACAAACTCTGAGAATTTTTCTTTCATGCACTGACAGAAATAAACAACACCAAACTCAGAACAAGACAGACTTTTGATGTAGCACGATTTTTCATCACCTTTGCACCTTTTATGGTCTAGCCTTTTCTGTATTTGGGTTAAAATGAATCTTCTACTTCCACAACCAAATAACAGCGATGAAGGATCAGCGTAAGGGCTTTAAGACATCAAGCGTAGCCCTTAAATGCCTGAAATCACAAATTATGGCCAGAAAATTAAACCTTTTGGAGCCAAAATGTTTATTTCACTTATAACTGAAAACCAAAAAGATCAAAATGTCCTTAAAATTTAACAAATATATATATTTTTTATCTTGTTTGATACATTAGATGTTCTCGGAAACTAATAGAATAGTATAGAATAGAATTAAACTTTATTGTCATTGTACACGCAATGTACACGGTATGAAGGAGATAAATACATGAGTATATCACGGGTATATAACATTCTAAATATGCTAAAACTATAAGTATGTCCAGGCTATGAACAGATTATAAATTATGTAGTAGTGCAAATGAGGTTTGAAAGGTTTTAAGTTGGTTTACAGATATAAAGTGCAGGTATATAAATAAACTACAAGAGGACATTTTCATCATTTATCGGGCTATATTCAGGTGGGTTTTTTTTAGTAATTTGTTGATCGTATTGATTTGATAGAAGTATATAAAAGTATGTATAAAATATGAGACAAAAGGCATTAAAGGGTTAAACGAGTTGGCAGCGTGTTGAACAGCTGGGAGTGTTTGCTCTGCTGTCTGGCCTGATGCCTACACAAACATGTTCACCTCACACAAATACTCAACACACAAAACAGGAGCCTATTAGTGCAGATGAATTAAGTGCTTGACCAATAACATTAGAGTCTGAAGCCATGCCAACAGCTCGGTGCAGCTGCGCTAATAATAGGCCGATGCTAATGTTGGGTCATTGCTAATCTCCAAACTGAAAAAATGATGTTTACATGAGTAACTTTAGAGGCATATGAGACGTAAAATCAGCAATAATTAGTTTTGTGTATAAGTAGCATAGATACAGCCTCATAAGCCATGTTTACAGGGGCAAGGTTACATGATCCGATTAAAAATTGGAGGGATCGGCTAATCTTAATCCACTGTTTATGTGGGCGCACAATCAAATAATCCAATCATGACTTGCGTATACATGGGCTAAATTTTATTCAGATTAGAAGTATTTGGACATGCGCAGAGTTGTCTAATTTCGCTAGAACAAGAAGAGTTGCATTGATGCCTGTGCTGTCAACAAACCAATAAACGCGGTAGTGGCTCACTCCATCCAATTTAGGATTTTCCCCTGTTAAATGTTGTCACTAGATGGCGCCCTTGAGTACTTATTTTACTGTTCTGGCGAAGGTCGCATTGTGCGTGCAGATGTGACATTATTACGCTATTTGTACGCCTTTTTTTTTGTTACCAGAGAAGCAGACATGGTACCTGCAGGCGATATGTTTTTTCGTAGGGAAGGTACTGCCTCCTTTGTCTTTGATTGGCTCGAAAAGCTGGGCTCCGATTGGTTATTCCTTATGGCTGTGAAACGTCATCTCACACGCTCAAGCCAAGCACGGGTTGTCGGCTCTGTACATCGAACAGAACATTACAGAACATTATTGCAATTCTGAATCTCCCCTAACCCGACAGATGATGTTTCACAGCCATAAGGAATAACCATATTATATTCTGTGTAATACATTTTTGAGAGTTTGTCCACAGCCCTATAAGGATGGCTAGCGGAGGCAGGATTATGTCCTATACTGCAGCCCGTCACCAGAGGGTGCTGTTTTTGCGGTGGCTTCACCCAGTGAGGAGGCAGACTGCATTGATTCTATAAACAGTCTATGGGAAGACTCTTCGGTGTTCCCGTTCATGCACTAATCTGTGTGAGTGTGTATTTGTGTGGGCGACAGGTCAGACAGAGGACCGTGTAGTCGCTCCCAGCTGACCACTCGACTGAATCCAAATTAAAATTGGTCGTTTGTCACATGATAAATAGACCACTATAGTCACCTCTGCCGCGCAACACCTGCTAATCCCCCGAGAGCATGCCGCTCTTGTTTTGAAAGGTGAGCCCCGTGGGTTGTCTTTCAAAGTGGGGATATTTGGGCCTCATTCTATTTTCATGGAGAGGTCTGAAATTCTCAAGAGCCCCTTGAGGTCCTCCCGGCTGTCCTTGATGGTCCCACCTCTTGTACAGCCACACTCATCATCCGGCATTTGAGATGGCTGTTTCAATGGACCAACCTAGACACACTGACAGTTCGGACATGTGGATGAAGATGAAGCGAGCAGGACCGTGACTTGAGCTGTGGCCCAGCAGATGGGACGTTTTGTACTTTGCAGATAAAGTGGGTGAAAAATGGGCGTGCAGAGTGGAGGGATTTTGGAGTACACCTACTGTCTAACTGGGTTGACCCCCAAATTCATAATTTAAGCCGTCAACAGTTCCAGTCTATCACCTACATTTTAGAAATCTACCTAACTCGTGTTATTGTGAGCCCCGCAACCAATCCTGCTCTGCTAACTTGGCCACATTCAATACCTTCAAGCTCCCAGCTGTTATCTAAGAGGAGAAGTTTCATGACTAACTTGGTCTTTGGCGTCATTTAGTTTGTTTTATAATAATAAATCCCTGCACATGTCTGGTGCAGGTGGATGCCAACGTCCTTTTAAACGCAGAGGAAAAATGCAAACACCGTAGACTTGAAAGTCCGTGTTGTTTGAGACATGTAAACGTGTCCGGTCTATAAAGTTTTTACAAGAGACAATATTCAATATAATGTAAATGGAGGGACTGTAAAGAGGAGCCTGTTAAACAGCTGTAAAAGAGCTCAGTTTCAGGTCATCCTCTACTTCCCTTCATGTTTAACCTCCAAAAAACAGGGTGGTCCTGTTTCCCTCCGGCTCACATTTTTCTGAGACACACTCACATACAGGAGGTAGTTAACCAGCTATTTTGAGTCCATAGCAGTAGCAACTGACACATGCTGGGGATTTCAGCGGAGACCCCGAGCGCGGCTCCAATGAATGAGCGGCTTGTCAGGAGGGGAGACGGTGGTGCAGAGGGGGCAGAGGGCACAGGACAGGGGACAGGTGGATGTGGACAAGGGGAGGCAGGAAAGGGTGTGATATTCACACGTGTTTTAGAAAACCGGAGAGACATTATGTCAGCCACCGGGGACAGATGTAACGCTCATAATCACGCATGTATAGAACAAATATGGAGACCACACTGGAAACAGTCTGACTGTGACCATCATATAATGTGGAAAATGATGTTTTCATATGAATGTAAATACACTAACACTGGATGGCAGTGATCTAAAGACAGGCATGACTCTGTAGTGGAAATCACGGCATAACATATTGTAGGGCTGGGCAATAAACTCATATCGGTACGTTCGGTGTCAAAAAATAAATAAAAGTTGGTTTTGGATGTGTGTAGGTAGGCTATGGTCTCATGTCCCTTTAAAGGGATATTCTGGCGTAAAATTGATAAACACGGAGTTAGACACCCCCTCCAGAGATGAATGTTGCCGACCGCTTGCTTCTCTAGTTATACCAACTTTAGTAAACGACCGCATGATAGCAATACACAGAGGTCTGAGGAGCCATAAACAAACCTCAACCAAAACGCCACTCTATAGCCACTCACCTACTCTCTTCCAGCAGCTGCTTGTTTGTAGCGAAACCTCAGGCCAGTCCATTATGGACTACAGCGGGGTGACGCAGCTCAAGGAAATTCTTCATTGAAATGCATTCAGAACAAAACGCTAAGGCAGAAGAACCACATGGAACATGGAAATGATAAAGAAATGATCATAAATGTTCTTCCTTGAGCTGCGTCACCCCGCTGTGGTCCGTAATGGACTGGCCTGAGGTCTCGCAACAAACAAGCGGCTGCTGGAAGAGAGTAGGTGAGTTGTGTTTAGTCTCTTTGCTAAAGAAATGAGTCAAAGTTAAAAAGATGTTTGGTGTCTAGTACTATGTCTGTGACCCTATATGTCCTGTTGATAAAGTTAGGTGCTGTTCTGAGCATTATTTGTGGCTATAGAGTGGCGTTTTGGTTAAGGTTTGTTGATGGCTCCTCAGACCGCTGTGTATTGCTATCGTGCGGTCGTTACTAAAGTTGGTATAACTAGAGAAGCAAGCGGTCGGCTTGCTTCTCTAGTAAGGGGGTTTCTAACTCGATGTTACGGTATGTTTGACCCTAAATTAATTTTACGCTGGAATATCCCTTTAAGACGCTGTCCTACGTCAGAGACGTGACTCCACCCCATCCAGTCCGTAACAAAGAGGGAAAGACAGGTGAGGAGATGGAGGACGGTTCAAAAGTTGTAGCAGCTGAAGTAGACGAAGTTAATGTGGGAGGAGGTGAGCAGCTTGTGGAGTAGTTATCGTCCATTTATCGTTATCGAGGTGAACTGATCAATCTATCGTGATATTGATTCGAGGCCTTATCGCCCAGCCCTAGTATATCGTATCCTTTCTATAGAGAAATTTAATTGGACCAATGAACAACAAGTCACCAACCAGAACATCTAGAGCCAGCCTGTTTCACTAATACTGATGGGAAATAAGTCAAACAAGAAACTTGATAGAAGTATTTTGTAGATCTCTATAAATAAAACATTTGCGTTTTACTCCCCCAAACCTCTTAGTAAAACTTGTGTAATGCCGTGGGGACACTCATGGGAGACTTCTGTGCCGTGATGCAAGACCGTATTTGAGGGTCTCATCTCCTCTGCCATCAGGGTGGGTGTGATAACTCGCCTTGTGCTTATGCCAGGGGAGCCATGGTTACAGTTCAGCTGTCTCCTCCAATGTTCCCTTTCTTTTTCTATTCGTCATCCGTCCGCCTGTGCTCTCATGACACGCCATGTGCAGAAGAGAACATGCTGTGCCAAGCTGTGCCATGCTGTGACTGACTGCAGCGTCCCCAGTCAGGCGAAAGGGAGCGCGGGGTTGCAACTGGAGGAGGAGGAGGAGGATCATACATGGGGAAGGAAATCTGTCATGTATGCTCTATACTGGTGGATGATTTCTTGCGAGCAGGAGTTAGAGGGAGGGGGGGTCTGATGAGGACATGGGAGTGATGGCCAACCGGACGCCTTGTTAAAATACTCGTATGCTGCCCAAGTAGGTGCCAACCTGTAAGACGGGTTCTCATTTACACGAGGATACTTTCTTTTATGATTGAAGGGTGAGACAGGAAGCAGCAAGAGGAGAAGGAAAAGAGAGAAATATGAGACTGGAGATCAAATAAAAAAGGCAAATATTAAAGAAGACGAATCCTAAATCCCTAATTTGCCAATAACTGATAAATATTCCATGTTCGATGCCTCGCTGGGCGGCAGAAATAGCATGAGGTAAGATGAAAGAAAGCTGCAGAGACCAATAGAGGAATCAATGCTCTCCTCTTCTCTTTATTTATACCCCCAAAGACAGCAGGCTAAGATTTCTGGCACCAAAACACACGTCACGCTTGCTATTTCCGTCTGAGGTGCCACATAGCACCAAGAGGTTGGGTGACAGGGCTGAGGCATCATGGGGCCAAAGGACTTCCGTACAACCCACCCACTCACCCACCCAGCCTTTACATGACATTTCACACTCAGACCACCCCTGCCAGGAGAGAGAAAAATGAATGTGCAGCGGAGAATGTGCTTATGTGAGGATGTTTCCGCGGCAAGAAAACCGAGGGTTTAGATTCGTGTGAAAGTGCGAGGCTGAGAGAGGAGGCGTGAGGGGTCTCAGAGGGTGAGAAAAGCGATGAAGAGTTCGATAAATTGTCAATTTTCAGCCCCTGTATTTTTTCCCCATGCGTGTATTCAGTTGACGTGTCGGAGTCGGTGCACAGTTAGCTCATTTGCAACAGCAACACCACTTGAGCCGCCGTGGCAGTGGCATGCGGGGAGGTGCTGGTGTCAGATATCCATAGGCTTGACACGCAGTAAATCATCAGAAACACGAGCCGCCGTTAATGGAACAATGCGAAGCTGCAATACAGAGAGAGAGAGAGGCCGAGTCTTCATGTCAAAGCACTGTCATATTTATTACCAAGAAAAAAAATACATTAAAGGCATATAATTTGTCACAGCTGTTATTTGAACATCTTAAATATATTACTTTGACAATATAATACAGTAAAACACACTGTTGTTGTTGTTGTTGTTGACAGATAGCACAGTCGGGGATTCGTTTTCCTCAACTGCCGGTCGATCGGTCGGGTTGAATTTGATCCAACGTGACCGTGAAAAAAAGGGTTAAGCCCATGAGCATGCACCCTCAATCTAGGGCCGCATGCAGAAATCTCATCGTACAGAAAAAACACCTGAAATTTTAATACAAAAAGAAAACAGGAGCGGTTAATCTCACTGAACAGCAACGAAGCAAACGCTGATGTGTTGGCGAAGGTTTTGGCACAGAAGAAGAAGAAGAAGCAGAAAGCCACAGCAAGACTGGAGAATGTTTTTGATGTGTTTTATCTCGGGCGGCAAACATGGCGCCTCCGAAAGCAACTGATTCAACGTAAAAGTTTATTTACAAAAAAAGGAGGAGGAGTCAGGAGGAGAAAGGCATCACATGATGACGGTTTCAGTCTGGAGAGAATAGGAAATAAGAGGTCGGTGCTTCAGAGCCGGGCTCGGGGTTCTGGTTTTTGGGCTGGGAGGGCGAGTAAGCGGGCTCGGGGAACGATACATGGGGCCTGACGGGGCGGTGATCCTGGCGGTGGGTGTGCGGCTCGCCCATCTGGAAGGCGGTCGCTGATTGGCGGGTCGCGCAGGGCGGGAGAAACTCCTCTGAGGGTTGGCCGAGGACGGTTCAGCCAGGTTCGTCTGAAAAGGAGCATGATGGGACACGTTTGAGTTTGTGGTCTGAGAAAAACTGAGACTAATCCTGGATTTAAGACACAGAGATAGACCTACCTGTTGTGGATCGGGTCTATAAGCAGTGTGTCCTGCCCGGGGACTGGAACTGTACTCATGTTGGATCTCCAGCATGTCCAGCAGCTCAATAAGTCCTTCATCCCTCACTTGACCACAACCTGGCACCTCCTGTCCTGCTAACCCACCCCTCTGGATCCTCTGAGCTCCTGTGGACACACTTGAGACCCTGTAGTCCATTTTGGGCTCCGCAGGCTGGGGCAAAGGCTTCCTTGATCTCTCTGCTTGAATCAGTCCTCCGTCCCGGTCCGCCCCGCTGTTCGCTCTGGGTCTGACCTTTGGGCTTCCAGCCACCTGTGATCTTCTGTGGGGCTGCTGAGGACTTGCATGGGGTCCCTTTGAACCACTGTAGCCTCCTCTGTGATCCTTGTGGTTCTGCCTACCACAGTCTGATACTGACCCCCATTCTTGGCCGGACTCTACCTCCGCTGTCAGCACGTCAGAATCTGCCTGGCATTTCTGGTTAGGCACGCGCACGGGCGCCCTGCCGGCGACTGCTGCGGCTCCCGCAGCTCTGCGCTGACAGCCAGGGGTAGGGCACTTTGGCTCCGGTCCCTGATGGGTCACCACCCCAGATTCGGTGAGCGTTTTGCCTTCGTTTTCTTGAAGCATGGCTCCGAACTTCCGGAGAACAGAGGGGCTGCTGCACTTCCTGTCTCCCAGAGCCCCGACCCCGAAGGACTTCCTGTCCAGAGCAGGAGACTCGGCTGTGATCGAGGGCTGTGAGCGCGTTTGTGAAGACGGAGCATCCCTTTGTCCAAGAGGGGGCTTGGTTCCTGTGTTTTCTTTGTTGGGAGAACTCTCTCTGTGGGAGGAGCTCTTGATTTTGGACAATTGGTTCTTCCTGTTGTGAGTCTCCTCGAAACTGCCCAGAAACTGCTCTGGACCGAGTCTGAAAAAACAGAAATGAGCCGATCAATCAATAACGAACTCAGTCCAAACCTGTCGACATTCAGGTTATAAAATCTGGGAGATATTTGCGGCGCCTACTGGGTAGTTTTGGGGTTACGGTCTATGTGTATTTATTTTGTTTGTTCGTTCTTATTGGGTACAGTTGGTCTGAGGTTGAGTACAAGAGGCTTTTGGATCCAGTTTTGCACCCTTGGTAGGCGAAGAGAGGTAGGTAGCGTGAGAATAAGTTGAGTGGCGTGTTCTTGTTTGCGATTGGTCTTGATAATGTCAGAGGAGGGAAATTGTTTCGAATGTTATCATTGTGGTTGTTTTAATAGTGAAGTTGTGTTCAAAAACGCAAATATTTCAATTCTGTTTTGTCATGTTGAAACATGATTTGTATTTTTGCTGTTTTCAGTCTCATGGTACTTGAAGCGAGGAATACAGAAATACTGTACCAGTTGAACGCGATACCAAGGGCTGTAACAGTGGATATGAGCTCATTATGAGAGTATTTGTAATTAGATTGCTCATCCAGATAAGTCTAAGTGAAGCTGCACACTCTTTTGTTTTGTTTTAACAATACGTATGAGGCTCTCTGAACATCTGTGTGAGAAATACAGCACTATTTTATCTGAGGCTGCCCTGAACGCCCAGAACGGCCATCCTTCCAAGACAGTGCGAGACTATCAACGTAAATATTGTATCTTATGTTTGTTTTCCTTTTGTTGAAGTGTTCATTTTGCAACAAACACTGCTTAAATATAGTTTACAGCTTAAACTGACCTGAATCATCCCAAATTGTAAAGTCAAAGTATCTATTCAGTCTCTGTGAGTCTCAGCAGAAACACAGAACAATCTGTAAACCTGGTAACTTTGGTCAAATATCGTGATCCAATTTATAAATGAACATAGACCATCAAACTACGTGAGAGTCCCGGGAGAAATAACAATATGGGAGGTGGGAGATAGGTCTGTAATACAGGAGCGTTGGCAGGTATGACTCAGTCACACCAAACAATCATGTTCACAAAAAAAGGGGAAAGTCTACCTTTCATTTCCAGAACTTCTTCTTCTGAGCTCATCCTGGTTTGAAGGGATGTCCGTGCTCACCTTGATCGTGTCGCTGAAGCGCTGACAGAAAAAAAGTGAGAAGAAAACACATGAACAAAAACCTCCATCTACTCATTTTAATAGTTTTAAATCAAACTAAATGAGTCTCCTACTGAAGGACTCCATCTACTCTAACTTTCCAAAACTGAACCTCAGCTGAACCTTGTTCGTCCCTCAATATAGCCGTGCTGGGACTATTCTCATCTACTGTACTGTAATGTCGGCCGCACACGTGGGCTTTCATGTGGACCAGGAAACAGTTTAATGTCCTGGTTTCGTAATGACTGCATCGTCAGGACTTCTTTAGGAGGACGGCAGTAAACTATGCGAATCTAACTCCCGTCTGGTAACCGGTGAGCGTGAGTAGACTGGAAGGAACCAGCGAGCTGTAATCAATATGTTCCTGACTGAACCCCGGCTCTGACTCATATCATGTCCAGCTCTCTGGTTCCCTCAGATGCCAACAGAATGAGGCAGAAGAAACAGAGGGAGGAATAAAAACTCGATTTCTTACCACATGGCGAGCGCCGTTATTCTTCCGGTTGGCTTGCTTGCCCTGGCCCAGATAATCCTGCAGTAAGTCTCCGATCTCTGAGACGCCGTTGTAAGGGTAGCCGTTCTGATAACCCACAGGGTAGCTGCAGGCGTCGCCGTAGTGATGTGGCGCGGTTATAGCTCCAGTGGGATTCTTGCCATGATGACCGGGCACAAAGAGGCTGTTGCCATGGTGCCCTAAGCCACAATCCAGCTCGCCGCTATTTTTTGGGTTGTCAGCGGCGATATCATTCGCTCCTCTGCGGGCCTGAACTTCATTGTACAACTAAAAAACAAAAACAGACACAGAAGAACATTCAGTCCAGATACACGGGGTTCCTTTAACGTTATTTTCTCATTCGTACGTGCACATGCTGTACCAAACTGAGAGCACGACACTCACGACGGGAGCTGTGTTTACACAACAAAACACGACTTATAATTATCCTAAAACCGTTGCACAGACTAACCTATATTTATAAGCACATGTTATTCCAATAAGCATCTGTTTCCTTCTGCAACTTTTAATAGTTGCTTTAGTATCCGCTTTCAGACTCCATGTGTGTGTGTGTGTTTGTGTGTGTGTCGGTGCCATCACTACTATTTAATTAGCTTGTTCACATGTGTGTATCGTTGCTCCAACAAGGCCATGTGGCTGAGTCAGTTGCTGCGCTGCCAACAGTTTATTATAGTGCATAAGTGAATACATACTGTATAAATAAACAGACTGCGCTCCATAATCTGGATACAACGTCACGTTATGTAAACACCGAAAGTAGATGGCGAGATATATTGTTTTTTATCGAATACACAATAAATCCAACAACTTTTAGATAAATAAATATTAAATCGCTGAATTTCCCTGAATAGTTGCTGCATTTTCTGGTGGAAATCCAAAAAGAGCGTCCTTAACTGAGCTTCAGATCATATTTTTATGATCTATTATCTCTTATCTCACCTCTTCGATTTTCCTCTGGATGTCCTGCAGCTGGTCCTCCCACTCCTGCATCTCCGAATCAAAGTTGTCCATCAGCTCGGGCCTCTCTGCCCCCCAGCCCCGGCCGCCGTGTTCCAGCCCACGCTCCAGATCAATGGCTGCCATGACGTAGGCTCCTCGATCCCCACGGGCCTTTTTAAATGGCAGTTTCCCCCCCTCTTACTCCCGTTTCACTCGCTTGTCAGGGGTCAACGTCTGGTTTGCCAGTTGGGGCGGAAGGATCGATGGCCTGGAAACGCTGTAACGACACACAAGGGAAATGATGAGATTACAAAACGAATCCTGGTCTCAGATTACTAACCGTGTAAATTCAGCTGTAATCTGATTTTAAAAAAAGCACTTTCGGGGTGAAGTCGGGGTGGGTGAAGTCTCTTTTCGTGATTATTTTTCTGGTCAACATCTTGCATAAACATCTCATGTCGGAGACTCACTGAGGTCAGATATTTATGGCTATCTCCTCCGCATTCTTGTCCAAAATTCACAGGCATGTAAGTCAACCTATGCAGCACGTGTGGACAAGAGTGTTGCATGACACTCCAAGTGTTAAGACCTCTGGTCACTTTGACCTCCAGCCCGTCTCTTCTCGTCACATGAGGAGAATAACTGGACCTCGGCGTTCAAAAACAAAATGTGACGCTCTGTCGTACCTCAGGGTTGTCAGAAATGATCATTAAAACTCCTTAAATGAGGTTCAGTGATCAATAATTCAGTAAGGTTGCATTCAAACGAGTTTCTATCAAAGTGGGTTTGTTGTTGTTGTTGTTGTTGCCATCAATGAATACAACAAGTACCCTGGAAGAAAGTGCCCGAATGTACCGTCGACTTCCCTCCCACCTGTGATGTAAGAGTAGAGATATTAATAATCCTGTAACTATGCATAGTAAACCGGCTGCATGGCTCCTGAATCAGAAACAGAAATACTTTAATTACTGCTTTTGTTGCAGTAACTCCAGTGTAAATACAGTAAAAAGGGGAGATAAATAATCGATAAAATTAGTAAAAATAAATAGATAAACAAGTATGTACATTATATACAACACAAATAGTAACATTGTATGGATGTTACTTCACATTCTTCTGAATCTGAATCAGAAATACTTTAAGAATTTCTTTTGTTACAGTAACTCCAGTGCAAATTCAGTAAAAACAGGAGATAAATAACAGATAAAATAAAGAGATAAACAGATAAAATGAGCATAATTTGTAAAAATAAAGAGATAAACAAGTATGTACACTATATACAACACAAACAGTAACATTGCATGCATGTTACTTCACATTCTCCTGAATATGGAGGGGCACATGGACAGTGACTGTGAAAAGTTAAAACTAAAAACTTGCTTAGATTTATTTAAAATATAAAAAGTAACAAAATAATGATTAAAAAAATGTTTAAAATGAGATAAATCCTAGAAATAAGAATTAAAAATGTAACTAGACATTACCAGAAGAGTTTGTATTTTCTGTGTCTATAAATTAAGTCTCCCCTTCAACATTAAAAGCCCCCTGACTCTGATATAAGAGGGTCTGCAGTTCTTACCTTTGCTGTAATCTAAAGTTTGGTCTCTCCTGTAAAGATCCTCAGTCTGATCTGGTCCCTGTGTCTCTCTGTGTCTCTGTGTGTCTCCACTCTCTGCTGCTGTATATCCACTCTCTGTCTCTAAACTCTAAACATCTCCCCTCTATCTTTCTCTCTCCCCTCTCTTTCTCTCTCTCTGTTACGTAAACCTCCGCGGACTGGATTTAAAGGGACCCCCAGGTTAAGTCCGGACCGTTGAGTTAGGGGGGTAAACAACTTTCTGCTCCAGCCGGGGGTCCCCGCTCTTTATACCGCTGCTCTGTGTTTACGTGTGCGCGCTGTTGGAGCCCGGGTCCGGTATCATAATGTCAAATTTATTCCAGCATTTCGGGTCTCGATGGGACAACTGTCGTCACCAGCATCCCTGCTATAATTACTGGCGCTCGCGTTGAGAGGGAAAGTGTTTACATAGCTATTTCAGCTGCCGCGCGCGACTCTCGGCCAATAGGCTTCTCTGTTGCTACTCCGCTTTAAGGAGCTCGGGCAGATTTGGTCTTGTGACCATGATGCTCCGCTGCAAATCATTTTTCCGAGGGCTGCCAAATGGGCGTGGGTGACACAGTGAGTAATAATGTGTCACCGTCAATAATATCTTTATTGAAGTTAGTCACGAAGAAGGAAACTCAAAGGTGGATGTCGGACATTTTCTGGCAGTGTTTTACTCATTCTTCATCCTTCACAGACTCCTCAATGACAACAAACTTTACAAAGTGGGATTTTTGTTCCCTGGTTTCAATAAAATCATAACAATGCAAACGTTCAAGTAGGGGAGACCGGGGCTTGTTGTCACACTTTTTACACTCTTGTAAACTTCTTGGAATTAATACATCATATATAAACAAAATGTTTACCACACAAAAGACCAAAGTCTCAGGTATATTTTTCGTATTCATTTCATTTTCATATCTTGTGTCATTGCAGAGTTATAAGCAATCAATTAGAGAGTGTGACCATAGACTGTATATAGAATGGATGCCGTCTGCCCCAAGAACAGCACCCTCTGGTGTCCGGCTGCAGTATAGGTCATAAATCCCGCAAAGCTTATGGTTCTGTGGACAAACTTGAAATTTATTATACAGACTATACATTTTTTCCCCCCTGCTTGTGATGTTGACATGTAGTTACTGTAAGACTGGTTTGTGCTCAAGTCCTCTTTTTTTCTATACAGCTCAGTTTTTAAAAGTTGTTAGGGGGTTCATATTTTCTATGATTGACACCTAATACAGCCTATGGGCGTATGAAGATTGTGTATCTCACCTGGGGATACACGGTTTGAGCCGAGCGACTCTCGGCGACTCTCCCACCGAATGCGTACAACGGTACTGCACAATGTTGGTTTCAGGAAGTGGAGAAAAATCGCAGAATTACCAAGAGCTTTTCTGCTTCAAATCTGTATACCGGCAGGAGGCGGAACCAAGTTGTCCATAGTATATACAGGCTATGAGTGTGACATGTTGCCCCGCCATCGAGTAAGTTGTCTCACTAAATGGGGTAAGATGTCAAAGTGGATTTTGCAGCTAATAAAACACGGACAAAATTATTTTTGTTCTCATTTTTTTTACATAAAAGTGAAAATCAATCAAATCAAACTATGCAAACGTTTAAGTAAATATCCCAAACGTTGGTCTGTTATCTTGACTCATCCCCCTGAAGACAGTCGCTACTGTTCATCTGCCACAACATCAATTACTAACGTCAGACCCCCTAATCAGGGGTCCCGTTGGGAGTTTTCAGACCACCCTCGCCCCCTCCCCAGGCAAGATCTAACATTTGGCTCTCAACTTAATCACCAGAATTCCTTCCAGTTTGAATCCCGGGGATCATCTGCAGTATTTCTCCACCTGTTGTGTTCCCTGTCAAAGCTTTCAGAAGTTTAAGAGAGGGTTAAAAACAAACTTTATCCTGACTTTACCTTGAGGAAACAACAGCAGGACGGTACAGCAAGTGTTGTTCAGAAAAACAAAGACAAGGTGACTGCTGTCACCATACGTTATAAGAGAACATATATTTAGTAACAAGGTTACACCAGGGCATCTCGCAGCATGAAAAGGTGATTAAGGTTCAACCTGTGACCATAAAGCTCGATGTAAGCAATGCTGACCTTAGATGACTTACATTCCTGAAACAAACTCTCTCCTCAGTATGAATTTATGATCATAATCTTAGCTCAAGTGTTATATTACCAGACTTTCAGGAGTCGTAGATGAGTTTGGAAAAACTGAATCACCCCTGAGCGCACTGTTGTTTGTTTTTTTTTAGTTATAAACTTTTTAAATGTGAACTGAAGTTTAACACTTAAAGCTCCAGTGAGAAACTTTCAGTCATGTCGCTGATAGTCTTGTTTGCTTTAGTAGGTTGTAAAAAGGCATCAGTAGGAATTGAAGTGTGCTTCATAAATGTCAAAAGACTCCTAAAAGGAGCTTTAACCTACAGTTAAAGCGTACCACAGAGTCTAGAGCTGAATCTATTTTAGCTTGTCTAGACAGACATGTCGAAAGCACAATCAAAACAAGTTTGTTGACGGCGACAATCACGTTTCAGCTAAATCTGGACTTGAGGTCTTTATTTACAGTTTTCAACCCATCCGCAGTTTTTTTCTGTTGTCAGCATCAAACTAAATTGTTAGAGCCAATTTGTATGGTTTAGTGCCATATTCCATATTTGTGTATTTTAAATTTCTCATGCAGTATTTGGATTTCGGGTTCATGCAGTTTCAATGTTTTCCCAGTAGGTGGCTCCACCCGTATGTGAGGCGGAAGTGTTTCGTTAATCTCACAGGTGTGTGTGTTTTGTCACCGGTGAGAGTATACAAGTTTTTGACCGTCGATTTGGGTATTTCGCACTTGTCAAGGACGCATCTGTGTGAACTTGTATCTTTTCATGCAATTGTGCATTTGGAGCCTAATTTTTTACTGACAGGTGGTCTGTGAACGTGTCACTCCGATGTTTAGCCGGTATATCAACCACGTCTTGGCTTTTAGGTTTATTGTTTATCTACTCGCAAGTAAGTCAAGACAATACACAAATCTTAGACTGCTCTAGGGCTGGGCGATATGGCCTCAAATCAATATCATGATTTAATGAGTAGTTCACCTCGATAACGATAAATGGACGATACCTACTCCACTGCACCCCCTATGTAAAAAAGTTTAGCCTTTAGATGGGGCTGTGGCAGTTTTAGTGATACTATGACTCCTCTGGACCATTTATTACAATTATTTTGTTGTTACAGACTGGATGGGGTGGAGTCACGTCTCTGACGTAGGACAGCGTCTTAAAGGGACATGAGACCATAGCCTACCTACACACATCCAAAACCAACTTTGATTTATTTATTATTTAGACACCAAATATACCAACATGGGCAAAATGACATTGGTTATTGTTGTAATTTTGGTATCGGTAAATTTTCGTTGTATCGCCCAGCCCTAGACTTGTTCCGCTTTTAACTCACCTTCTTCAGGAATTGATGCTGCCGGTGTTGACTTGGGGATAATGTAGTCTCGTAGTGTCGAATCTAGCCACTCTGTCTTGACTGTGGCGGCAATCTTGGCAAGTGCTGAGCTTTTCCTGTGCTTTTGGTTACCTTGGCAACAAATGATGCGGGGAGGAGGAAAAAAAACAAAAAGAGCAAAAACAAACAAGGGATGATGTGAATCGAGGGAGGCGTACATCACAGGACAAAGAAAAGAGTAAAAAGAAAGACTAGTTTAAAGATGGTGGCGTAAGAGAGGGACGAGAACAACACAAGTATGAGGATGAGCAAAATGATCGGCTGGAACATCTGGAGGATGACGAACCGTAACAAATGAGAGAAACAAGGTCGGATTAAGTGGAGAAAAGGAAGAAACAGAGTCAGTGTTTTTGAGATATTTCACAGGCGACCAGGATACTCAGATATGTTTCTTTCTTTTCAAACTCACAGACAGCGGCTCGTCTGCCTCCCTGTCCTCCAGCCTCGGCACTTCCAGTCGGTCGATGAAGGCCTGCAGCTCTTTCCTGAAGGCCTTCATCTGAGCGTTGATGCGATAAAGCAGCTCGTGTTCCCTGATCCTGCTCCCATCATCCTCTGCTCCCTCCTCCCCTATACCGAACATCAGGTCCCCGTTTGAAACGTAGACCCTCGCCTCTGAGATGACCGTGGCTGTATCGGCGATCAGCCGGTCGATGGTCCGCACCAGCCTCTCCGCTTCCACACGTATGTCGATCATCTGCTGCCTGTCGCGCAGACTGCACCGTCCACCGGGCAGGAAGCGTGCTAACGGGGAGGAGGCGGCGCCCTCAGGTCCAGGGGGGGTGTAGAGGCTTCGGGTCGGCGTCATGCAGCGGCTGCTGCCGTTATTGTTTCTGACCTCATCAGAGTCACTCTCCCCTCCCACCGGACCTTCACGTTTGCGGTGCGGTGGAAGGAGGCGGGAGGAAGTCGAGTCCTCGTCGCTCTCTCTGCGACCACTCGTAGCACCGCCGGCGTCGCTCTCGGCGTCGCTGTCTCGCGGGCTGGGCCTCAGGGAGAGATGGGAGGCGAGGTCATAGCGCTGCATGTTGGAGAGGAGCACTCGGTTCTCGTACTGCAGCTGCATCACCTGAGGAAGAGACAAAGAGGAGTCATCAGGTCTGACCCCGCTCCCCCATGTTCACCATGTTGTTTTTTTTCCTACCTTTCCACTGAGGTCGTTTATTTGAAGTCTTGCTGCCTTCAACTCCTCCTGCAAAGCTTCCACCTTTGCTGCATCAATCCCCGTGCCTCCTCCTCCTGCTCCTCCCCCGTGTCTGGCGCCTCCTTCGTGGGTTCCAGCTTTGAACCGTAACTTATTCAGCTCGGCCGTCACTCTCTTGTTTTGGTCTTCGGCGTCCGCCAGGTTCCTCCGCAGCAGCTCGGCCTCGTCCTCTACCAGCTGCAGCTGCTGTCGGAGCTCCGTCAGATCATCGCCGAGGCCTCGTCCTGCACCTGTCCCACCCATCGCTCCGCACCCAGAGCTCCCAGCACCCTCTCCTTCGCCACGGAGGTCGTCAAGCTCGGCCCTCAGACCGCGGTTCTCCACCTGAGGGATAGACGGAGGAAACCTTAGACTCACACAACTCAAACTGAAGCATATTTCCTATGATAGACGCATCTTTACCTCCAATTCCACGATTTTCCTCCCGAGGATGTTGGCCTCCTCCTCCACTAGGCGGAGCCGTAACTTCAGCTCCGACTCCCGGGTGGTGGGAGGACCCCCTGCCTCTCCTTTAGGATGGGTGCTGTCCAGTTCTCCGTAGAAGGAGCGGTACTTTTGCAGCTCTTGCTCCAGGCGGTCTTTCTCTTTGTCGATTTTGGCCGTCTTCTTCCTCATGAGCACCGCTTCCTCTTTGATGAAAGCGAGCTGGCACTTAAGGTCTTCGTTGTCCTCCTAAAATCAGAGACACACGCTCAGACTTGCGTAAGATGCTGGAGCGCATTGAAGCAGAAATAGTCACAACTTAATCCTGAAGTTCACAAGGTTGGTTTCGAGAAGATGGGGGGATTTAGGATTAAAGAGAAGATTTTGTTGCGTTTAAAACCAAAACGCTGAGTCTTAAGAAACGACTGAGGCTCAGAAAACTCTCAGCTTTCTTTTAGATTTATCTTCCTTTTAGATGCTCCTGCTTTGACCTGGTGTAGCCTCAGTTTAAAAGCAAGATAAGTGAGGAAATCATAAAAGGAAAGAGGTGGCCTTCAGGTTTAATACTCACTTCGATAAGTGGAGTCTGGAGAAAGCACTTTTGGAGAAAAAAGGACGAAAGTAGGCGAGAAAAAGACGATCTTTTCAGATTAGATTATCCTTTTAGTGAGCCGTACAGAGCAGTCGATGATCTTCATGATTTATTTTTCTGATCTTGTGCGATGTGATTGTCAATAACACCAGAAAAATTACAGGAACTCTTTAGTATTCTCACCTCAGTGGGAGTCTGTGCAGATTTTCTATCCGTCTTCTGGACCTCCTTGCTTCCTCTTCTTTTTTGAGACTGTTTCAGGGCAGTGAAGTAAAAAGAAAACTCATTTTTTAATCAATATATACAACAGCGTGTGTATTCATACCACTCTCACTCTGTTTTAATGATATTTTCAAGGCCGATAAGTTCAAACACATCAAATATTGATGGATGTGTTGTTCGCAGACGTCGGTGACTCACCTCTTTGGTTTTGTCTAGTTCGTTCTGCAAGGCTTGTTTGGTCACTTCCACCTCGATCAGCTTCTGTCGCAGTTTTTCGTTCTCATCCTCCGTTTTTGTGCGTTTCTCTTCCACCTTTTCCAGCTCGTGATGCAGTCTTACCGACACGTCTTTCGCTACCTGCAGAGGATTGAGTGTTGTGATGTAAAAACTATGAATATTCAGGTTTGAACCACAACAGCCGCTCCTCTTTTCTGTACCTTCAGGTCTTGCTCCAGACTCCTGAGCAGCTCCTCATCGATCTCTCCGGTCTGGGCATAGCGCAGCCTCTTCCTCTCCGCCTTTCTTAGACGGTACTGCAGGATCCGACAGTTCTTATTGGCCCTCTCCAGCTCACGCCTCATCTCCTGCAGCTGACAAGTGTCCTCCTCGTAGAACGTGTCTCGCATCTCGTCCATCTCTGCCCTCATCTCCTCGATTTCACACTGGTGGGTGCACAGAGAAGTTGATTCGAGGTTTCCAAAATCTGTTTTTTTGACTCTACTTGTGAAGTTAATCATATTACCTGTAGTTTTTAAGTGTTCATGTAGAAATTAAGAAATCAAACGCACCCATATGACCTCTGATTGGATGTCAACTTGACTCTTATAACTGGGACACACTCTCTGCAACCGCCACCATGACGTGACATAACGTGCAAATCTCAATAGCTGTGGTTGTCCCTCATTTTCAAACAAAATCATTGATTTTAGCAGATCAATATCAGTGTAATCAATAAGTAGTTAGTCATCTGTGGCTCTAGGTTTATAGCCTTCTGTTAAAGGGTGTTTATCAGACATCTATCAGTCAGTGATTTGACCAAAAACTCAAGATTTACTCCAAAAAATCTGATCCTAATGAACAAATATTGACTATTTTCCAGCTGGTCTTTTAATCTAATGATGTGACAGTTTGTGGTCTACATAAAAATAACTTAATGTCTATAAAAAAGGGAGGAATCGAACCTTTAGATCCTCATTTTCATCGATCAGTCTCTCCATCTCGTCTTCGAAGGCCTGGTCCTCTCCCTGGTCTTGCTGTGTCACGGACCCCGCCTCTGTCGCCTCTGCAGCCGGCTCCTGCTCCCCCACAGCGGCCTCCTCGGTCCCCATGTTATCGGTCTTGGTTTGCATCCTCGCCCTTCGTCTTTTTAGAGTCTTCTGCAGATGGTACTGGATCAGCTCAGCCTGGAAGCATCCTCCTCTGCACAAACCCAAACCGAGGCCCGGGCCGCAGCCCACCGACACGCCGCCTCTCTTGCTGTCTTCCCCGGCTTTCCTTCCTCGAACCTCCGCTACCGGAGAAGGGGAGGAGGAGGCTCTTTCTGGGGGGAAACGCCGGGTGGAGTCGGCTTTACAGCAGGGGAGACGTAAAGTGGAGCGACGGGCCGGTTCGGGTAGATTTATCGGATCCTCCTCGACAGCATCCGCCCTGTTTGCTCCTCCGACTCCACCAGCTTCAGCACCATCCGGGTGAACAGCTGCCCCTCCGCGGCTCTCGGGCTCCCTCTCCCTTCCGTCAGCGGACCTCAGCGGCTCCTTCTCCCCGGGGTTGACGCTCCTGCCGGCGGTGAGAGGAGGAGATAGGGACCGGCCTGGCTGTCTCTGAGCTCGGTTGTTTGCCCGTGCCTGGGCTGTAGCCGGTGAGGGAGCCCGGTGCTGCTGCTGCTGCTGCCTCCTCTTCCTCCTCCTCCCTGGGCTTTTGTCTGATGATGATGATGATGATGGTGGTGGTGGAGGGTCTGCAGCGACGCTAGTGGTGGGATTCATCTTCTGCTCCACCACCAGAAACTTTACAGGGAAGCTGTAGCCCACTTTAGATGAATATAATTAAAAATAATAAAACTGATAAAAATGATAAAGTCATATCTCCATGCAAGTAATCCCATTGAAACAGATCTAAGTTTTAATATCTATTTAAAAACCACTAGATGCCGCTTTCCTCCACTTGGTTCGTCCTCCATCAAAGTTTACGGAAGAGGTCTAGACCCTCTTTATTCGTCCTGCACCTTTAAAAATCAGTCTACAGAGTAAAAAAGGGTCAAAATTGTTTAAAAGTTAAAAATAGTTCTCCATGATGGCTGATTCTTACCGCAGAGCTGAGGGAGATCTCGCTGACACGGGGTACCACCAGGCACTGCAGGGGCACTGACCGTTGACGTACGGACGGACGTCAAACCAGGAAGTGGACGTGCAATCCCCCCACCACTACCACATAAACAAACAACCTATGTGGCGTCTTCAATTTAAAGGGATATTCCGGCATAAAATTAAGTTAGGGTCAATCACACATCGAATAAGTCACCCCCTCGAGAGATGAACGTTGCCGACCGCTTGCTTCTCTAGTTAAACCAACTTTAGTAATAAACAAACCTGGAGCCATAAACAAACCTCAACCTAAACTCCACTCTATAGCCACAAATAATGCTCAGAACAGCACCTAACTTCATCAACAGGACATATAGGGTCACAGCCATAGTACTAGCCACCAAACATCTTTGTAACTTTGACTGATTTATTTAGTAAAGAGACTAAACACAACTCACCTACTCTCTTCCAGCAGCCACTTGTTTGTAGCGAGACCTCAGGCCGGTCCATTACGGACTACAGCAGGGTGACGCAGCTCAAGGAAGAACATTTATGATCATTTCTTCATGGAAAGGGAAATTCAATTGTCTGTTGTCTCACATAATATGTCTCTAAAAATTATCTTTTATTTACACAAGAGTTATAAAGTCTGATGGCTGTTGGTACAAAAGATCTTCTGAATCTTTCTGTCCTGTGGTGAAGAGAGAGGAGGTGGTGTAGTGGTTAGCACTGTCGCCTCACAGCAAGAAGGTCCTGGGTTTGAATCCGGGTCAGGGCGTCTCTGTGTGGAATTTACTCTGGGTACTCCGGTTTCCTCCCACATCCCAAAAACATGCCTGAGTGGGGTTAGATTAATTGGCTACTTTCAAATTGCCCGTAGGTCTGAATGTGAGTGTAGATGGTTTTTCATCTATATATGTCAGCCCTGCAATGAACTGGCGACTTGTCCAGGGTGTCCCTTGCCTTCGCCCGAAGATGCAGGGATAGGCTCCAGCCCCCTCTGCAACCCCGTGAACGGAAATAAGCGGTAGAAATGGAAATGCAATCAGACCGAGATGCTAAAGCAGAAGAATTACCGCGTCTGCAGTGCAAAATGATTATTTTGATGATTATTACTTAGAGGAAATGATAAAGAAATGATCATAAATGTTGTGGCTATAGAGTGGCGTTTTGGTCGAGGTTTGTTCATGGCTTCTCAGATCGCTGTGTATTACTATCTTCAGTCGTTACTAAAGTAGGTATAACTGGAGAAGCAAGCAGTTGGCAACATTCATCTCTCGAGGGTGCGTCTAACTCAGTGTTATGGTGTGTTTGACCATAAATTAATTTTACGCTGGAATGACCCTTTAAATAACGTCCACCATCAGTAGTGCCATTTCTAAATCAGAAGAAAAGTGTTTATCTTTCATTTTAAATTTGTTTTGCTGTTGGTGAAGGAGCTCTTAATCTTCTCAGTGAACGTAAAATAATGTGAGAAGGCTTTCCCTAGCCTTTCCTCCTCATTCCCCTCTGACCCACAATAGCCAAAGTGTAAGTGACTTCTTGTCCAGTAGAGGGCGCTCTTCACACACATAACACATCAGCCAAATCTGTCCCTCACAGCTGAGCGTCCATAAAACGCTGACTATTTGCACTCTGTTAGGCTGAATGAGCTCCTTAGTCATATAATTGTTAACAGGATGAGATGAGTGAGAGATGGGTGAGGGTTTGCCGAGGTTTAACCCCTTAAAAACTGACCCTTTACCCTCTAACAGACTGACGCTCTCAGACTCAGAGGTGGGTCAGTCAGCAGAGGAAATACCTGGAAAAAGGTGTTCATGCAGTTATCGCTATTTCTATTTCAGATTGCACATCAATATTCTGGCCTGTACTAGTCGTGTCGGTGTACAGGTATGTGCAACTAGTTCCTGTAGCAGCAGGGATGCAGGTTATAGTGACCTGTGCTAAATGCCTTTGATAGAAAAGCCTCGGTCCTCCTGCAATCCTCTTAGTCCCTGGCTTAGATCCCTCTGTCCCCATGGAGGACATACTCCTCCTCCTCCTACTCATCTCATCCAGTCTATCATTCACATTTGAACCCTTAGACCTCCTGAAGACCTCGCTCCACCTCCACCCTCATGCCATTAGCGCACAGAGACAGGTGGTGGTGCTTCAGGATAAGAGGGAGGACTGTGTAGAAGCAGTGCAGAAAAAGTGGCTCAGTATTTCAAAGATGAAGTTCTAGGTGAAGCAGAGCAGCAGTGATCTGAAGTTTTTCAACAACCGGAAAAGGATAGAGGATGAATAATTTAATAGATGCCATTAGTGACTCCGTAATGGGCTAAATGGGATGAAGTGTTGATGGAGAAATAGATGGAGAATGTGTGGATACAGGATAGATAAAGCTACGCCTTCAGTAACAAAAACCATCTGATTTGGTCGCTTCTTGTGGAAACACTTTGTAGATCAACTACACCAGATTCACATGTTTTTAGCTCAGCATTTGAAGAGGTAAAAGTCTGATTTCTTTCTTTGTCACTGCCTAATGTTAACTAATCTATATAGTTTGAAAGTTACAGCAGCGCCCTGATGGCAGATTAGTGGAGGCTTCTCTTCCAGTGACCTGCTTTCCTGGGTAATTCACCGAGTGACGTGGAAATAAGCTCTTTTGGAGCTAAAGCCAATTTACCCCCAAAGATTAGGACAGATCTGTCTGGACAGGCCAAAGACACAGCCTACCTCTGCCTCTCTCACACACCTTCAAGAGCCATTTCCATCCAGCAGATCCCAACATGGAAGAAGAGAAGAGAAGAGGGAGAGATGGAGGAACGAGGAGGGAGTGAAGATGGGAAGATGGGGGATGGGAGGGGTTTAGGCTCCAGATTAGGTGACATCTTGATTCTGAACTCTTCAGTAGCAGCAAACCGGCTAATTCACAACTCATGTACACAAAGACACACACAGGTGAACTGCGGGGTGCTGACATTGTCTTTATTTCAGTTGTATGTGCAGCCAGAAGCTGTTGCGTTCCTCTTCGTTAAGACAATGAATTTAACGTTTTTTTTATAAAAGCTGTTTTCAGGAAGACGTTCCCTTCAGTCCTACATGGCAGTGAGACAACACCGAGCTCAACTTCAATCTCTTATTCTCGCACCTCAGCTACATCGCACAGCAAAAAGAAATAAATCATGAGGACCCACACAAAAGTATTATAACAAAGATACCCACAAATTTGCATAAATACTAAAAGAAACTACAGCCCCCTCCCACCCTACCCTCCAAAGTGATTAAACCAGGTTTTCAATTCACAATGAATACAAAGAAAAAATAGCTTGTTGTTGTTGTTGTAAATGCAGCACAGTTAGATCTGTTTCAAACAGCATGGGGTTGGTCGTTGTCGTAGTGGAATAAAAGGTAGTCGATTCAGTTGATGGCAGTTTTGACAGCGTCTTAATGTCGTTTTTACAAATTTGTAAACAAAAATCCCCCCTGATCCAAAAAAAAAAGCCTTTGGTATCAACTTCTGCATGCTCTTTGTGTTGGAAATCATTAAAATAAAACTCTTTAGAGTGCTAGAATATAAATTAGCATATTAAGGTCTATTTAAGCTTTCATTTAAAGTAATACCGGTATCCAGAGTACAAAAGTTGGAGGTGAATTTTGGTTGACAGGTTAGTGGATGCTGAGCCGTTTGTAGGTCCTCTAATATTTTGGTCCTTTACGGTCCCAAACACAGCTGGACAGGAGAGTGCAGAGCCGGCCTACGTGATCAGCGTTCTGCTTTTCTTTAAGATAAAAAAAAAAACTGTTATGGAGACAACCAACACCCCTCTCTTCCTCTCAGAAACCCTGACAGACACACCCACATACACACACTGCTACCCTTTCCCCCTTCAAAGTTGGTCACAAATTGCATCCTTCTACATTACTGGCGGGGAGGACGAAGCCGCTTTGGTTTGTTTATCCCTCCCCTCCCATCCCTCCTCCTCCTTCTCTGGCCCTTAAAACAAACGTCCAAGCAAGCCCTCTTCCTCCTTTACTCCCTCTTGGCTCTTCCTTTCTTTTGCCTCTTCCCGTTATCCTCCAGCGCCTCCGCTTTGCTGTGACCGTTGGTTACCATGGAGCTGCCGTTGGCGACCGGTTTTCCTCCTTTTTGCGAGGAGGAGGGTTTGCGTCGGTAAGCGTGGTAGTAGAAGTTGGCGAAGAGGATGATGAAGGTGACGGCATAGCCAATCAGAGCCCACTGCATCCAGTTGGGGAACGGACAGCCGGTGTATAGAGAGTGGCCGGCGTGTCCGATGGTCACGTGGAACTGGATCTGTAGAGGAAACACGATCGTAAAAGTTAGGTGAAAGCATATTTATAGTCCTGCAAATAAAAAAACAACAGTCCTGGAGTTACACCCACCATCTGAATTATGGTGAGGTATTTCTTCCACCAGAGATACTTCTGCATCTGAGGTCCCAGAGCTGCCAGACCGTAGTAACCGTACATGAGCACATGGATGGAGGAGTTGATGGTTGCACCAAAGAATGCTAAAGGGGGATAAAACAGCATCTTCGTCAAACAGCAGTAAGATTAACATCCTCGATATCAGAGTTAATCTGAATCCTTCTTTTTTACTCACACTGTCCACCAGGGACCCACTTGATACCGATCCACCAGAGGATGAACATGGTGCAGTGATGGTAGACGTGGAGGAAGCTGACCTGGTTGAACTTTTTCCTCAGGATGAAGAAGACCGTGTCTAGGAACTCCACTCCTTTAGAGATGTAGTACCACCAGAGAGCAGATGCTATCTGTGGATGTGAAACGGACCGGGTGAGTCAGAGCAGAGACGCAAATATCTGTCTATATGTATGAAACAGCATCTTTAAAACATCCTTAAACCGAGAATAGGACGACTGTTTCCCTATAAAACCTGCTGTTATTCAGTTTAAGAATCATGGAGACAGAAAGGATCTGATGTATTCAGTGTTTTCTCTGCTGTGTTATAAGATTAATGAACATATAAACAGGTAAAAAGACAAATAAAGTGAGACATTAAGCTTTAAACACAGTGTTAAGGTCAATAATGATGACTGTATAATATGATATGTGGATTATATAACACTCTGGACCACTGGAGGCTTAAAGCGTAACTTCAGTATCACATATAAACAGTATATTGACCCATTCACAGTGGTTTTATAAATCACACAGACAGCATCAACCTGACTCTAAACTGACAGCCGACTGTCCTGAAAAGCACGCCGTAAACCACTTCACTTCACTCCTCCCAGCCTGAGACACACATGGCCACCCTCTAAGCCAGGGGCTGCTGCGGTATTAAGGCCTGAAGGTGGAGATGTGGGCGGAGTCTCACGGTGGCGAGACCAATTACCCCGACCTATCTGAGCGCAGGCCCCACCTTCTTTGTCCTGAAACCGCTAGAGAAATTAACCTTTATCACAGAGTATTTATTTCCTCCTCTGACCTTTGACTTATCCAAATGCTCTGATATATAGTTACAGTGATCTCCTTAACGCCAACAGTAGGATTAAACCATCCGTACACATCGACAGGTCCGGCGTCTCGGCTCACAGGGGAGTGTGAATCTGTGGGTGTATACCTGTTAGAGCTGGTGTGTTCTGCAGGAAACTCACCCTGACTTCATTGACATCATTGGAGTAGTTGACCGGCTGACAGAGGTAGCTGTACCCCGCTGCTTTAGAACCTAGTAGGAGCTGATGGGGAGAAAGAAAAGACAGAGTCAGGGCGAGGAAGAAGACCGAAAGATGTTTTTGTAGTTCAAGCAACCTCAAAGAAATATCACAATTAAGGAATATAAAAACAGGTTATTGGTTAAAAAACAAGAGAAACGTCTCATTGAAAGAGTAAAAGCAAAGAATCTATGAGGAGGGACCAACAGTTCAGCTAAAAAGTAAAGTTTTGAGTCCTTTATAACTGACTCTGGGAGAAGAAACTATATGAACAACCTCTTGAAATATTACGTAGTGAAGGCTGCACAGACTACGTTTCTCAAATTTGCATAAAACTAGCAAAAATTAAAACATCATATACTGGAGGGTTTGGACTTCTGCAGTCTGTAAGTGTTTCCTTTGCAAGATGATAGTCTAATCTTGTATTTGTGGGGTTTAACAAGCAAAAATCTCAAGTAATATAGGAAACTATTTCAACACAGGCGACGGAAGTTTGTAGGATCTTGTTGAAAACGCTTTGTCATCCTCCTTTAAAAGTCTTGATAACAATCTGCCTCCTCACCTCTTTGGCGATGTAGAAATTCAGCACCACCATGCTGAAGTTGTACACTATGAGGGTCTTCCTGAGTGTATAGGGCTGACGGTCCTGCATGTATCTAGGCCCCGCCCACAGGAAGAGCAGGTACAGGCAGCTGATGACCAGAGTGGGAAGAGGAGTGGACATCAACGGCCACTTCTCTACCCTCTTGTCTGGAGATAAAAGAGTTGATTTCATTATCAGGAAATTAAGGATAATGTAAAGCAAAGAGCAGCAGCTGTTCAGGAAGAGCGGATACAGCATCACATGTTTACTGCAGCTCATACGACACTGACATTATGAGGGATAACAGCTTAATTAAACAACCTCATAGTACAAATACAGAGACAGTTTACTATCTCAGTGAGGGAGCAGGTCTTTGTCTTAATCAGCTATGATCTGCCAGACTAATAACTTTAACAATCATCAAATTAAACTGAACATATTCGAGTGACTGTGAAGATCTTACCTGCTATAGAAAGGCTCCATTTGTAAAACTCTACAGTGTCATTCACAAAATGTGTTACAACCTCCATGGTTCTGGTCTCGATTACACTGTGGCAGGAACAAAGAGAGAGCAAGTGAGTCAGGAGGACCACCCAAACTGAAATGATAGACTCCAGTTAGGATATCAGTAAGTGTGTGTGTGTGTGTGTGTGTGTGTGTGTCACTCCCTGTTGTAATGGCTTTCAAACACACTTACTGTAAAAAAAACAAACATCCTTTTAAACGGGATACTCAGGCCCCTTCAAAGATGGAGGTCTGCACTGTGCTGTGTCATATCAAATCTCCAAATATGGACTTTCAGCTCAATATGAATGTGAAGATTTGATGCGGACAGACAGCATTAGAGCCTCTCTTGACTCAACACCGCGATGCTAATGCACTTGCTATTGATTTTCACGACTGCTGAAGGGTCACACCTTTTTGAGATAATTATAGAAAATAAGGTGGAGTTTACAGGGTTACTCCACCTATTCGATTAGATATCTAGATGGAAAAATAGAGATACTGCTCCTAGTAGCTTCTGTAGATTACTGACAGCACGAGACTGATATCAAATATGCATCTTATTGACTTTAATTAAGCAAACAGATCATAATAATCTTTAACAGATCCCATGTGTCAGGTCAGGCTCATTTTGAATAATATATAACCCTGTAGATAGTGATTATAACTGTGCTAACTGGGTATTTTAAGTTGATACTGCAGGACTGGTGTTGTTTTTGCCGGAGCTCACATGGTAACATACAGAGCCACAGAGGGGGGGAGTACATGACCATCTAAACTCTGGTTTAGTCTCGATGGGCCGCGCAGGGAAATGAGATAGAGAGGGTTAACCGGGTCTGTGCGCACACAAAAAGACAGGGGCGCATGTGTCAGCAGGTTTCGCTCAAGAGGCTTAAATTCAATTGATCTACGAGCTTAGATGTAGGCCTAAGTACAAATGCCCAACGACCCACAAGCCTGCCCGATGGTTATCTGCTGCTCACATGTGAAATGGCACACTGAAAAGCATTGATCATGGAGAAAATGGACGCCTTTTCATATCTCTCTTATTGCAAATGTTCATATTTTCTGTCATTTTATGTTCTAGTCTTTTTTTTTTTATTCTTGCTTAGAGGTTTTTTACCTCTTTTACCCCTTTTACATGGTAAAGAGCTCTTACTTAACAATATATCTTGAATTCTCACTCTTGTGTGTGTATGTGTGAGTGTGTGTGAGGGTGGTAGTGTGTCTGTGTCCATGGGTGGGTGTGTGGGTGTGAGGTTGGGGTTTTATTGTTGTTAATTGTTGTTTTTAGCCCCTGTGAGACACTTTGAACTGCATTTTTAGTCTGAAAAGTGCCATAAAAATAAAATTGAATTGGAAATTTAATAAAAGCTGCACTCAGAGCAACACCCTGAATGTAATTTAGTAAAATAATTAAACATTAAAACTGATTTCAGCTATTTAACAGATGGATAAACCTCTACATGTAAAGAAACGACTATAAAAATGAATTTGCTGGAGGTTTTTTTGCAGAGGTTTAACAGGTGGGCGGATAAAACTGCACCAACACAGACTTGGATAAAAGTGTATCTACTGACGCACATAAAATACCTGATATGTCGCAGACAAAGGACTTGGCTCTTTTCCAGCTAAGATGCTTAATTAAGCCCTGAATATGCTCTACACTGGGATTTAACCTATTCAACGAGTATTTTAAGCAAAAAGCAGCTGGCATGATAGATAAAAGACAGCTCAAACCCACAGCAAAAACGTCGCACGTCCTTACCTCCTCGATATTTAAGAGCGTGTAATGACATCCGGTGCAATTTGATGCCCAACTCCCTCTCAGCGGTCTTCTTCTTCTTCTCTCTCTTCTTCTTCTGCCGTTACTGCTATTTAGTTTCTACACCCGCAAACGGTTTACGGTACACTTCGACATTAAACAGCGAATTTGGCAAAGAAACTAGACAAGGCAAGTGAAAATCTATGACTAAGATAGGCCAATTATGCATTCAGTCTGCGCCGGCCGCTCAGCTCATCATCTTCTTGCAATCTCCCCGAGACACCGAGAAGCCGAGACGGCATTGCGCATGCGGGGGATTCACCCTCGTGGCTCGTGTGTGTTTGCGCGCGCACGGCAAGCCAACGGCCGGGCCGGTGTTGTGTCGTGAAATGCACCCCTTACGTAGGAGCCGTCTCCTAACGGTTGAAAATACATACTAAAGCGAAATGTTTCGAGTTTTTCTTACAGTTGGATGGATTTAAAAGCGTGTGCCTTTAATGATTTCATTCAGGCTTTTCAGATAAGCCGAAATAATAGCCCTCTGACTCGGAATGTTTGCTGTCCCTATAATGTTCTCTACTTTGACAGCTAACTGTACAGTTTAAACCCCCAAGTACACCTCTATATGTGCGTTTTTGAGGAATATAAAAACAAAATGAAGGTTTTCTCCTCCATTTGACATGCTGTCGTGATCTAATACTCGTGTTTTTCGTAAATATGAGATCATTTTCTTCCACTTTAAGAAGCTAATGAGTGGATGAGATGCAAGGGATACATTCTGCGGCAGAACACCTGTTGCTCATCATGGCCGTTTGGGGTTTCCTAGCAAAGAAGTGCGATTACTCCGGTTATTCTCCGTTATTTTCACCACAATTTAATAACAACGACAAACATTACAGCCTTAATTTCAGCAGGGAAGTATAACTGCCAATACGAATTTAATATTACTGACTTAAACCGTTAAAATGTGACAGCTAGCTTACGTAGAAAACCTTATTTCCTATTCGTATTCTGTACTTATTTCTATGTTTTTACATGTCAAACCAGTTGAAACGAGCCTAGATTTGCGGTTCAAATGTCAGTATTTTGATTAACTGTCACCAGGATAGGTTATAGGCGTTTTCCAACAAACTTAGTCTACACATTAACCAGGAAAATAACACAATATATATGAATGCATAAACTATTTTTTTTAAGTTGGCACATTACCTACTAATAGCATTGGTGTTAAGCTATAAACCAAGCTTAAGTTTCACCATGTAGGGGAGAGTGGGGTAAGTTGAGCCAAAGGGTAAGTTGATCCACCCCCTGCTGCTTGGAAATGGTAAAAGAAATTGACCAAATGTGACCGGATATTTAGGAGATGGGCATCAATTCATGGAGTCTGTGAAGGTTAGAAGCACATGGGTGAAGGGATTAGACATTTGTTTCCAAAAACATCCCACTTTTCACTCTTGAAAGTGAATTTAGTCTGTCAGATCATTTTAAATTTGTTTTATACATCAATTGTGGTATCTATGAGCTCCAACATGAGGTCAAAAACATAAAAGTCCACCATTTCAACTTAGAGGACTAATAAAGTCATCATAGTTGTGGGGTAACTGAGAAAGTAAAGGAGTCTGATGAGAGGATCAGAGTTTCAGTTCAGATTGTTAAAATGTTTGACTTTTTCTTTTCTAAAATACAGCTGTGAATGTTCTGAATCACTTAAAGACATTCTCATGTTAAAATGACTTTTTACAAAACAGCTTTTTAGCAGTTATATGCAGTAATTAAAAAGATTTATTGTACCAATTGAATACATGAATGTGAAGAAGTGACTGTTATTTAGGGTGAGAAGGTGAGGATGTATGGTCAACTTACCCCATACACCTATTGTCATGCTATATTATCAAGACAGTTCTGTTTACACTCATTCTGTTGGTTTGCAGGGATGAACAACATCTTGAAATATATGCAGATACACGAGTTAGAGACAAAACTATGATTGACTTAATGTAGTCATCCGAAATATGAAAAATGGGTCATCGTACCACACTCTCCCCTATACCCTATTCGTAGCCTGTTCCTACTTCCATGTTTTTACATGTTAAACCAGCTGAAATTATCTTAAATTTGCAGTTCAAATGTAAGCATTTTGATAAATTGTCTCCAGGGATAGGCTACAGCCATTTTCCAACAAATTTAGCCTACACATTAACCAACAAACTTACCTACCATACATCCAAATGAACTTTTTTTAGAAGTTGGCACATTTCCTACTAATAGCATTGGTGTTAAGTAAGCTATAAACCAAGCTTAAGTTTCACCATCCACACATCTGTTGTAACTAGTTGCTCCCTGTCGTCAATACCCAGGTCTGTCCACTAGATGGCGCTGTCAGGCTGTCTTTGGAATCAGCAGCTCACCTGCAGTGATCAGCTGTTCTGCTCTGAGGAGGCTTCAGGAGGAGGGATGAGGTTTCTCACAAGCAAGTTTCACTCTCACAGTAAGTCAACGAGAACTTCCCACTCAGATATCCCGCTGAGGCACATTGTTGGTGATTTTATTCATTCTCTGACTAAATGATCCAATAAGTTTGGCTTAAAAAAAACACAAACACAGTGCACCACACATGAACAGCCTGAAGTGTGTGTGAGTTTTGTGCGTTTACATTCAGGGCAGCATAAAGGTTACTATATGTCACGGACGTTGCCAACTCAACTTTGACCTTTTGGCTGGCTTTTGGGTTTGGTTTTGAACTTTGCCAAATCCAACCGATACTCAGTCATTACTCCTATTAACGATAACTATTCTCACTTTTATTTTCCATTATCTTTGGCAGAGCTGCACTGTTTTAATCTGATCCAAAGGCTTAAGAGCAGCTATCCAGATCATTGCAGGAATGGGCAATGCAGTGAAAGAAAGACAGGGTTCGTGTGTGTGATTAAGAAACATTTGGTCCCCATAACACCATGTGCTGGGGTTTCAGAGAAGTACGTTTCTTATTTCCCCTCAAAGCTGAGGCATTAATGTTCAGCTGAGGACCAAAGTGTGTTTTTGGCATGAAATTACGCAACAATACTTTAAGAGAGGACATATTTTATGCTCTGCAGGGTGCAAACACTTTACCCCTCAGCTGCAGTGTGGTTGACCATAACATGGTTCAGCTGTAGATTTACATCCTAGAAGTCTCTGCGATGAGACTGGCATGAATATTGAGCCTACGTGCAAATTAGATGAAATGTTAGGTTTCACATGCATGCTACAAAAGAAAAAACGCACTGTAACAGTTGTTTGTCCAGACAGAAATTTATTCCACATTTGCCTTGATGGTTCAGTTCATTTCTACAATTGCACTATAATTATGGTACTTGCAGCTTTTTTGCTCAGGCAACACAAAACCTCTCATTTCTAAAATTGACAATCTTTGCGAGCGTCCTCCCCTCCGAGGCGTTGGTGTTGGGAGGAACATTTTTCACCCGGCCTTTGTTTGGCTGCAGGTTAATAACTTTACATGGATGGTTCCACTCGATTGAATGATGTTGAGCTTTACTTGATTGCTGTATTTGTCGGATTTTACTGCCTGCTTGCACACTCTTAGTGTTAATGCTCACTTTGCATTAACACATAAGGTCGGTTGCTGGTCGACTTGTTGAATAAACACACTGTATGTCAGAAAAGCCCTGAATGGTTCCTGTATTAACACCTCTTGGCGTTTTGAGAGGAATTTCTGTGTAAAGTGGTTTCGCTCGTGTTACATCTGGAAAGTTGTGGTTGTTTGAAAATTAGGGTGAATTAATTCTAGGTTGTTGTGCTCATCAGAAAATGAAGAGTAAAGCCGGGGTTATACGATGTCAAAGCCTTCTGTTTTATGTGCGGATGCATGAGTGAAGATTTGAGATATTAACTTATTGTTTATTGTTTGTTAGGATCCCCATTTGCTTATGTCAAGACAAAGCTAGTCTTCCTGGGGTCCAACGCAGAAAATAAAACATTGTAAAATCACTCATTTACCAAACAATTAAATAAGAATAGGAAAAAAGGGTGTTACAAGGACATAACAGACGGAATAAATTAGAAATAAGACAGGATCATATACGATACCTTAGTACAGGCTTCATCTCATCAAGTGTTGTTTTCAGTTTTTCTTGAAAACCAATTTTGTGGTTGAATTTTTTATATGATTAGTTATTGAGTTCCATCCTGTGATGGCTCGATAGGTAAAAGTACATTTTAGTTGATCTGTTCTCGGCTTGTCTAGTCATGTAGTTGTGTACATTTTGTGTATATTTAACTTGGTCATATAAATGCTGTGGTCTCTTCTCCATTAAAACATAACAGAAACGTAAAGTACAAGAATGTAATATTATCTATTATCCATTTGTCTTTTGTAATCAGAGGAGTTTTGTTGTTGAAAATGGAAAAACTGGCAAGAAAATCTTTCAATTTTGCACAAAATCCTGCGTCCAAGTTGGTGGAACAATAGAAAACAAATATTGTGTTTAGAGAAGACTTTTAGAAATTATAAACAACTGCAAAGTAAAACAAGTTTCAGGAAAAAGGAAAGTACCTCATCATCCTCAACAAACACATCTGCGTCATTACAAAGCAGCTTCTGATTCCAGTTGATTCAGCTTCAGTTTCTTACAAGGACATACTGTTGTCTCGCTGCACAGCTTTTATTGTTCCCATTGAAATGATGAAAGCTACTTCTCCTTTAGTCGCTTGTATCTAAATGTGCTTTTCTCAAGAAGCGTCATGTGTTGGTGACTGAACTTCCTCTTCATATTTTCACCCCTGACCTCTTTCTGTTCTGAGCTCAAACATTGTGCATAAGCTCCGTTACTCTTCCTCTCTGTATGGTTTTCATTTTTACCTCTACATCTGCTGCGATCATTTTCTAAAAGGTAAACGTTTTTGTGGTAGCCCGGCTCTTTTAAGCATGTGTCAGAGATGTATTAGCTTATGATTTATGCTGGAACACACGACTCGCAAAACCCCGAAAAATATATGCTGGGGAAGTTTCCTTCTGTAGGGCACATTCACGGCCAACCACCTGGGACGAACCGTTTTCCACATACCTCTGGAGCGGCGCGCTCGCGGCTGTAAAAACAGCCTTTTTTGGGGGAATACCACATTTTCCAAACCGTTCTCCTCACTCGGGGTAATTTCTTTCTCGCAGGCCTCGTCTCGTTGCAATAAGTTGAAGGTCAAAATCTTACATTGTGCATAAACTGGGAAATCTTTACATCTTCCTGCAGAGATTTGTGTGATATGTAATGATGTGTGAGAGGAGCAGCACAAATAAGAGTAATTGAGTCAAGATGTATTTGCTCGGTCCGCCTCTGTTTCGGCACGTGCGGCCAGGAAATTACAGGCTTATGGAGATTTACTTCTCATATACCGTATACTTACTTAAGTCGATGGTTTCTCACTCTGTATACTGTGACAAGTTTGCATGTCAGCTCATGTGTGAAACCTCTGCTCCTTTACATCCGTGTCTTCAAGGTCCACATGCATCTGCTGCAGTTTTGCTTGTTGTTGTTTTTTGGACTTACAAGCAGGAAAGTGTCGCAGTTTGACAAACACGTCTTTAATCAGCGTCCCTGCCCTCTCTGCAGTATCGCCAGTAACATCTCTAATAGCAGTGAGCTGTTTTCTTTCACAGTTTCTGTGTAAGCGGGATCAGGTCTGCTCCGTTCGAGTTTGCTCATATGGTTTTAATTTGAAAGGCATATGCTTCAGGCTGACATGTAACTGGCTCCGTTCAGTAGCTGATCCCTCTCTGTCTATGGCGGTTCACTAGATATGGCAGTAGATCACAGCCTGTGCAGTTTAGAGGCTAAGTGGGCTTCTTTTACTGCTTACTATAAAGCTGTACACTTACATATGTGCTCTTACACTCACTCTCTTGTCCTTATTTGACCTCGGTGTAAGGGGAACCCCTCCTCTGCTGGTGTGTGTGGCCTGAGGTGCCCACAGCTGCCATGTCTGAAGCACCTAAACACTGAGCTGATTATACCGTTACTGTAATACCTTTATTTTTTTACTTTTTCCCTCAAACACATTCAGTTTTCCTCTTCTGCCTTTGCCAAAACCTCCTCTTCCTCTCAGACCATTTTTTCTATTTATTCTATTTTTCACCCATTCACTGCTTCATGCCTCCTCCTCCTCGTCTCTTGACCATTTTCATTCATCCCTCTGAGGAAGTTTCTCTTCTGTGTTTTTGTCCTTCCACATGTCACATGTCCATCCACGCTTGGCCACACACACACACACACTCACTCACTGTTGAATCCTTATTTATACAGTGCTGGTTGAACTTGCAGCGACGCCCTGTTTACACTTACACTTGAAATTGAATATAATATCGCAGTAAAACAAGAACAGTCCTAAACAAAACAAAAACGCTAAACAAACAGGATGGGTTTACGGGGGTACAGGGTGGAATATTTTAGAAATTACAGAGGGGTATAAATGCCGAAGTTTCGGGGAGGTTTGCAACCGATTCCAGTAAGTTGAATCTTAATTGGTTCCTGACGCGACTGTGAAGCATGGCGGAAAGTTAAATATGAAACGTCGCCGGAGAAGTTATGATAAGATGTCTGGATGGGTATCTTCTGATAACATACCAGACATTGTTACATGTGGATGCAGTCAGGATTACCTTAGTTCATCTTTAAAAACGATGACTCTTTAACGATCCGCAGCAGAAAAGAGTCAGATTGTCTTATCTATGCTTATAATTTTTACTAGCAACATCATATCTCTGTATCATTCATATATTTATTAAGTGATACTAAACTAGGGATGGGAATTGATAAGATTTTATCGATATCAATGTCATTATCGATTCAATTCTTTAACGATTCCTTTATCGATGCCTTTCTTTGATTTTAAAAAAGTAGACTATAGGTTTTTACCGTTAACTCAAAATTTCATTGAGTCTTTAATAACAGTAGTCTAAAAATAATCAAATGACGAACTATTTGTACAGCGTTTAATTCAGTCGGTATTAAGTCAAATTAGCGTGACGATATTCTGGATCCCCAAAAAGAGGACATTACTAAGCGGGAGGCGGAGGCGGGCGCAAAATTTCGAGGGTTTTTGGTTCAGGTCAAGTGTTTATGGACATATGTACTATGGCCTGACTGATATGGATTTTTTTGGGCCGATGCGATACCGATTATTAGGGAGGAAAAAAATCTGATTATCGATTAATCGGCCAATTTTGAAATTTTTTTATGAAGTTTTAAAATTTTGTTTAGCCTTTCAAACACTTCTCAGTAACATTAACCTCAGTAATATTCCGCATTTATCATGAATCAAACTCGGACCAGAAAAGCGTTTTCAACTTGTGAGGTAGTTAGTGGATGAAGATTGTCATGAGGTCGCTGCGCCATCTACAGGATAAGTCGGGGAACTTTTCAAATGGTGGAACATTTTCAAAGTGAAACCAAATCTTATTCTCTGTATTTTATTTCTGAAAATATCGGCGACAATCAGCGAGTTTTGGCCGATTACTGATTAGTCTTAAACGGGCAAAAATTGGTCGGGCCCTAATATGTACCTTCCATGCCGTTGTTGAGACGGAGCAGCAGCGGCTGACAATCGGAAGAAAAGAATCATTAAGGGAATCGTTAAGATAAAATATAAATGATGTCGATGGATTGAACCATTTGGATCCGGTTCTCAGTCTCAGATCCAGGTGTACCTGTTCTTAAACTCTGATCTGTCTGATGATTAAAGCGATCAAATAACTGAGTCTTAAAGTGATTCTCCAGAACTCTGGCACTCCTCAGAGACTGTTATCACGACGGATACGCTGCAAACTAAAAGTGTGACAAAGTTGCGACAACAATCACACGGTGTGTGGTGGTAAATTAGGCGTGATGCATTTGAGATGTTTGCAGAGCACACAAGAGTGTCTGGTAGTCACAGTGTTTTGGAGAAGTGTGGGATTCGTATTTGCTGCATGTTAATAAGTTTCAGCCCATTTGATGTCTGGCTGAAGTTGTGCTGTTTTACTTCTTCCACTCTGCAGACAAGTCTTTGGCAGTTTTTTCAGCCTGAATGATTATTTGCATCTTGCCATTTGAATTTTTAGATGCCAGAAACTTTAAACAGCTAGAAAGACATTTATTCCATCAAACGTCTGAGGAGCAGGAGCGCTGTGAGGGAGTTTTGAGTTCACGAAATAAAATCGAGGGTCCAACTGTCTCAGCTCCAGAATTGTAATATTTCTTGGCCTCTTCTGAACTATAAGAGCTAAAAATGGACTTAATGTTGGAGACACGACTCCAAATGAATAAAAATGTTGCAGAGATGAAAAATAGTGGCCAAAAAATGAAGGGAACATTTTATATCTTTGCATATTTGTTCAAAAAGAGCCTCTTTTATATAAAACTATCCCAGCGTTTCTAAACAAACTCTACAGCCACAACCAGCAGTGAAGGATTTCACTGCATGTTCGCTCTTCTGAGTCTTTAACCAGTTGTTAAATCCATTACCGCAGATAGTTTGGATTATAAGGCAAACTGCGATGTTTTCGTTACCTGTAGCAGAACATGTCAGTCACAGTCGGTGGAAACCACAGACAGAAAACAGACGCAGATCTCCGGGTGGCTGCTCTGTGGGAGGGCGGTCTGCGCTCTGCTGAAGTCTCTCCGTAATAAAAAGGAAGAACTTTCTTTACCTCGACTTCAGACTGCTGCACGGTGATTGTGAAAACTTGTTGTTTTATGCATTATGATCATAAAGTCAATAAAGCAAATGGTGTTTTGACATCATGTCGTAAAATAGTAAAACCTGATTTATTTTTTTGAACATGAACTTTTTATTTATCGGTCTGGACCCTGAACCCCTTACTGACCAAACCTCACCTGTTAAAATCCTCTTTATTCAACCAGCGTGTGTTTTTTGGGCTGGCAGTGTTGTTGTATATGTCTGTAAGAGTGTGAGGATTTTTTGAAGGAACATATTTTCCAAAAAGTGAGCTGGAAAAGACAGAAAATTTGTACACTGACAGGAAATCTGACTCCTCGTTGGCAGAGACTCTTCTGTGCCGTAGTGTGTGGTGTAATAAAAGCAAGCACTGCTGCACAGAACACGAGTAATAAGGTTATTTAATGGTACAAAAAGTCTGATGTGTAGCCAGAGGAGAGGCTTTTTAACTGTGCTGTGGAAAGCTGAAGTCAACGTGAGCTACGTCCAGCACAAAGTGGTCACTAATTATGTTTTCAGCTGGTTCAGGACCAGATCTGCCAGTAAAACCAGGACGTGGCTAATGGGCAGAAAGGCAGCAGTGCCCTATCTAAATCAAAATCAGCGCTCTTTTTAGTGAAGAAAACGGTGCATTATACTCTCTTATTTCCTGAAATATAGATTAATATGTCAAAGTATAACATGCACCTGAAATCTATACCTGTTCTTGTGAAGCGCAGCACATTTTGAAAGCAGGCTGACATCTACTCTGAGCATACTTAGCGTCTTATATTTGTATGTAGTATGGAATTGGGACGGCATTAGTTGTTAGGTAGGCCCTGCAGGTATAGCGGTGGCTGGTTAATCCTCTGCTCCAGAGAGCTCAAAGCCTCTCAGCACTGTCACGTTCTGTTACCGTTAATCTGAACTGGATGCACTGCCAAGGGGCTGACCCACTGCCTGCGACCCTGCCACAGCCGAGGTCAGGCTCTTACGTCATGCGGGGAGGCGGGGTGACCTGTGCCAGTGTGCTGCGCTCCGGGAATTACTGCCAATTACCTGCGCCTGAAATGCCAACGACCTGTAGTAACACACACACAGTTTCAGGCACATCAACATTAAGGAAGAGAAGATATATGTGTGTGCCTCTAAGTGCTTAGGCTGCAGGTTTGAGAGGAGGGGCAAAGGTTTACTATTGTACTCCATCAGACTATACCATACAGTATTTTTTTGACCATATTTTACTTAATTGTATCATATCCTACTATACTGTATCATATCTTAACCTTTAACATACTGTGCTGTATTGCACCATATATTGTATCGCATATTATCTTACAATACATAATTATTTCAATGTATCCTATTGTATCCTAGTGTGCCCAATCAGATTATTGCATCTCATTTAAGTTTACTGTATTATATCATAACTCATTTTGTCCTGTTGTAGCTTATCTTATCGTATCATTAAGTAACGTATCGTATTTTATCGTTTAGTAACGTATCGTATCATTAAGTAATGTATCGTATCATATTGTTAAGTAACGCATCGTATCGTATCATTTAGTAACGTATCGTATCATATTGTTAAGTAACGTATCGTATCACATTGTATCACATTGTATCACATTGTATCGTAACATATTGTAGTGTTTTGTTTAGTAACGTATTTCACGGCATCAAATCATTTTGCATTGAAGTACATTGGATCGTGTCCTCTCTATTGAGGTTTTGCTTTAATTTTTTTTAATATTAGATGGTTTTACATATTCTGTCTTATTTTATTATACTGTTTTGTTTTATGTTGTGTTTTACAGCATCAAATTGTATCTTACTGTATCACATTACATTGTATCTATTTACGCTGCATTGAATTGTATCTGATTATTTCCTATTAATTGTTTTTTTACTCTAAATTTGATCACCTTTATGGTCTTATAATATATCTTATTCATTGATACCCTCCTGTATAATGATGTGTTTTATAGTATCGTATCATATCTTATTGTATCAGGAATCTCATCAGTGTTGGACACGTGCAGCCACTTCAAACAGTGTGTACATTGTGTACACTTTACAGTCAGTGTGTACACAGTGTACACAAGATAAATTAGGCGTGTAGGTATTTCTTTGCTCCATGTGCTGCTGGATATCCATGTGGATTTTACACAGGATTAAAGTAAATATTTATAGAGACAACAATCCAAACACATATAGGTGTGGTTTTATTTAGATTAAAAAAAACAAAGTTTTTGTATTTGTTGTGTTTTGTTAAGTTAAACCTATGGGAGTGATACCATTGAGAAAGACAACATTTAGTCTGCACTAAAGAAATAAGTTTATATTGAATAACTTCTGTTTTTGAAACATCCTCATACACTTCCTAGGTCCTCCAACACAGGCTAACTACTCCTCTGAGGCAACCCGCTATTACACCGTCCCCAGACACTGCTGTTGTCTGATATTTACTG